TTCAAACTATCGACAGTTTGGAAAAGATCCGGTAGAAGGACCTGTTTTTTAGATCTCTTATGGGCAAGTCACGAAAAGTACAAGATCAGGCCTACTCTTCAGCGCCAACTTCACTATGCTATGATTCCATGTATAGGGGTTTGAGTTTTGACAAAATAAAGAGAACACCTGAGAAATCTCCAATATTTATTTTAGTAGTATGGTGTAGGTCCACCTTTTACAGTAATTACAGCCTCAATTCTCAGATGTATTGATTCGTACAAATTGTGAATTTTCTTCGACGGCATTTTAACCCACTCTTCAGTTGAAACTCCCTCAGCTCTTTTAAATACGATGACGGCAGGAATCGACTTCTGACTTGCATCTCTAAAATCGACCATAAATGCTCGGTAATATTCAGGGCTTGTGATTGTGGTGGCCAAATGAGATGCTCAACTTCATTAGAATGTTTTTCGTGACATTTTTTAACAATTCCAGCTGTATGGATCGGAGCATTATTATCTTGAAAATGGCGTCCCCCTCCGGAAAAAGTTTTAAAATATCATGTCGGCTGCCCCGTACAACTTCCATCAAAATTAAGTACGTATCTATATGAAAGTATTTATGCCAATCAATCTACGTCATACTCTCTCGACTAATCATGAAAGTAGATTAGACGACTGCAACGAAGTCGTAAAATGACGAACCGCTTCGCTCACATTATACATGTTACCCAATACCCATACAATGTGAAATGGTCGATACGTCAGAAACATCAAGGGCATCTTGTAATCCACACAGATACAAATTTATCACAGGCCATTATCATTGGTCAAACCATTGGTATAACTACGTAGAAGCTGTTCTTTATTGTCAGTTTTGTTGAAGACAAAAACAAATAAGAATATTGTTAATGAAAATTACTCTCTGGTCTCCAACATAAATTAAATTGCATTGGTGATTAAGATTAGCACAAACTTCTTCAAGTTTAGTGGAGTATATGAAACTATTTGATCGCCGCTACAAAAAATTCGTCACTCGAAATTATCTTTGATAATTCATCATATTTTTGTAACTACAAGAAGAAATTTAGCTTTCGTATTTTCGACCCAAATAAACTCGATTATGTGCCTTTTTAATCCCAATCTACTTAGTTCATCAAATAATAATTAATGAGTATATCTAGCCCATACAAATGGTACAAAGATAAGAACATTTGCATGATAGGTTTGATGCTAATCTCTTCGTTCAAATACCTTACGCTGAAGAAGATGTACGGAACGAGTCACAAGATTAGGACAGCACATTCAGATTAAACTCATCTCATGTCGACTTTGTACGTCGCCAACTTGCCTAGTGGCGTGAATTTAAATTCTAAAAGCAGTTAATTCCCAAGATTTCTCAACAGAAGCCATTAAAGTGATTTTCAAATTCACACCACTGGAACAATTCATACAAACTAAGCTGCAGCGCATGACATTTCGATTAACACATTTGACTTAACCCAAGGAATAGTGTCATAGTAAGCAATGAAAAGTTGCGAAAAGCCGTTCACCATGGAATTGACGGTCATGACTCATGACTGATAAATGTCAGCAAACGTTAGTCAAGAAGTTGAATAACAGAAATTTTGTAGTGACTTATGCTTGTCCGACACGATAATCAGGCTAAATCAGCCAGTCTCCCGCTGGACTGCAGCGAACTTAACTCCTATATTTATGACCAATTGACCATCAATATGCACTAGATATTTATCAGTCACAAATGCATAGTCATATAGAAAGGAAGCATAATAGATGAGCGGTTCGTAGGAATCTTCCATAATAAGTAGGAGCCTGTGGTTATTGGTTATGGCTGAACTACCCTACTGCCTACTTGGTAGAACAGGCTGCTGGAGATCAGCCAGCGCAGGCAATGGCTGAGAAGCATCGGCTGGCTGCTGCATTTCCAAAATCCTTAACAGGATATCACATTTACCCGTTACAGCAGTACGCTAAAGTAACTATTGACGATGGTATAGTGGAAATTTACCGCATATTACGATCTACAAATGGAAGGTTAACACGTGGTAGTGAAACTCACCTATAAGCTCGAATTCCACAAGTGAGCCGATCCTGCAGCTGGTATGGATAACCTTCAAACCGCTTCTTCACAGGAATAAATCCTCAAGAACACACAAGAAATAGCTAAGCTGCCAATTGCTTTCGATTTATAGAACGACGTAGTAACATTAAGAAGGATTCAAGTCACATGAACATATTCAGCTTCCGGGCTACCGCCACCCTTGAGTCACACACAACCTCTCTCATCGGCTACTTGAGCCAGACTGACCTCATGCTCAATTTGCTCATTACACCCGGCGTGGCGGCAACATATTCCGGATCCAAACTATAAATCTAACTTCCATATGTATTCAGTTCACTCTCTCTCAAAATTCATTCTTCAAATTATCTGTAAATGTCAATTAGGTTAGTCAAGTCATGGTTGACCATGAGTCAAGTAGTCTAGCAATTCATTTTCGGCACTCATTTAATTCACGGAGGAAGTAGAAGTAAAATTGTGGGGGAGTTTTGTTCTACATTATTTACAAATCCTGTGTTGAATTTATTTGTTTTCCTATAGAAGAAAATCGAAAAATTTGCTGATGTTTTTAATCGTGCTTCTTGTAGATGATTTTTTACTGTTTCGAAATTTTTTAAGTACAATTTTCACTTGGGTAAGAAAATATTACTGCATGTAGAAACAATCTGTTACAATCATGTAGAAACAAACAATCATGTAGAAACAATACAAACGTGCAGACAAATGTTTATGTATAATTTCTACAAGTCTACAACCATCGACTGTAAAATCAAACACGCTTGGCCTTTCAGAGACATCGAAATAAACCTTAGTATATTGAAATTTCAAAAACTTTATTAATATTCTACGCTATTGCCTGCCGGAGAATTCAATATACATGCGTGTTGCCACACATAATCTAATTCAGTTGACAATAAAGTTGTAATGTATGAATTTATAAGTCTTGCATTCATTTCTATTTATTCCCATGAACTCTTAAGCTAAAATATCAATCAGCATTCGACGCAACAAGAAAACAACTTATCTCCAAAAAATTCAGCATATAATGTTATTAATCAACGTATGACAATTTACTGCACCGAAGTAAAAATTCACACACAAATCTTCTTCACAAAAATAATGAAGGTTTAATCCATATAAAAATGTAATAGTAAACAAATTTTAGATGTTACTACAATCCTCAAACTACTTAAAAGTCAAATTTAAACATCTTGTTGATTGTAACAGATTAACAGGCTTGACGGCGGTCTATAACATGATTTCATGAATCCGTTTTGCGTATAGAAAAATACGTGCTATAATACCTTTCTTTAGTGATTATAATTTAAGTGTATGACACCTCACCATTTTGGATATATATTAGGACTGAACGAATGATCTAACACGAAACTTGTACTGTGCATGACATCGATGAAGTATGGCAGTCAGATACCGTGGTTGACAAATAATTGAAATTTTGCTATAATACTATACAAATGCTATAATTCTAATACTATAATGCGGTTTGGTCCTGCCTCCAATGCAAGCAGGACATTTCAATGATTGGGTTCTGAAGATGTTTTATTGATATGGTCCCTCCAACAGGTAAGTAGAGGTATGGTTATTTATTTTTTGACCGGGCAGGGTGGCCCAGTGGTTAAAGTTCAGAGTACCAAGACTGGAGCAGAGAGGTGCGGGTTCGATCCCAGCTCTGTGCGCCAGTTTCTGGTCAGAATCGGCGAGGAGGCCGGGCGGTTAAGCACAGCAGAATTGTGGCAGTGAGTTGCGAGGTTGAGACCGCAAAATACTGTTAATGTTCTGCGATGTTAAGAATCGGCGACAGGCCTACGGCCTACTAAACGCTGAAACCGCTATTATTATTATTATTTGAGTCCCGAAGGCCGTCTCCCACATACGAGTCGCCGCACCGCAAGAATGCGGTGACTTGCTTCCCCTTCAGGGAGGGTGGCGCTCGATTTCGGCTCAGCTCTGGTTACTCACCCTTCAGTGCAACCACTTCACTTATAAAAATACTGAACAGATTCGAATTAAATGTTGAATATAAGTTCCTGAATACCCAACGGTGATGTTTATCTCGTGTAAAAATTATTGATTTTGTTTTCCTTCATGAGTTATATCATATATGGCAATACAGAGAAACTGCTGACATTTAATTGAACAGCATAACGTGCTTAAATTCGCAGTGTACACGGGATATCTTGTAATATACTGAACAGATTGCAATGAAATTTCGAATACAAATTGAATACCCAATTTCGAATACCCAAAATTAAATAAATTTCGAATACCCAACGTTGATGTTTAGCTCGTGTACAAATTTCGATTATGCCTTCGTTCATGAGTTATATCACTTATATGGCTATATTACAGAGCAACTATTGACATTTCTGAGGCACATCCAGTCATCAAGCTATATCTCTCAAATTGATGAACGGAGCTCAATAAAACTTTGCAAACGTATTTATTAGGACCGCATGTTGATGTTCAACTCTTGAAATTAGTATATGGTTTAGGTGCAAATAGTACTTATTTCTTCGTTTCGTTATGTAACACCGCAACGAACACATTGAACTTTGTCTCACATCTGTACCCGTGATCGTTCTGTTTCATCGCCCTGCGGCCTGCTAGTGTCCGTGTAACCGCGATTATTTTCAACCGATTCGCAGGCGAGTTCGCTGAAGTGTCGATTCGGTCATCAGGCCTACGCTTCAGCGCCGAGATCACTATGTTATGTTATGACAAATAAATTAATACATTAACATCATGATTTCTGACAATTATCGATAAACGTGTTCAATATATGTAGAATGCTAGCTCCCAATAAATAAAACAAATATTTAAATGAAGAAAATGTTCATGTACCATGTATCACTGAACAGATTTTTATAATTTTATCCGCATCAAAAAGATCTGTAGATTTTTTTATATAATATACAACTCAAATTCGTAGTAGGACAAATTCTTTGAGATGCAATGGGATTCCCGCTACTTAAACGTTTAACATCTAGTGTATCAAGCATAGCGAACGGCAACATTCTTTGCTCAGAAGCGGGTATTGTGCTTCGATCCTACGAAATCTTGTTGATTTGTTCATACGTAAGTAAATCTGTGTTAGACTGTGTATATTTGTTGTTAAATATTTATGATAACATGCTATTGAGAATTGTTTTTCATTATATTCAATATGTGCTGTATGAAAATTTGATGAAAAATATATTTTACCATCAAGTCACCAACCATGTGCTGTTTTGACTCCTGAGACTGAGAGTCTTCCACTGAATCCACTCGGAGTCGGCGGCACTGCTCCCACATTATGCCACATATAGATAGGACATATATGAAAAACTCTTGTCACAATTCTGTTCCATTTGCTGCCATGTACACCATCACCATGACCTGTATGAAACACAGTAAACAAGCTGTGTTAGAATGTATTTTTACTTGGTCAATCAGACGCAATCTTTATTGTAGCTAGTGTAGCTAGGTATTAGGCTAAGCTAGCACAGTAGGCTAACTTAGTAGCATACTGACAGGCGTGACAGCTAGTCTGCAACTGGCAACTGCCATAGTGACAAACCAGAGATTTTTTAGAATCAGTTCATTTTTAATTTCCTCATTTACCCAAGATTTAAACCAAGTTCTTATGTATGATGATGCTGGTATCCAGGATACTTTACTGGTCTACTTATAGGACTCAAAAATGAACTTGAGGGAGAGTCTAAAAAACTCTCTGCTTTGCCACTATGGGCCAACTGCCAATCTGGAATAGGTATTAGCAAAATTTTTCAGAAATTATGTGTGAAAATGATTGTTTTATTCTCTCTAGTCAGGATTGAAAAATGTGTAGTATTTTTTAATTACTAGAATGTTATATACCTAAATGAGTTAGATTGTCTGTGCTGTTCTGAAAAATTAGGCAGAAGCCACTAGCCAGAGTTCTGTATTGGATAGGGTAAACATACCATATTCCAACACATTAAGGACATGCCAAGAAATGAATGGCTATAAAAAGATCACCATATGCGCAACTCAAGTTCTGATTGCTATACATCACTCTCAAAATACCACACTACGCACCAGCAATAATGAAATGTCGCAAACTGTTGCCATATTTATTTAAAAGCCTTTAGAAGTGAAATCTACAAAATCCCTGAGTTCCAACGCTGTGTGTGACTAAATTTGGCATATTGTGAGACTAATTCCGACAGCGCTTCAAACTTACTAATTCGTAATTCTGACGCCCTGTGTTGGAATTCCAATGCCCTGTGTGAGCTGTATTGGAATATGACACAGCTCGGAATGAGCTTAATTGAAAAATTGTAATTTTGTAATTAAACTTTTAATTAAGAGCTATTAAGCTTTTAACTAAGAAAATTTTAATTTTCAAATGCAGCTCGGAACAAGCTGTGTGTGTCCAATTCCAAGCTGTTTCAGAATTAGTTTTTGTGTCTAGAAGTCTCTTAACTTAATCATCTAATAATTTATTTACCACTTGAAATCAGCAAATACAAGTATACTTAAAGGATTCCTAATATATTCACCAACTTCAAGTCAGCAAGTCCCTGATGGGGATTGACGCCCTGGAATGGAATAGCCCGCTGGTATTGGGGCACGCGGCTGTTCTGCTCCACCCCCTCCATGCGTCTTCTGTGAATTGCACTAGAGCACTTTGATTTGATCATTTGAATGACTAGCCATTTCCTAGAATCTCATGCTCACCATGCCTGAGACTGAGAGCATGGTGCAGTTCTATGCAGAGTGGAATTTTATCAAGGGAGGTTCTTTTGCTGGTCGAGCTTGAGCCGTCATTCTGGCTGACTGAACCTTGCCTACGGCTCTTATCATTGATCTCTATCTGGCAGCAATCCTCTGGGCCCTGGCAACTCCCTCTTGACCTGTGGGGAGTTTTGAAATTGATTAAAATAAGAAAGTACAGATTTGAACAGTGAAATTTCCAAGTTGCTTGTTAGTTCTGAAATAACAAAAGAAATGGCAATGACTTCTTTACTTGGTTGTTGCGCCATCTTACCCCATTGCAGCTCCCTTTACCCAAGTTCAGACCTTTGTTTCTGTTTCAGCTCCTAACTCAAGATGTTAGAACTTTGACATTTGAAGGTTGACAAAATAGTGGTAATATCACAATCAAAAATATGTCTTGAAATAGCCCTATTGTTAGGGGCACTCCTAACCTTTTAGCTACAAAGGCCCAGTACGACCAATATAGTATAGGCTTTTGTCACGGCCAGCAAACTTGCTAAAACAACCTAACAGCAGGAAAAATCAAACATGAGACCAATCAACCAGATTAACTCATAAAACTAGTTGGCACACATTATTTACAGTTGAATGAAATACATGATGATGAGGGTTAGTTTAGTGGGTGATACATACACTGGAATTAACATGGATGAAACACAATGAATAAAAAAATTGCAAGAACCCTAAAACCTTATAAAACATTGATGATTAATAAAACGTTATAAAGGGAACAGTGAAGAAAAGACTTGATAATAAATAAGGTTCACAAAACAGCTTCTGCTTCTCAATCTCTTCTGACACAGCTTCTGAAAATTGATTTTTCAGTAAGAATGCCTGGACTGATGTATCGACAGTTTGCTTGGTGACTTTTCTATAGGGAAATTAAATTTATTCAACAAGTATGTATGATAAGAGAGATACTTTGAAGTCTTTCAATTTTAAGGCATTGAAATCTGTGCATAAACATCAAGTTTTTATATTTTTTAGGCATTTAGTGACCTGACTTCAGCAAGTTGATATCTTTTGACAATGTTCAGATTTTCTTCCATTGAACTGTTGTTGTTGTTGGGCCATTGGCTGATGCTGTTGTCTTGTTTCTTCAGTATGCTAGTGGGTCTTGTGAGGGAAGGTGCCCCATGCTAGTGTGTTATGGAACGGTCTGTAAAGGGCAATGATCATTGGTTTAAAATCTCTGAATAGCATGCACTTTTGTATTGCCTTCATTATTGCACCGTGGTTCTATGGTTAAATATTAAACCTTGTAGTATTTTGATATTTCAGACCAATCAGTGGACCATTCCACAGCACACTAGTCACTAGCATCATCTCTTACAAGACAATCACAAACTAAGTGAACAAAAGAAAGTCAGCCAACAACCACAACAATGGTGAAATTCTAGGATGTGGACAGTCACTTAGCTCCACCCCAAACATTGGAGCACCCACGTCCACACTCAAGGACAGGGGTAGGTGGTGAAATCCTAATCAAAACTGCAAAATTCAGCTTCCAAAAATAAAGAATTGTGTAATAAAATCAATTACCAAAAACCAAAACAGAATTACCAAGGCCTTATTGTTACTAAATGGTGTCATTGTCCATAAAAGATTTAAATATTCAATATTTTGCAGGAAAATGAACCAATATTGATAATATACTGAGCTAACTTACTATATTAAGTGGGCAGTCACTAGTAGTCACTTTCAAAAAGAAATCATTTGTCTCAGGAAAGTGCAAATGAAATGAATTTGAGTATCCAACAATGCAGATAAAAAATCTGTATCCTATTATACAATAACACTCTTTCACACAGCATTCCAATTAACATTAATGTTGAGTGTGTTTTTTTCCACCATTTTGAAGCATGTGATTCTGTTGCCATGAAATGAATAAAGTCAAATTGTGTAACCTTGGTTTCCTCCAAGCAATCTGCATCAACCAAAGAAATGGTTTGTGCAGTGAGATATTGTTTCAATTTAACTTCCACCACATAATGTAGTGATAGTGAGAAATTGAAAATTTTACTTTTTTTCTAATTTCCACAAATTGGCTCACTTTATAATATCTATTGAACTGCTGGGAGTCCTTACATTTGTGTGGGAATGAAGATCTTGAAAACTCATTTTTCATGAGTGCAAACTCTGTGGCCTATGAGAAAATTATGGTAAGATAAACTGAAAAGATTTTGTCTGGAGATATTGGTGCACTGAAAATTGGTCACTTGTGGGATTGTAACATTTATTTTTTGTATTTTTTATTGGAATTATCAATCAAACTCTAAGTTTCTTGACAAATTAATCTTCTTTCATCATTTGTGGATATGCTAGTGGCTTGTGCACAAATGAATATGACATATGCGCCATATTTGTTTTTATTACTACGCCATTTCCATTTTAATTGCTCTACAGTTGGGATATGCCAAACCCAGTTAATTGTTTACAAAAAGTTATCTGTAGGCAGTAAAATTTGACTGAAAATTTTGAGTACCAATTAATTCTCTCTCCAGTCATTTCCTTAAATCACTAAAATAATTCTTTATGAATCTTTTGTTATTCAATTGAATCTATAACTAATAGTGCACTGAAAAACAAATTAATGTGTGTACTCATTTTCCTCCAGATGTTTTAATTTGCTGTGGGTTAAAGTAATTCAATCAAAACGGCTTGAGACAAAAGAACACAACCTGATCGAAAGAACTTTTGGTCAGTGGCATTAGTGTTGGGTGTGGAAGTTTGATTTTTACATTTTACTTTGATGACTCAATAGTCATATGCATTGCTGTCCTATTTATACTTACATTAAGTTAGCAACTTCCACATCACAACACTAATGATTGTGTTTTCTTGTCTTGCTAGATCGTGTGTTGGGACCTCCTTGTGTGGAGTGGCAACATCTGAACTGCAGATCTGGAGATTGTGGGCTACCACCTCACTCAACTTGTATGCTGGAGTCAAGGCATTAAAAGTTATCCAAGCTAATCTGTCAAATATTTGTTCAAAGCTCTGTATTTTATAGTGTAATCAATTAAAACTTGACAAATTTTAAAAATTGAATTGCATTGAAAAAACTTCAAGAGCAACCATGAAGATGTCAAAGACTGTTGGAGGTACTGCTGGTGACAGTACTGGTGGATCAACTGCTGTCAGTGACATGAGGGCGGAACTCGCGGAGCTTGTCAAGCGTAGAGCTGAAATTGCTGACAACTTGGCTTTGCTTGAGAGACAAATATATGCCTTTGAAGGCTCATACCTTGAAGATACTCAGTTATATGGTAACATTATCAGGGGCTGGGAGAGATATCTAGTTACTAATAAAACCAACACTCCTGCAAATGCTATGAATGACAAACGGAACCGCAAAGTGAAAGAAGCTGACAGACTTTTCAGCAAGTCTTCAATCACCTCCATGGCAGCAGTAAATGGCCTAGTTGAAGGTGGAGGAGGAGCATCAGTGGCAGAAGCTCCTTCAGCTGCTGCAACAGCTGCAGCCAGCCTTGCATCATCTGATCTCAACTCAGAGAATGAACATTCGGGTCTGGAGGATGATGGCAACAAGGATGTGGCTTCTGTCATCTCAGAAAGTATCCGGGATGGTAGCTCACTGCAAAAAGTTTCAAAAGCTTCTCACAAAATTAAGAAAACCAATAAGAAAGCTAGACATCGCTGAAATGGATACTTCTTTCATGTTCATGCAGAAACCCTAGAATAGACACCAGTTAAATTATAAATTTAATTTTTGACATGAATAATTCACTAAATTGTAAAATTGCTAATTCAACAATATTAGACTAACTTTTTTTAAGGGAAGTTCTTTTGTATTAATTTCAATTTAGCTTGTACATATATGTGTGTGCTTATTTGTAAGTTGAAATAATAGATTCGCCACCATGAAATTGTAATGTATGTTAGTTCATAGAAAAATATTTCACTCCATGATTGTCATCTATCTCATTACATTTTCTTCATTTATTCCTAACCTAAATCACAAAAGCATTGACATGTCAGTTGATTTATTAAAAGAGCTTATATTCATTTTTATGCATGCTTAAAGTTGTGATGTATGTTTTGTATAACTGCTTCAGGTATGCCAGTTTTTTATCACTAAAAAATTAGTGGAGGAATATCTTGTCATTGCAATATTTAAATTGGTTACTTCAGTGATGCACCTGTTAGATTACAGTAGATGGATTCAAAGTATGCAAGATACTGAAGGTTTTGTTCATCTGATTTTCTTGTAATTCCACTGAATTACTTGGTTCATTGAGTACATTTATTGAGCTGTGCATAAAATAGTATTGTACTAGAATAATATGATCCAAGTAAATTTAGAATTACTAGCCTTAGACTACCTTGATAATTTGTTTCACTTAATAATATTATGACCATATTATTATTTCTTGCATTGTATAATACTGTATGTCAATTTATTAATGTTAAATGTTGTTGAGTACTTATGTGGTTGCAAATGAAATATTTGCAGCAGCTACATCTAATAAAGTAAAATTACCAATTCCTATTCATTGTCCTGCCCACCATTGTCACTCTATTCACCAGGCATTTCTAAGGTAAATATATATATATTTATATATACTCTTGGAAGATACTGAGACTCCTGCAGTTTTATTTCAAAATAGTTGTCATTTTGTATATGATGTGTGTGTAAATCAGTATTTTGTGATGAAGTTTCTCTAAAACAAGAGCTAAGTCAGCAAGCCCTCCTTCATTTGGCTTGATACATATTGATCATAGAGTGGATTTAGTTGCTGTAATTTAACATCAGTGGTGTTACTTATTATTATTTTGCTACTCATTTTGTGTGGGAAAATGGTTTTGGTTGGTCTGATTATAACCTATGGATGTGCCATGTACAAAAGTCTTTCTCTCCTATTAAGAATAAATAATCTTTTAAAAAAGTTGAAATTTATTGGCTTATAAGATGATCAAAGAAGCATTTTGAGCATCATTAATGATGAAACAATTGCTGTGCTGCTAATTTAATCTCATTTTTGAGATTAAATCTCATTTAATCTCATTCTCATTTGTCTTGCACGTTTCAAAAGTCATCATCCTTCATTATCAGCACTCCACTACACTGACCAGTGTAAATAAATGCAAATGCATTCATAAAAGCCAATTCACTTTGATGTCAATTGCACTAATTCTTTCCTAATTTCTTCTCTTAAATTTTTTTTCATAACAAGACTCAAAATTCAACTTTTCTGGTGTAATGTTATTGATCATGTCCTCTCAATCTTTGAATGCACAGTATGCTACATATTTAGTTTTCCTGTTTCTTTGCAGGTGAATACTATAATTTTTCCACCCATAAAATTCTGAACTTGTCCTGTTGTTGTCCCTACAACAACAGGGATGACATTTTCTTCTTAACATTTGAATTTATATTTGAGAATCTTTCACATTCAATATTTTAGTTGTGGATATGAAATAATTTTAAATTTCCAAGACCTTAATCTAATTCACATCCAAAATTTTGTCATTTTTCTGCTCTAATGCATTGTTAGTCAACAGTGTGAATCACAATTGTTGCTAGATAAATTAGCTCATTTTGCACATAGATGAATATGAGGACACTTTTTGCTTTTCTCAAATGTATAGTTGAGTCCTCCCACTATCCACATTGCAGATCATGTCCATCGGAGTACCCATCAAAGTTCTGCACGAGGCTGAAGGCCACACTTCAATCCTTATTTAAATTATGTGTTGCATCTGATCAAATAACTTTCAATACCCAAGGTAACAAGTCGTCAATGAAAAATATCACTAAAATGGAAAAGACTGCAGTCATTGCTGTGCTTTGTGATGCACAAATCAAGAAAGGATTCCAAGTTGAATGGTTTGCTCATATTTTTCATCATTTCAATGGATTTTACATTACAACGATGGCCAAAAGGTGGCTTTAAATAAGAAATCCTACATGACATTTTGAATTTTAATTGTGGACCTGTAATATTTTCATAATTTCTGATGCAAGATATTAAACATTGCATCATGGAAGTAAAAGCCAGTTGCTACCTGAACGATTTTTGATGGTAAAATTTGTCCTGAAAGCTTGATGTGTATCCTACATACTAATGGCAATTAATAAAAGGGGTTCGATTCCCCGCCAGAGAGCCACTTTGGATGAGGGCTGTTTAAGAAGTGTGAATTGAGATCTAGAAGTGATAACAACCGTTCCTCTTGCTATTGATTGTAGTAATATGCATTAAGGAGGCTTGAGTAAGAATATGAAGGTTTAGTATCTTTAGTGATGAGATGAAGAAAGAAGGCACAACCTACACCCCTTAGAATAAAAGAAGGTGGTTAGGTCTTTTCCTTCCTCAATTTATTGCTCTAACACACCTTGAGTAAGACGTGAAACTCCTCAATTACCTTGGCTTGTAAATAAATGTTATATTTTCAAATCCGTAACCACTGTTTATTTTTTATTCCAGATGGAATCCTGCAGCGTTACACTGCGCAATGGCCAAACGACGCGCCTCGAGAACGTGTTCATTCGTGGCAGCAAAATTAGGTTCCTAGTCCTCCCTGATATGCTTAAGAACGCTCCAATGTTTGCCAACATGACGGCTGGCAACCGAGGCAGAGGGTCGGCAGGCAGTGGCAAGAGTGCCATCCTGCGGGCTCAAGGTTAGTGCTGCATAGTTGTTGCCGTCAATGTGGATTATTTTCATAATATTATTCTATTTCAGGCATCCCAGGAGGGTGCCTGAAATAGCTGTTCTTTGCACTCGAAAAATATTTATTCGAATTCAGTAAATTTGTTGCTGGGTCATATTGTTTCACTGTTTGGGTAAGTTGTGTTCTTCGACACTCCAGCACCCAAGTTCAGGTTTTTACCGCTGAGTTGAGGTTCTGTATACTTATTACTTATAACGTCTGATTAAAAGCCTATTAATATGAATCAAGAGTACGTACACTATTATAAGAATAGTTCTTAGAAGCGGATAAATATGATGGACGTTAACTTGTTCTATGTTGAATAAATAGATCCGTTTTATCGTAGGATGGTGAATTTTGTTCATCCCCACAATGCGGCTAATATGCCGCATTGTGGGGATGAACAAAATTTGAAATTTTGTCCCTAAACTGAAGAATAATTTGTGATATAATTCATAAAAGCCTTTCAAAATGCATTTATGAAGTTTCAACTTCACATGATGGAATTAATGTAGGTTGTTCATTCACTACCAGTATGTTGATTTACCATCTCAAGTTTAATATATTTGCACAACAATTATTTCGACAGCTGCACGAGGTCGTGGCCGAGGTCGTGGTGGCGGCCGAGGCTGGGGCCCAGGTGGCCCCATGAGGAGGTAGTCAGCCCAGCTGCTCGTATCTATGCTACAGGATCTCAAGGTTTATCCATGCACCGAATGCCCCAGACTTGATTTAGTGTATGGATTCAAGTTCAATAAAGTAAAATCGCTGGGCTTAAAATTTCCCAGACAGGATTTATGGTGAATAAAGGAAACAAATTTTGACAGTCGTTTCACGTTACAGGAAACTTGGTTTTTATCGAGTATTTTAGGTAGGTCAGTATCAGTTAGCCGCTGATCGTTTCCGCATTGGAACCCCATTCAGTATCATTCCTCTGAGATGAAACGTATGAATATTTTAAGTTTCTTCTAATATACATTCACGAAAATTGTTGATTCATTATTTTATGTCCTTTGATCGTAGCAGAACAATATGGCTGTATATAAATGTATCGCATAGTTTACATTCACGTACGAGAACAATATTGAGGACTCTCCATGTAAAAACAAAACGAAGTTAGTCGTGCTGCCTTATTGCCGCATCGTTTTCACCAGAGAAGAAAGTCCAAAATAAATCTAGAAGTATGGTGTAGCGCGGAACTTCTGATGGGGGTGAGTGAAGCGTGGTGAAATCGCACTAGGTAAAAAAAAGGAGCATATCATATGACTGCCATGTGTCATTGAATATTTGACGTCTCTCATTCCATTGAATTCCGCATTGCCAATTTATTAGCTTACTAAAAAGTAGAACGATTAGCCAGGAATATTCGTCATTCTTTCCATGCTGAAAGGATGAAATTTCTGAAACCATTCATGTTCTGAAATTATCAAAGCATTAAATATATTTAAATAGACAGCATGGTCGTTCGAAAATTTTGCCATGCAGTTGCTGTGACCGCGAGCAATCAGGGTGTGTTGACACATTTTGTAAACAAGTTACTGGACACGTCCCTGCATGTTAAAAATCAAATCACTTACTCGCTGAATTTGTATCACATTTTAGTGTCACTTCCGAATTTGTATCTTGTGGAGCTAATTTTAGCAATTTATATCACTCTAATTACGTTTAACTTGAATATTCTATCTACAGCCTAGGATTTAGATTAGCACTCGCCACTCAGCAGCTCCTAGGAGTCCTAGCCTCCTGCACACAGTGCACAGACAGCACAGTAGACTGCACTCAGCAGTTTGCCAGTGAAATCACCTGCTTAGTGCTTAATGATGCCTGGTATTAAAATTATTCCGAATTTGAGTGTGTGGGCTCACAATTTCTATGGCTTAGCTGTTGCAGCTCAGTTTTTTTTACAACACTTCTCTAAATCCTTTTTATCATCACTTCAGACACTTCTTCAGTTCTTGCTCTTGTTTGTCTGCTACAATTCTTATAACTGATATTTAACACACTGCTATCTTTCCAATCAATTTGAAATTTTGCACACTTGTGTAAATTTGGAAACAAAACATAAATGAATCAAGACAATAAATAACTTGAAAAATTAAAATTAATTTCTTCTGCTACAAATCTTATCAATATTCAACACACTTCTACCTGTCCTGTCCAGTGTCCAATGGCTCAGAAATTTTGTGCACTTGCATTAAGTCAGAGAAAATGAACAAATCAATCAACAGAAAAAATAATTTTGAAAATTTTAATTTTTTAAATAGAAAAATGTCAAAAATATATATTTTTGAATATATTAAAATAAAATTATAAATTCATTGTACTTTGTACATGTGTAAGATCAGAGACACTTGATTCTTTAGAAGAGTTGTCTTTGAAAAGTGATTTTTACACACATCTTTCTACTTTTTAATTGTAATACTTCCAGGCCATTTATATTTTCTGCACTGATTACAAGGTGACAATTGCAAGTGCCATTCTGGAATTTGCAAAATTGCTTCCTTAAATCTGTTATAAATCTTGTATTGCATAGTAGCCATAATGACAAACCACAAGATTTTTAGAATCAGCTCTTTTAAATAAACTCATTTACACAAGATTTAAACCAATTTCTAGTGAATGCTGATGCTGGTATCTGTAATACTTAAGGAAGAGTCTAAAAAAAGTCTATGCATTGACACTATTATACAACAGTAGTTGACCAAAATTTAAGATAACAACATGCCATTATCAATTTTCATAAAAGAAATTAGAGAAAAATGATAGCCTGTCTAAAGCCTAACTGCCCATTGGAAAATTGCTGATAAGCAGGCATAGAAAATATTTAATTTCTGAGCGATAACAAGCTATATGGGCTTTTACTTTATTGATCAAGCAGCCTAGATTTCTTTTCTACAAGCAAATAATTCATGCATTAGGCCTTTTATTCACTTTTCAAACTGTTTTTTATCAGCCATGAATTATGATGAATAATGAATTAAAAAGTATTATTTTATCATAAAAGCAGGATAAAATATTCATCATTAATGTTAACAATCAATTTATAACAGTAGAGGCAAGATATTAATTTTCCTACACATTACTAAAATTTTACATTTCCATAATGATTTTTTTTATAAAATAGGAATCATGGAGCCTGATTGACAAGTAATTCATTTAGCAGGAATCTTGGGGCTCTGAAATGATGTGAAAGCTCTAATCATGGCTCAGCATGTAGAGATATTCCATTCCTAAACAGAAGGCAATGCATCATGATGGATCCAGGGTATGCAGTTGGGGGCCGGCACAGTCAGGGCCTCAGGGGGCAGCCATGACAGGCAACAGGAAGAGACAACATTGACAGTCAGCAAAGTTCTGGAGAACCTTATTTTAGCAATCAAATTGCCACAAAATGTTGAAAATTATAATTATATGAACACATTAAATATTTATTGAATAAATTATTATAAGACTTTCGAGTCATAAATCAGAAATGTCCAACACTATACAAATTGGCACTGCACTGTCTTTGATTCTATAATGAAAAAAGTTGAAAATTGTAAAAACAATGCTGGTTTTTAAGCACATGAAAATTCACCAAATTAAAATGCAAATAAATATTGTGAATTTGAATTAATATCATTGATTGGCCTTTTAAATGTAGAGAAATTTATAAATCTCTGTACTCACTTTGTAGACCTCATCTCCAAACATAAAGAGAAAACCCATAACAATACACAACATGTGTGAAAGGTCCTTCATTGATTATTCCAATATGAAATTAGACTTCTATTCTTATTCATGTAGGTTATCCTGTAAGGTTTGATTCTAAATTCATAGACATTCAAGACATCTAATTGAAATATATGGCTGGCAAAACTATTTGCTTAGTCTTAATTTCTGATGGGTAAAGAAATTGACAGTGGATATAACATTTAAATTTATTGAATATACACCAAAATGGAGTATGTGTTGGTAACATAAAATTTACTTGAAAAATTAATGACCTGCATACAGTTTCATAGTAGGTAATTAAATTGATACAAGTGTCATGAAACAAACTAAACTAATCAGTTTGGACCAAACATAATATAACATTTCATCGATTGTTGTATTAAAAAGAATATTGTAAGTGTGCCAGCATAGAAATGAAGTTATAATACATTTCAGCTGGATGTCAGTTCAAGAAATGCAAAGCCAGTCATTTGTCATACATTGGTTAATTTGGTTTAGCTTACTCCCTCCACAGTTTGACTAGGATTTTTAATTTTCCTTCACAAATTAGAAACTAAGGTTGAGCTCATTACATTTTTGCCAAGATTCTATACTTGGCAAAATATATATATACTATCCACAAGTTGTTACATTTTTATTAAGTATTACACAATTTTGCAATGCTTTTTGCCCATTATTCCTTTCCATCTCAATATAAATAGATAACATCTCATCCATATTTTGTCTTGGGGCAGCAATTATATTGTAGGGTTTGATTGAATCTTATCTAAGGAATGTGAGATACTAAGGAGAAGGGTCCTCTGGCTCTGGTGGTCTCGTCATCCCATGGGCTTCTAAGAATTTATTTTCTACATACTCTCTCAATTTCAGATCATACGACTCACCTTGTTTACTCTTGATTGTATTGTAAAGAGCAATCAAGAAATTTCCCCATGCATTGAAAATAAACCATCTCTGGAATATCCTGTTATAATTAACACGGTTAAGAGGTTCTATCACCTGATCAATTGCATTAAGTATTGTGCGAATTGTTCTTTTTGAGCGCCGCAATTTAGAAGTAGAGTTTCTCTTCCATGGCAAGAAAGCCTCATCTTGCTCAAAAGGCATGGATGAACCATCACCAACATGCTTGGAAATATATTGCTGATACTTCAACATCATGTGGTTTGTAAATGCTTGAGTATTGAAATAATTAATATGAGGCACTAAGGCCATGAACTGCTTTACTACAAACTTGAAAGCATGACTATCAAATTTACAGCAAGTTGCATTAGAATAAAAATGTAAAGGAGGTACTCTAATATTGGAAACATGTTCCATGTCAGTATTTCCAAGAGAAAAAGTATTTTTGGATCTTTTCCTCAAATTTGGTGCAGATTCACAAAAGAAAATTGTTCTGTCATGCATAGAATCATTCAACGCTTTTTTTTCTTCTGTGGTCGTTGTATTCATTGCAGCCATGAGTGCATTTGCATGGACAGAATGGGCAATGCCTGAAGTATGAATTTTGGGTTGAAGTTTGGATTTGAGGCTCCCTTCATATGTGTTTGCTGCCTTTGTATCTTGGTCTAGGTTGAGAAAACCTGGGGAAATAATTGTGAGAAGTCAGCATCTAATTGATGAATTAAATGTTTAACTGGTGTTGTATTTCTCCATATAAACTCTTAATCTAAAAAGATTCAGAGTTACTACATAACACTACTTGCTAGTAAAACTAAAGCACCAACCCAAAAATATCAAGATTTCTTTATTTTTTGCTTCTAGAATCACTTCTGTAACTTTTTCCATAAACCTGTTCGAACAGTGGCAACCAAAAACTGCTAAAACATACAATTGTTAAAGGTCTCACAGTAATCAATAATTCAGAGCAATATAAAATTGATACCTGATTTTAAATGGATACAACTATTACTAAGATCAAAATGATTATATTCTTTTTTACTAATGAACACCATTGCCAATTTCTGCAAAATATACTGACAGCAACAAAGAATAAATTTTAGGACATTAACAAAACAGTTGATGAACAATCAGAGATCAAAGTTGCTCTTAAGCACATATTGATTAAAATTTTATAGTAACCAAGACCATAACAGCAAATATTATGATCAATAATTTACTGTCAAGTTGAGTTATTAGAATAGGTAATATTGACTAGTAATTTCAAATATGTTCCAGAAAAAAAGTGCTATTGTACAACCTCTAAAAATTATCACTCGTGAATTCTTGCCTAATAGATCACAGAATGCAAGGTTTTAATTGCATAAAAAAAGCCCAGCCCTAATGCATCTAGATTATTTGCATCTTGAGTGATTTGCTTTCCAGATATTGATATCATGCAAATGTGAAAAATTTAATTAGTAATTTTTTTACATTTTGATATTTCTAAAATCACAGAAGTTGTCAAGGGAAGTTGTACATTTGAACAAAAATGTACAGTATATGATGGATATATTGGAATATTTTCTTTCTGTGCCTTCTTCAAACTCCATACTGCCAAAATTATAATTTAAAAATAACTTCTCATTTCAATATGGCAGTTTGCTAATCAATTCATGTCTCTTAAACTAAATAATTTAATACTCACTGATCACAGCCCATATTCTCTTCAGCCATCCTGGGTCATAGAAGAGAGACTTGCTTTGTGGCAAGCTGCACTGTGAGATTCCACACTTAGAAGTCTGGTAGAAATCATCTCCTTTTCTGACATAAATTCCCCAGCCATCAAGAAATTTCCTGTAACTTTCTAAAGCTGCTTTGTTGACAGGCAAGGCCATTGTGACATGTGCATCAACTGTTTCAATCAGATTTAACATCATTACTTTTATAGTGTTGACTGCAACCTTGTTAATTTGACCTTGAAATGAATTGAATGAAAATGTTGTAGGTGAATTCACTGAGAAAGGTATTTTGAAGACTGTTAACACTTGATCATAGATTGCAGGTAAGACTTCTAATAAATTAAGTTTCTCATCAGTCATTAGAGGAGTTTTAATCACCTGAATATAAGTGTCTTCAAGTTGTTTGAGTTGCATTCGTAGTGCAACAAAGTCAATATTTACATTGGACAAATTAAGATTGCCCTGAAGGGTTGACATAAGGCTGTCTACTGTTGGCTTCTTTTCGTCACACATGGGTACAAGAAGCGTGAGTGGTAAACCCATCTCATTTGTCCAAATCAAAGACTCGGAGAAGATCACTTGAGATTTCAGCTGCTCTTCAAGCATCCGTGTGAGCTTGACATTGATCAGTGATGCAGCTAGCATAATGCAAGAGCTGAGTTCTGATGCCATTCCTGCATAGATCAAAGGCTTATTATATTTTAAGTTATTTCAAAAACTATTTAAAATAGCATAAATATGAAACATTGCAATAATTATATGGAGATGTACATCTAGAATGCACGGATTGAAACTGCTGATAGCCGTGTAATAAATAAAAATGCTTATCATTTTTTCTTGTTGGGTCATGCTTCCATGATCAAAGATTCACATTAAAAAAATTGAGAACTTAAATTTATACATTGAAATTATAAACTGTATTTACACTGATCTATAAAGAAGAAAAAAGTTCACTCAGAATTAGTGGAACATTCTCTATAAATAAATTTTTATGTATAATTTTATATAAATAATGAATGATTGATAATTGTCACTCATTTGCTTGGCCAATTGATATATCTTGATACAATTAGAATTGTGAAAAATAGTCAACTGACTAAGGTATGTCACAAGTTGAAAACAGATATGAAAGAAAAGGAGCTGAAAATAACATAAATTAGAATACCAACCATTTTTCAGCTTGATAATTTGTATAGGTGTTATTTCCCCATCAATGATGGGAGTGTATTTTTCATAACTTGATTGTAGATGAAGTGCTTCTTCCAGAGGTGTCAAAGATCCATGCTTTTCAGCATTGAACAGCAAGCAAAGACCTCCTGTGAGTAATCATTTGTCAGTCATGTCAGTGAGAAACTTAGCTGCACAAATAAACAAAATAAAACAAAATTGGAAGCCATGTTCATAAAATTAGTCTTTTTTTAAGTTAGGACACAATATTAAGTATCTTTTAAAAACATATAGTTGTTATATATAAAAGTTGAAAAAATTGTTCATATAAAAAGTTTTCAGCATTTGAGCATCTATAATGTTCACGTCAGCAAAATAAAGTTTCTGTTCAGGAGAAATAATAACGAAATGTTTGAATCAGCATTGGAGCTTATAAAACAGCAGCCAATTGTTTTATCATCATCCACTAATGAACTCTTATTTTATCCCAGGCATATCACCATGACAAGTATTATTTCGGAGCTTTTAATACAAAATTCTACAATTAAATGGTTCAATAAGAAACAATGGAGCTCACCAGTCAGAATGAGGCTGGGAAAAACCACCAGCACACAAAACTTTTTCACAGCAACAGCCATAATGAGGCAAATGCTGATTGAAAAATAGTAGGTGGTTTGATTTTTGTTAGTTTTGTTTAGGGCTTCACACAAAAACATATATCCTGAGGGGCTTGGCTTAATTTGAAATTCTGGGAAGAAAGCATTCAACATCCATTATCCACCTGATAAGTAGGTATCAAACTTGATTTTACACAAGCCACTTGGAAATTAACATATAATGAATTGATGAATTTCATAATCTTTAACTCAAAGAATTGTTGGTTATAGAACAAATGAACAATTATAACTACCTATCTAACGTGAATCGGGTATAACTATAACTATCGTTCTATACTAGTTCACACCATCAAAAAATTTTCTGATACACAAATAAGAATTATTCAGGTGCAGTTGTCATATTGTCATTCCTACCAAGTTGTCCTAGTGACAGGTCAATGAATGTCTATGGTAAGACAATCATAATAAAGTAGAGTAAGTTCATTAACACGTTGACTACGTATTGGTACATATGCGTACCACGAAATGTATTTCTCCAGGAGGTAGTGGTACATAATTCAGGTTGCCTAAAATCGGCCAAATCCGAGAACAAAAAAGGCCAAAAAAGGCCGATAATTCAATGTATACTAGTTTATTTGTAGGTTCTGCTATAAAAATTCCCTTTATTTTCTTTTTGCAGTATTTAAAATTTAATTAGGAAGTACCCCTATCATAAATTTTAGCGTGCCAACGCAATTGAAAAAAGTAAATCACGGAGTTTGTCCGGAAAAAATGACCGTCTGCCAACCCTGCTTAAAAAAAGTACAAAAATGAAATAATAGTACTAGATGAAGCAATCGTAGTCAACGTGTTAACTATATGTCAATGGTTTTACATGGAGTTGACTGTTTTGCTTCTAATCCTTTGCATAGAGGTAGGAGACACAAACAAAATGAATTTTCTTGAGGAAATGACGTGGCAGGAACAATTTTAGAGCTTTGAATTGTGAATGACCCTCAGAAAGCTCAGGAGATGCACCACACTAATGTCATATGCTTACTTATTTGATGCTAATGAAAATGCATGTATGTAATAATAAAAAATAAAATAATAATATGCAGTTAAAAATCACTTTTTAAAAACACTTCTAAATAATCCAGTTTCTGCAATGTTACACATGTACAATGAATTTCTAATTTTATTTTCATATATAGGTATAAAAAAAATTAATATTTTCATAATTATTTATTCTGTCAATTGATTCGTGCATTGTCTTTGACTTTACGCAAGTGTTGAAAATTTCAGTTTGATTGGGCAGGTAGAACTGTAGAAGTGTGTTAAAGATTGATTAAAAGATTTGTAGCAGACAAAATTATTTTTTCAATTTTTTTAGTATAAAATTTTTTATTCTCTTAATTGATTCATGGATTATCTCCAACTTTATGCAAGTGTGCAAAATTTCAGCTTGATTGGAAAGGTAGAAGTGTGTTAAATATTTTTTATAAGATTTGTAGCAAAATGCTACCATTAAATGGGGTAATAAGGGAGAGTCCTCTGACTTTCTTAGAAATGTTGTATGTAGTGGCAAAACTAATTGAAAATTCAAAAATAAAAAATTCAACATTTCTCCTATCTATTTAGCATAGGTATATAATGCAAATTAAGAAATCATACATTTACTACCTCTTAAAAATCCCTGAAAAAAGAGTGAAAAGCAAGATTTTGGAAAAGTACATCTGGTGAGGTCTGTAGCAAAAAAAAATATTCACTGTATTAAAAAATTTTACTTACATAAAAGTTGCACACCGGTGTTGGCTTGAAAATGTGATTGACAGAATTTGTGTAGCTCCTTCAATAAAATACTTTAAAAATTTAAAAAAAAACACGTTTTTCCTGTGGACTAAAAAGTAGAAAATAAATTATGGCTCGCCCCAAAAAAGGTGTGTTGGGCAGATTTATGATTAAAGCGAAAAGCACACAAATTTTGGAAATTTGATGGTGAACGTACAGCCCAACCCACATTTTTTTGGGGCGAGCCATAATTTATTTTCTACTTTTTAGTCCAGAAGAAAAACGATTAAGTCTTGATTAAGTATGACTTGACGTACGTATCGATGATATGCAGCGTCAGCGCCTGCTCATCTATAACTTCAGCGCCCACACGTCATACTAATATTAGTACTATATATATATACTTTACTCAATTAAGCTAATTTATGTCTCTAATTGCTAGTTTTTATGATTGTATCTGGAATTGTTTGGCAAAAATAGACTGCATGCCAAATTTCAGATCTCTAGAGCAATCAGAAGTGGGCTAATTTTTGTTGTCAATGTTAACACGTTAACCGCCAGCATGCAATATTGGAATTTACCCCTAGCGCCAAGACTTCTAGGCGCTAAAATATCTCAGTAGGTCAGGAACAGCTGCAAGGGAAGGTGTGTATGTGTTATACTCTCTGTCTAGTTTCTTCTAGAACAGAGTAAACCATGAGACACATGTGGTACATAAGGATGTTCACTAAATCTTCATTTTTCTCCAGCTGGTAGAACTGTAGAAGTGTGTTAAAGATTGATTAAAAGATTTGTAGCAGACAAAATTATTTTTTCAATTTTTTTAGTATAAAATTTTTTATTCTCAATTAATTCATGGATTATCTCCAACTTTATGCAAGTGTGCAAAATTTCAGCTTGATTGGAAAGGTAGAAGTGTGTTAAATATTGATTATAAGATTTGTAGCAAAATGCTACCGTCAAATGGGGTAATAAGGGAGAGTCCTCTGACTTTCTTAGAAATGTTGTAGTGGCAGAACTAATTGAAATATTGCAAAACTATAAATAGTGGCGTAAAATTCAACATTGCTCCTATCTATTTAGCATAATGCAAGTTAAGAAATCATACATTTACTACCTCTAAAAAATATCAGAAAAAAGAGTGAAAAGCAAGATTTTGGAAAAGTACCTCTGGTGAGGTCTGTAGCCAAAAAAAAAAAAAAATATTCACTGTATTAAAAAATTTTACTTACATAAAAGTTGCACACAGATGTTGGCTTGAAAATGTGATTGAGAGAATTTGTGTAGCTCCTTCAATAAAATACTTTAAAAAAACTTTTCAAAAAAACACATTTTTCTTGTGGACTAAAAAGTAGAAAATAAATTATGGCTCGCCCCAAAAAGGTGTGTTGGGCAGATTTATGATTAAAGCGAAAAGCACACAACACACAAATTTTGGAAATTTGATGGTGAATCTACAGCCCGACCCACGTTTTTTTGGAGGCGAGCCATAATTTATTTTCTACTTTTTAGTCCACAAGAAAAACGTGTTTTTTTAAAATTTTTTAAAGTATTTTATTTTCTACTTTTTAGTCCACAAGAAAAACGATTAAGACTTGATTAAGTATGACTTGACGTACGTATCGATGATATGCAGCATCAGCGCCTGCTTGTCTATAACGTCAGCGCCCGCACGTCATACTATATACCTATTTGTACTATATATATATATATACTTTACTCAATTAAGCTAATTTAGTTCTCTAATTGCCAGTTTTTATGATTGTATCTGGAATTGTTAGGCGAAAATATACTGCATGCCAAATTTCAGATCTCTAGAGCAATCAGAAGTGGGCTAATTTTCATTGTCAATGTTAACAACAAACAAACGCGAAGCCAAGTTAAGAAAAACGTGTTAAAAAAATGGCAGCCATTTCCGTGCGACAAGGTATGTAACAACCTAAAATCATATTTTAGGTTAATTACTTTTCATTCTATGTTGCCCGGTGCACAATTATATCTATGACATTGTATGCACTCTTTTGTGATGACCAATGATCCATTGATATTTCGTTAAGTTTAAATTTTTTTCACTGAGCAAGGTAAATATAATCAAAATTTGTTGTTGTTAATTGATTTTTTTTGTTAACTCGAGCCTTTGCTACCCAAGGTTCTAATGTAAATGCATTTTTAAGGATGTCCCTTATTACCCCGGGGGGGGGGGGTGTCCCTTATTACCCCGTCGTGCAGAAATGGCTGCCATTGGAATGAGATAGGCAAATTCTGTCAATCGCGTTTTCAAGCCAACAACTGTGTACAACTTTTATGTAAGTAAAATTTTTTAATATGGCAAATATTTTTTTGCTCCAGACCTTAGTAAAGGTACTTTTCCAAAATCGCACTTTTCACACTTTTTTCTCAGCAATTTTTTAGATAGTAAATGTTTGATTTCTTGACTAGCTTTATACATAATCCTAGATAGTAAAAATGTTGAAGTTTATTCCACTATTTTTAGTTTTGCAATATTTTGATTAGCTTAGCTGCTACAACATTTCTACAAAATGTGGGACACATGTCCCAATTTACCCTGCAGTTTACCTTGTTTGATGGTAGCAAATCACCAGTTCTGAAAAAAAGTGCTCCCTTGAGTTTTACAAAATTGAACCAAAAGGAAAAGCTTGCCTTCTTGGCAAAGGCGAGGTCAATGACCAAGTTTTTTATTTACATTTTGTGGTCTAAGCTTGCAAAATTGGCTTGATTTTAGTGCACTGAACAAGTAAAAATCACAGAAAATTTCATTTATTCTACAATCTACATCTAGAAACAAAGAGGAGGACTTCAGAGTACTATTAGTAATGGCTGAGTACATTTAGCAATTTGCTTGCTTCAAACATTTTAAAATTGCATTTTATTTCAAGTTCTGGCACCTTACAAGTAGCATATCGAATTTTTTGGAGATGCCATTTGATAGCCCTTGCAATAAGCTTTAAAATTAGCCCAAACTTGCTTATGAAATGTTTCATGGTAAGAAGTTATTAACAAAAAATTGCACAAAACCGTGCCTTATTACCCCCATTTGACGGTATGCACTATGCAGGGACATTTTTCTTTTGTTGACAGGTGGCTTCTGCCCAATTTTTCAGAATGGATTGGTCATTGGCTTCTTAAAGCCCATTTTATGCAGGAAAAGTCAAGAAAAACATGCAATTAGCTAAACTCTTAGGCCAAAGCACTGGGTTACAAGGAGCTTAACAAAAAAATTGTCTCTCAATCTGTTGATATCCATAAGCTGTTCAAAAGATTTTTTCATTTTTTTGCTAAATTGAGATTAGCATGAATGCATTTATTAAATTACTACTAGACAGTAGACACTTTCATGCAGCAGTATTTGTTTGGACTAGACTCATCGATTGGCCAATAAATTACTAGCAGTTTTACATCTATAAAGTTACTTTGGATGGATCTGATCTAAAATAATTTTTCATAGTTTCACCAAGTTTTCACGTCTTGGACAAATTTACGGCGGGATTCGCGGCCAATCCAGGAATATCTAACTAAAGGTGCTTATACACGGGGCGATCAGTTGCGTCTACTAGGCGACGCAACTAAAATTTGTGATGCTTGACGTGTTCAGAGGCAACTAGCTGGTTCATTGCAGGCAGAGCAACTCGAGTTGTTTGAAGCAGTCTATTCACTCTTGCGCTCAGTAGCGGCCCGGCCGTCATACCGAGCAGAGTTGTGTCGCTCTCTCTTGCCCACTGTAGCGCGCACTGGTGTCGAGTTATCGCATGCCTTCACCATACACACCCTTACTCGACAACTCCCAACGTCGCACTGACTCGGGCGCATGCCGCAGTGTTGCCAGGTTTTTTCTTGGCGAAAATACCAGATTGCCTAGCTCAAAATACCAGAAATATACCAGAAATTCTATCGTTCAAAAACAGACTATGCAACTAGCTGGTTCATTGCAGGCAGAGCAACTCGAGTTGTTTGAAGCAGTCTATTCACTCTTGCGCTCAGTAGCGGCCCGGCCGTCATACCGAGTAGAGCTGTGTCGCTCTCTCTCTTGCCCACTGTAGCGCGCACTGGTGTCGAGTTATCGCATGCCTTCACCATACACACCCTTACTCGACAACTCCCAACTTCGCACTGACGCGGGCGCAGGCCGCAGTGTACCAAAAACACTATATTCGTGTATAGGCTTTCAGCCTGCAAAACGGTAGTGGACGCAATTAATCCGTAATCGTCCCGTGTATAAGCATCTTAACACAGCAATGCTTGATAATAAGTAAGACTTGTCATTATCTTCAATGCAGATACTGTTAAAGTTTTCATACTTGCATATTTAATCCTACTTACGCATTTCATCTAAATACGAAATTTATTTAGTTGGAATAAATGTGCTCTGTTCGTCGATAAGTCCTTGAGGGCTTGAACACCTCATACTAAGTGTTGTGGTACCTACTCAAGCCCTCACACTTGTTGGTGCCAAGTCTGGTACCTGCATACCGTACCACAAATCGTAACTGGAGACTTGGAGTTAAAAGTCAATTAAAAAGTATGAAATAGCTAACAATCGCGACGTCCAATTTCATTCCTTCCATAACATAAGCCGTTTCAGTGTTGATCGAACTACGGGGATGGAAGGTTGTGCTTAGTAAACGATACTACCGTTACTACTTACTACGAATAAATACACTACGTATACGTAGTTTAAATATTGAATACAATGCAACACGTATCCATCCTTATACTTACAATACTTCTAATTGCGCAAAAAACGGATGCAATATAGTGTAGCAACGGTTAATGGAAATGAATAGTTAGTGGTGAAGTCGACCGAAAGGTCGGGAGGACCGAGGAGGATGATTAGAGAGTGAGGAGAGGAGAGAGTGGGAAGGCAAAGGTGACCGTGACGAATGTTTTAGTACATTGTTTTTTTTTTAGGATGCTGACATGTTTTAGTTTAACATATAGTTAGTTTTTTAGAGATATCTGTAAATCCGTATTAATTGAAATTTTTGCTAACTTCCGACTTCCGAGTGTGACGTGAACTTTTAATTTTTGACGCTGGGCCCAGGGTGGCCCAGATTTAACACAGTGACAAACCAGAGATATGTGGCTCCACGAGTATCTCNCAGCAGCTATCTCAATCAATCGTCAGCTATGGAAAGATCGGGTTCCAAATGCCGGATCCCTTGTGAATCAAGTCACGAAAAGTTCAAGAATCGGCAACAGGCCATGGGCCTATTAGGCTATTTCTTCAACGCCGACACTTTTATTCTATTCTAGACTGGGTTCTTGAGGAGTGGAGGGTTGAGAGAGAAGATGGTGGGAAGGCAAAGTTGACCATGCCAAATGTTTTAGTTATTAGTACATTGTTTTTTTTAGGTTGCTGACATGTTTAAGTTTTAAATATAAATAAATTTTTTGAGATTGCTTTAAATCCATATTAATTGAATTTTTTGCTAACTTCCAAGTGTGACGTGAACTTTTAATTTTTGACACTGGGCCCAGGGTGGCCCAGTGGTAAGTTCAGGGTACCAAGGTTGGTGCAGACTGCAGAGAGGTGCGGGTTTGATCCCAGCTCTGTGTGCCAGTTTCTGTTCAGAATCGGCAAGGAGACCGTGTGGTTTTAAGCACAGCAGAATTCTAGCAGTGAGTTGTGAGTTCAAGACCACAACAAGCTGTGAATGTTCTGCGATGTTAAGAATCGGCGACAGGCCTATGGGCTATGGCCTAATAAATGCTGAAACCGCTAAATGAGCTTTTTTAGGTATATAGTAGCTGCAGGATTTCAAATTCATTAAAATTATATAATTGAAATGCAATGTTGCATGAACCCAGTTATTTGATCAAAGAATTCTTGTTTGACCTTTAAGGGTTTGGCATTTATCTTTTCTTTGCTTAGTAGCCAATGAATGATTAGCAGCTTATTAAATTTTGCTTAGTAACTTAGTAGTCAATGTTGAATTGAATAATTTCTGAAATTATTGCTTTAATAAAATTTAGAATTCAAAAATTTTTTCAACTGAACTTTCATTCAGACTGTGATTAAATTATTCAACGATGAAAAAAAGGCTGTATCTGTGTATCAACAAGATTATTTTTACAACTGAAAGTGTTGCTCTGGTTAGCCAGTAGAGATAGTACCAGACTAGTTATCATATATTTTATTGGCCATATTTCTGAAAATATCAAGATGTTTGAAGGCAGTGGATTGGATACCATCAAAGACTACACTTATTCTGCCCTGAATTCCTTGATGTCAACTTACTGGGCTTATGAAGGAGAACAAGAAGTTTTTGAAGCATCAGATGAACCTGTCTGGATTCTGGGTGAAAAATATGACACAAGAGAAGGTAAGCAACATTTTTTTGGCTATGTAAATTAATTTAAATATTGCATTAGGAGTGCTTACTGCTTATATACATTGAAACACTAGGAACGAAACATAGCAGAATTAAAATAATTTTGTTAAAAAACGCCACTGGAATTTGACAGACAATTGTAAGCTGATGTGACACATTCAACTTTTGTGAATAGGTTTGAGCTTCTCTGCTGTCACATGGCTACTGCTTCCGCATGACTTAAGTAAATTACCCATCACTGCATTGTTCATCACTTCATCTGACCCTTGTTGGCATTTGTCTGGTGCTACCTGGTGAATATTCTATTGCCATGAAGCCAGATACTATGCTTTGCTCAATGCATTTCAAAACAAAATCATTGAATTTTATTTGAAAAATGTTCATTTGTTTCAAGAATACATACAGTCTTTTGTTAAATTGCAATTTCAGAAAATTTTTATTTATTTATTTTTCATTAGACAAACATTATTATTATCGCAATGAACCAGTTAGTAACAAAATTGTGAACCAATTAAATTGCATGAATTTAATATTATTATAATATTCATACAATATTATTAAAATTATGTGCTCTGGAAGCTACAGCTCATCTGAAATCTGATTATTTTCACAGTAAAAATTGAAGGAGCCTAACATGATGTGCTTTTAAGGTTTTTGGTCATCCTAAGTTTGACATTATTTTCATTGCAGATATTGAATGAACCCAACATAATATTCTATCAAGGTTCTTGGTCATCATAAGTTTGACATTATTTTCATTGCAGATATTGAATGAACCCAACATAATATTCTATCAAGGCTCTTGGTCACCATAAGTTTGACATTATCTTTATTGCAGATATTAAAGGAGCTCAACATGATATGCTGTCAAGAATATGGCTCACCTATCGCCGTCTATTTCCCTCATTGGGTGACCCAAGCGACATGACGTCTGACCGTGGGTGGGGCTGCATGTTGCGCTGTGGCCAGATGCTACTGGCCGAGGCACTTGTCAGGCTTAATTTAGGTAAATAATGTGTTAATTAAGCCACTTAAGCTTTCTTCTCTATTTCCTTTACTCCATGTAAAATTTAACATTTTCTGTTCCTGTCTAACCTTCAGACATTAATATTTTCCTACATTTGTATTGTTTAGTTTGTTTCATTGTCGGAATAGTTTTATAATTGAATTTACTAGTACTAGTTTAAGTAATAATATACCTAGATCAAGAAATGGACCTAATAAATTTCCATTAGTGCTATATATATCTCCCATGAAATATTGGGCTCTTTATTTTATGAGGAAATTGAACTACCTATATAGAAATAAAGCAGATAAATTTTCCATTAGTTTGTCTGAACAAACCAATATATTAATCTATTCTTAAAATGATCCACATGTTTAGTACCATTTAGTACTAGAATAATGTATAAAACGAAACATATCTGCTGTGTAAAGTTCCATGTTTTATTTTCTCTAAGGTAAAGAATATCATTTCTCTCATAATACACATACTTGCAGGATTTTGGTGTTGCTTACAATGACCCTTTATGTGGTGTGCAGCAGAGGTTCAAAGTAGTCATTGTCCACTTTTTGGGATCCATGGGACTAAGGTTTACAATATAGGTACTTTTTTTATAATTCTTCTTTTACATTCCTAAATTTAATGAAAAATAGAGAATTGTATAAAATAGTTGTTGTTTTCATGAGTTACGAAATAATGGTTTGCTGTATTTGGCTACAAGAGCAGCAATACAAAAGAGAATTTAGATATTCTTCAAGCCAACAGATATATACATTTACCTATGATTATATCAGAAAAGAATTATTGAAACTAATAATTGTATTAATAATAGCATTTAAACTGTTTATGATTCATTATTTATATATTTTTCAAGCTGAGGAGCAAAGAAGTCACAGTGTCAAAATTGGCTAGTGGGCAAAGTTTATTGACATGACTTCATGTCCAATTTAATTTTGTCATGATAAGTCTCCTATGCATGATTAGTGTCCTGTATTTACCAGTTGTTATTCTGGCAGAGAGACAATGGATAATGACAGCATCTTGATATGATAACTTTGCTAAGAATTATATCCATCAATCTCTAAAGTGCAAATAAACTTATAGAATGCTTGAATATTCAATAATAAAATGTTTAACATTAGATGATTAGGTATTGTGCAACCCTCGAGAAATTTTAGTTAGTGTTCGATCTTTCTAAGTGCTCTAAAATTGTCTTTAATTTAATTTTTAATTTGGTTAAATCAATTTATATTTAAAATAAAATTCATGTTCATAAAAATCAGACTTTATAGTTATTATTTTAAATTTTGAGCTAGATATTTTATTATACGTATGTACTGTGTAGTTAATGATCACTCATTGGTGCTTGTAATGTAATGACAATAATTGTCTCACAATTGCATCGTATGCAACCTTCGCACTTAGTCTTTACAAACTTACTGTTATAATGTTAATAATTCATCATTCTGGGGGTTAGTTGAGAGATCTAGCTATTGAAAAAAATGATCACTCTATTGGCCAGCTTCCTTCTTTACAAAACATAAAATTGCAATGTTTTTCAGGTCGTTCATGGCGATGGACTACAGAATGCAGCGATGAGAATTACTTGAGAATAGTGAGATTATTTGAAGACCAACCAAGCGCTCCATACTCCTTACACGTCATGACGTCATTGGGGCAAGCAACGGGCAAGAACATTGGTGAATGGTACGGTCCCAACACCGTCGCTCATCTCATCAGGTGATTGCTTTTAATTTTTCTAATAATAATAATAATAATAATATAGTAGCGGTGTCAGCGTTTATTAGGCAGTAGGCCTGTCGCCGATTCTTAACATTGCAGAACATCCACAGCTTGTTGCGGGCTTGAACTCCCAGCTCGCTGCTTCAAATTTTCTTTGCTTAACCGCCCGGCCTCCTTGCCGATTCTGACCAGAAACTGGCGCACAGAGCTGGGATCGAACCCGCGCCTCTCTGCGCCAATCCTGGTACTCTGGGCCTATACTTTCAAAAAAAGTTAAGAGATCGTAAGTTCATCCGCCAATCATTGACAGCCTTTTAACCCAAATCCACCAATCATAGACAAGAAAATAGAGCGTAAGTACTTACGTTCACTTAGCGAGTTTTGAAAGTATGGCCCCTGAACTCTAACCACTGAGCCATTTGTTCCATTTCATTCGGTCAACGATCCTTTATTCTCTCAATTATGCTGATGATCAATCCTTTCATGTGTCATGCTAATAAACCGTGATAGGCATAATATTTTTGTTTTAATTTAGCTAGTTTTCAAGTCTTGACTCTAGAGTTTGCATTTGCAAGACAGCAAGTCTGAGGGAACAGGAGAAGGACAATGCTATAAATATAGCCGTACTGTGGATTTTAGTTAGGCATCTCTCCTTGACCTCGTAATCAAAACAACGGCGTTATTTAGCTATGGTGGTTTAAGCCTCTACCGCCGTATGTCACTCTCTGGGAACAGAAATTTAAACTTAAATTATATGTAAACTATTGAGTGTAGCGTCAGGCAATAGAGGGTTAATTAAGGAAACAGACGTTTTCAGTTACCGAAATGATGAACGTTCAGTGGTTGTATGGAGATTGTTGGTTTGATTTCAGGCCTCTAAAAGAAAGGCAATCCCCCTGACAATTCTTACGGGAATCTTCGTACATTTGCCGTCCATTTTGGTTTAATTGATTTTTTTCAAAACGTGTGATTCAGGAATGCATGGTAAAACGATCAGTGGAAATTAGATAAACCCTCCCTCATCGTAAAATCGGCATAAAAGTTTATCTTGCTGTCATCTCACCCCTAACGCAAACTTTCACACCATCCTAGCCTCCCATTGTTTTAGTTTCCCTTTCTTCCTTCCTACTAAATAACGAATATGTGATATGTGGCTGACGGCCGTTGCAAAGGCCTTACTCTGAAATGTCTTTTTCTCTCAGAGTCACCACGCCCCAAATCCAATTCCGTTAGCAGTTGTCGTACAATGTTCACCTATTTCAACTTGATGTCAACCGCTTGAAAATGAATTGTTGGAACACCATTCGAAATTTCAGCCTCCTATCTTTTTTTTTCAAAGAGTTAAGTCAAAAAGATTTAGTGGAGGAATCTTATAGAGACCAACTCGGTCTATACTGTGTTTGGCTGGTGCAACGCACGCTCTTCAGTTAGTCCAAGCTCAGGTTTTATTCCAACATTCATTATTCACACGTATTATATGCGTATAAAAAAGTTTTTTTTGTCGTTTTGTTATTATGATTAAATTCAACTGTGACTTCGATATTTCAATTAGGTACCTAATTATTCTGTTCTGTGTTCCAGGCGATTGCGTGCCAATGAAGAATGGAGTAGCTTTGCTGTATCGGTACCCATCAACAATGTGATGATAGTGGACCAAACACGTCAGTCTTCCTTGCATTATAGCAATATTTAACTTGATTTTGGCTTGATTTTAGAATGATGAATCAAGTCCTAACTTGAACACTTGAAATTGATTCTGAAATTAAATCTTTCAACTTAGAATTCGCTTTTCTAATACCATACACTTGCTGTAAAAATATCAATGGTCTTCAACATTATAAATTATGTGGGAATTGATGTTCTTTAACTTCCGATGAAATGTTATCTGGTATACATTAATGAAATGTTGAGATAATTAAAGCATTTGATTTTAACTTAATTTATGTTTGTATATATGATCAATGAAATCAAATTGCCTTGAAATAATGTTGAATTTAATGTAATTATATGTATTATCGCTAGTTATTTGTTATTTGTGTATTATCACCCAAGGTATTATAAATGAGATTTAATTATTTAGGTCATAAAATATTTTTTGTTGTTTTAGGTGCCCTGAGTAAAAAGTCAGACGGATCTTGGAAGCCATTGCTGCTCTTACTGCCTCTCCGCCTCGGTGTGGACACCTTGAATGATATCTACATTGAAACCTTAAAAGTTAGTTATGGTACTTAAACGCTCTATAAAATTAGTTTATGGTGCGTTTTCCAGCCTTAATTATTTCAAAAGACTCGATTACATAACACTTTTTTTACTATTTACTAACACTACAACACACTATTTTCACTTATTTTCATACCGCTTGCTCAGGCCAGATATGTGGTAGGTAGAGAAGTAGAAAATAGTTTGATTTGTAGGTTCCGTGAAGTTACAGTTTGCTGAGTTTTTAACTATATATTTTATTTTTGTTTGCTTGAGCACATTGCAAATGAATAGTTATGACTATTTTGTAGGAAGGTTAGAATTGTTATAAATTCAATTTTCTCCTTAGATGTTGAAATATAACTTTTTTCGTTTTGCCTGATGATGATAATCAAGATATAAGTGATTTTAATGTCCAATAAGAATGATAGTAACCTACGATGCAATTTTTTTATTAGCCTCAAGGCATCTAATTAGTTGATTAATCTGAAATAGGCTGCTAAATACATAATATTTTGTTGCATTGCTTTCTTAATTTGTTATTATAAATATTTTTCCACCACAGAGATTTTTCCACGTACCTCAAGGCCTCGGCATCCTAGGAGGTGCCCCGTCAAAAGCACTATTTCTTATTGGCTATGTTGGTGAGTCTTTGGATCTTACTGTTTTAGTATATTAAGTCTTCATTCCTTCATATTTTAGGCTCTATAAATCTTCCTGGCCTCAATGTTTTATTATTCTAAGTTCTCATGCCTACAGCTTTTCATAACATTAAGTCTTTATGGCCTCAATTTTCTATGATGTTTAGTTAACCTTAATTGGAAACCTTGATAATAAAACCGGTTATCTAACAGGTTAAAAATAGCTTGGGATTTTAAAATGTCCATGTACACATGTACAGGAGGAGTACCTGTACTTATGATTTATGAACAGCACAGAATTCATAAACTTAACTGGCTAGTGTTAAAGTAGGAAATAATTAAAATCTGTCATGAGCATGAAGAAATGTGTGCCAATACATATTGCACTACTTAAGGGATCTGTCAATTTTTTTATCTGCATCAATAAATTGTTTATTTATTTATAAATTTGTTCCCAGGCCAAGACGTGCTGTATCTGGACCCACACACAACTCAAGACAGCGTGAGCGTGGGGCGAAAAGAGACGAGCGAGGAGCAGCAGGCGGACCTGACTTACCACTGCCGCTGTACACCGCGCATGCCTTTCATCCGCCTTGATCCCTCCATTGCTATGGTACCTCATGAACTTTACCTTCTTACTAGGTTTTATTATTGATGTGAAATTTGTCTATAAATTTCAGTGTATAGAGTTAGGAACATGCTGGTGTTAATTTTTGTATGTCTTCTCTTTTCAGGTGATAATTTAGTTGAATAAAGCTACATCCTAGCTAACCTTTGTTTGAGACCTACTAGACTTTGAGGTTCATTACAATTATGTATGTTCTTGTCAGCTTTATGTGCTTTCAATTCTTGTGCTTTTCGACCTTGGGACCAGAACAGTTGGATATTGGGTTTAGAACAATTGGACATTGGGTCTAGAAGAAGATCTGGAGCTGTCAAAGAAAAAGCTCTGAAGCCTTAGGCCTATATTCTGTTAAAGATGACACAGGTTCCTTCAGCCTTCCTATTTTGGATGACCGCATCACCCTCTCTACCCCAACCCACGAGATGAGGTACATTGCAGCAGCTTTATATTCTCATGATACATTTTGAAGCTGCGGAATATTTATAAGTTGAGAAGCAGTCGTCATCATTGACAGTGACTGTCATGGGCAAGTGGTCGACGTCTTCTACGTCCATCAGAGATAGCAGCAGTTTTAATCTCTGTGTAAGATGCAGGTCTAATGTAACTGGAATACCGATTTTAACTGGACTAAGGTTTCTCTGCGGTGGCACTCTGCCTTGTGTTTGACGACGGCAGTCTCGACAAGGACGAAAGGTGCCGTATGTCCCGTGACCTTCGTCTGACCTTCATATTTTGCTCCTTCTGACTGTTCACTGGGCGGGGATTACCCCTCCCTAGTCTCGAGTCTCTCTTTCAACTCTGACAGCTCATAACTTTCTTCTGCGCCCGAAGAGCATTCAGGAGAGTTGATCGCGACAGTTGCGGTATCACCTAACTGCTCTATCCTTCCGTTTGGCGTTCGCTCCTCCGCTTCTTGCTCTTTAGACCAAGATAGTTTTAATAAACGCAAAGCCAGGAAGTCCTTGCCTGCCCTGCCCTAGAAGAGGCTCGAGACTTCTGCATGTGGCATGTCAAACAAGTTCCCCAGATCCGCCTAAAAGATCCCCACTGCCTCCTGCTGGAAAGGAGTTTGGCTTGTCTGGTTCTACAAGGACTGCCACTCGCTAACCAACGGCAGACAACCAATTACTGAAATTTTGAAAGCAAAGCATCAGTCATAATTATCAAGATATTTGAACCCTACATTACTGAGTGTATTTTCATGCACGTTTCTTTCTCCTGAACTCATTTCGATAAAGCAAGCGCACTGCATCTAATTCGTTTTAAATATTCAAGTATTACATATCACAAGCTAAAGGCGGTTGAAGTACGCATTTTGCCAATGTGGTGCTCTATTTTTATCTGGGAAGGCATTACATTGTAAAGCATTACAAAAGATGCATTACAATTCTTATTATCAAGATTATCATTTTTTGGTATGATATAAATGTGATCATTAGCTTATCAAAGGCTTGATCAATTTTCCACTTCAATAGAACAGTTCAAAAAATCTTGGTTCGCGAGTATGTGTAATGAAGTGTTGAAAACAGTTAGAATATTGTTCTCGTTAATGTGATATTTTTTTATAACAGTCGAAATATTATTGAATTTATAAAATATCTAAACTCCTTATGTGAAAGTCGAGATATAAGTCGCAGACCAGTCGTAAGAATTACCAATTTCTAACCCGTGATTAAAGGTTTTCTTACGGGACGATATTCCTGGATGGAGGTTCCTGGAGGTGGATATCTGTGTATGAACTTAACGCTGTTCCCTGCATCTTTTTTATAACTATTCAGTGCTGGATTTTCCAGTTACCCGAATATTTAAGAATAATTATATGTGTCAACAAGGTTTTTTGTTGCTGGGTTGTTCCTTCTAGTCATGAACCATGAAATAGCTTATCTGATAGCGTTGATTTTCTGCCACCTTGAAAAAACGATGTTCTATAATTAATGACCAGAAATACTTTTTGATGCATTTGTAGTTAACTAATTTCCTCTAATGCTGACTCATGTTTTAAAAAGACGATGGTCTATAATTGAGGACTAGAAAATCTTTTTGATGCATTTGTAGTTAACTAACTAATATCTTCTAACACTGACTCGTGTTTTCAGTGTTTCCTCTGCAAGACGGAGAGTGAATTTGATGACCTGATCACACGTTTGCGCTGCAACCTCCACGACACGTCCAGCGACTCCGTTACCACGACCGGCGTTGCCAGCACCCTCATCGAAGTTATGGATACTCTGCCTGATTACATGAAGGACTCGGACGACGACTGTGATGACGACCAAGACAAAGACTTGAAAGCTATTAATGCCAATTCTGACAGCATGGCGAACAACGCGGTCTCTGTTGCCCGCGATAATACTGCTTCTGATAGCAACACGCCTGTGGATGTCAGTGGTGTAACCAGACACAAAGTTGAGAATACTAAAAATAATATACCAGGTGAAATAAACTCGCTTGATTTCTTAGACGTCAAAGATGGTTCATTAGAGGGCAAGAATGGCTCGAGTTCTGAAGAGATTTATGCGGACTGCCTCGAATCTCACGATGGCGAATCGGACGGAGGTTATGGCTGTGCATTGAAAGGAAGTCCTGCTTTTGATTGTTGTAATGTCAGCGGAAACTTAGACTCTTCTCATGATCGTAAAATCTCTGATTGTGGTTCTAAAGCAGAAATTGAATTTTTTCCGACTACTGATGGTGCTGACGATAAATCAAAAAGCCTGGTTAGTGAAGGAGGTCCTGAATGTTTTTCTGAGCCATCCAGCACGCTAGGTCATTACAGGGATTTCGAGTTTCTGTGATCTTTTGAATTTTGGACCAATTTATATGTTTTATAAATATGTAAGTTGATTTAATAGAAATATGTATAGAAAGCTTTTCTAATACGTACACGTTTTTAAATGATTTTCCGCAGAAACACCGTTGAATTTGTATTTTAAAAATCATTTAATCTTGTATAATGGTTATGGCCAATTTTTTCCATGACCATCGTTGTGTATACGATTCATCTCGTTGTGTTTTTTCACTATTTTACTAGCAAAAAAGAGAAATTGGCAATTTTAATGTTGAATTTAGGTTTCAAGGCCAAAGATAGACATTTTAGAGCAGCGTACTGTAATTTCTTTATTAAATCATTTTATTTCATGACAATCTGCATCGCGATTTAATTTTTCAAATAAAATGGATTTTCCTAAAGATATTTATAACAGAAACACGCGAGGTAATGAGATGTGTCAGCAAGGGGATCACCAAATAACTTCATCTGTTCATGGTTTCTCAAATTGAATTTATTTTATTCTTACGTTTCATATTTACTGGCTTTGCAGACGAGGAACCTTCGAGACTCTCAGTACTTTTGATGTTTTTTGATAATTTAAATGGTTAGAATTTGGTGACAGCAGAAGTTTGATTCATAATAGTGCATATGCAAATTTAGAAGCACAAAAATATCTTGAACCTGTGAATGCGGTTCCAATAATTGCTATGAATGTGGGTTGTCTGTTTGAATGTGCGCCAGCTAATTACCTCGTGATGAGTTAATGTCCTTGATATTACTCTGTACTCAATGCCATTCTTTTTAGCTGTACGAAGTTTCAGAAGATCTTGTATATAATTTGTGAAGCACCAACACGTCGATATTTATTTTGATGAAGCAGTTGATGTCTTTCGTAGATGGCTTGGGGCTTACGGTGAAAAAATTCTGCAATTTATTTTTGTTGATAAAAATTTCTAAAATATGTTGTAGCATTGCACGTATATTTACCGCTGCAAGAGGCGAAGCTTCTTCAGTGTAAATCGGGTCAGTCTATACCCAGGGTGTGGAACTGAAATGGTGGACTTATCACATTCTTTTGAAAATATTAGTTAAACATGACGCCTACAATGCTACTCGATCTATGTAACACACTAACTAAGCTACTTGAATTTTATTTCTCGACTCCAGGTTTGCCTCTTCCTTGAAATCTTGTTTTGGAAAGCCGCTGTTATTTAATTCAGATTCTTGAAAAGTCATGACGTTACTGGTCAGAAAAATTTTGTGAAGGTTTAATTCCATGCGCCATATTTTTATAATTTCATGCCTTTAAGTTTGATGACTGTGGTCTTCTTCTGGCTAATTAAAATAAAACAACATTTTAAAATAAATAAAAATTTTTAATATTGAGTTCTAAACCTCACTGCACTTTGGGTATTCGATTGTTACGCTTTAATTGCAAAAAATGTGATTTTCCATGTCATTACAAAGAAAAGCAGTTAACACGTGAAGCAATTTACTGGAGTTTTCCAAATTTATCCTTACGTTTTTTTCTTAATATTCGTGATTTCTTCTATTCATATCAAAGGCGCTAGAATTAAAGTTACTTTGAATTTTCGTGATGGTATGTAAAATGTTTGCACGGCTACCATCTAGAATGTTCTAAGGAAGAATATAAGTTAATTTGCAAGTTATTTCATGGTGATATCTTGCAAAATTATATTTACATAAGGAGTCCTTGTTTGTTGGTGTAATTTTCCGTTGTACTGCCATTGTGGAGTAAAGGGAGTTGAAATAATTTTGCGATGAAAGCACTTTTCCATCGATTTATTAGTTTTCTTGAGTATGTTTCTTATTGATTCGAACTGTAATTTACATGTTTTCTATGCTGTGTACGCCGTTTTTATGTTTTATATTTAGTGTAGCTCATACTGCCATTTTTTTTCCAACTTGAGCGTATTTGTGTAAAAAATATGATGATGGCTAAACACCCCAATTATTCTTGGTACACTTCGCCCTAGACATCAGACTGTATCAATATCCTCTCAAACTAGTCGCTAGTGTGTCTTTACACAAAAATTTCCTTGAACTCTCATGAACTCGGAATAGCCTAATTATTTTGCTGATATAAATCAACATTTAACACCATTTCTTATTTCTTATATAGATATTGTCACGTTAGAAATATTAAAAACGAGATTTTCATGCTGAGGTCAGGATTTATTCGCTTACATACACCGTAATTTTGTGGATGCTTATGATTGGCAATATTAATCCACAAGATCAGCCGCGGCAGATATGAAACAAGATATCCCGATCAAAATTCCGTCATATTTTAATTTGGCAGGGACATGAGTTGCTAAGGTAATGTTCGACCTTATTTTTAACTGTGTTCGATAAGATTTTATGGAATCATCCTCTATGGAATTAAATTTAAGTTATTGATCTGGTCAAAGGGCCGCGAAATATCTCGAGCATGAGATGCCCTAACTGAAATGATTTTATATTTAGGTTGTTTCTGCCCTACAGGCAAACCATGTTGCTAAATTTTGTTTTTTCCCATACTTCGAATTTACATATCTTGCTACAACTTCATCGGGCAATGCCTTAAAATTTTCATCCCTCAGGAGGGACTTCTAATGCGCATGGTTGAACTATACTCTACTAGTTCAACCATGTCTAATGCGTGTCCCATGGGATTTCTCACTCTAGAGGGATTGTTCCTGAGCGCCCCACCGTTGAGCTCGCGGTGTCTGACTGCAGGTCTCGGTTGTGGGGTTAAGTTATTATGTAGGTAGGATTCCTTACATTTCCCTTCTCTGTCTCTCTCGTGCGGTCGGCCGACGTCCCGTGTAAGCGACCTCTTGTTCGAGTGTCTTAGTTTCTGTTGCTTTTCACCTGTCCCTCCTTGTCAATTCGCCTCTTTGAGCTGCTTACGCTGCTTCTTTCGAGCCAGCTTCAGCGGGCTGGACACTTGAGACCTGTCGCCCCATGTGGGTGATGATTAATTTGAGATTTTGGATAATTGAGATCTCCCGCTTTGCTGGCGATGTTAATATTTTGACCTCCGTTGCGAAATAGCTTGATAGCTGAATCGCTAGCAACCCATTATACTGCTGCTTCACAACTTCAAAACCCGCATCTTCAACAGCTTCTTTCACTAAGCATGAGGTTAGGTTCTCAAGTCTTCACTTGGTTTTCTTTGTTCATGAGGTTAGGTTCTCATGTTCCCTCATGGTTTTCTCTTTTCATGAGGCTAGACTGTTACCTCGGCAGGATACATAGGCATACCTACTCGAACGGGTAGCGGACGTCTCGTAAGAGCCAATCTCGAGCACAAGTTTCTTCATATCTGTATCCGTTCACATGTCCTTTCTTCTTCCATCATACTTGAGATACTATCGCTGTCGTTTTCTCGACAGTTTGTGTAAGTGGACTTACAGTTTCTGAGACCTTCCGCCTCTTGTTGGTCACGAGTGGTTCATAATTCTATGAATTGAAGACTTCAATTTTGCGTGTAATGTTAACTTTTTGTACTTTGGCTTCAGCTGAAGTGCTTTTGAGCTCTCCACTAAATCACAGCACGTTCACTTTATTGGCAACTGCAGCTGTGTGTAATATTTTAGTGATAAAGTCATTTATCTTCGTTGCGGACGGAATGCTACACGTTATGTTCACATTCCAACGTCGTTGATATCGTGCTTGAGTTTTTCTGTTTGTTTTTATTGGTTTTGATGGGAGTTCTATAGTGCGCGTGCCTCTGATAGCGTTTGTTAGAATTGATAATAATAAAGTTTCTCACGTGTACACTGATGCTCATTCTCCAATACAATCAAATTATTGAGAAGGGTTAGTGAATATTCTGAACTTCGGTTACCCGAAAATTGAAGGTGCGGTTTTTCATTGCTATGCTATCTGCATGACTTTTGATATACTTCAATTGGATTTAACGCTATGGGCTCAATAAAGCCAACTTAGCGAGATTAATGCATAACCTGAGCTACGATTGACGTTCCAGGAACTAAACCTAACCAGTCCAAACAGAACTGCTGCAGTGTGCGGCTGGCACTCGACGTGGTAGGTTGTGTGTCAGAGCAATCTCTCTATTTATGTTGTTGCGCGAGTTTCGATAGCAACCACGCTTGTTGCTTTTGCCAACGAAAACGCCGATTCGGAGCGAGATATTCTGGCCCCTATGAAATATACTCGCTATTGATTAGGTGTGAGGACATGCATAGGTGTAAATATTTTATTGCATAATGGAAGACACTGGGTTTTTCAGATGAAGTTTAGCGTCAAATTTCCGTTATATTCTAATTTGTTATATTCAACTGAATAACGTCACGATGCATTATGTCATAGTGCGCTAAATGCGCAGTAAAAAATAATTGAATGCTAGGTGCGATTCCAGCAAAATTTCGAATCGTATTAAACATTATACGGAAACAAATTGTCACTTATTGTGTAAAATGCATCGAAATTTAGTTGTGCATCTTTTTGCCTTGAAATTTAATTGCTTGCTTAACATAATTTATGTACGTGGTTGCATGAAAATTCAGTTTCCTGCATCGAAGTAAGTTATGTTTGTGGCTGCATCAAAAGTTTTACATATGATATCATGAGAGTTAAGTACTCTATTTCAAAATTTATGGCATTTTTTAGAGAAAACGCTTCCTTTAATATATGGTTGAATGAACTACTCTCAGTTATTTAAAGAAAAAAATGTGGCATTTATTTTATACGCGATTGTGCTAAAGAAATGGAAGTATATATCATTAAAATACCTGATGAGGTCTCTCAATTACAAATGGTTCCGACCCTTAATCCTCAATACGAATGTGTTGTCACTTGTCAATTGTCATTCTCATCAGCGACGGTCGTTTATCCATCACGCATGCTTGTTGTACCTCGGCTTTTGAGTTCACGATTTTCTTCAGTTTCTTGTCTTGTAAAGGCAATCTGTTTTTTTTTTTTATGATTCGCTATGAGTCTTGTTTTTGCTTGTTTACATCTGACTTTTGCCTGGTCTGATTTTTACGTGATTCGTTACACTACAGATTTGAAATGTATGAACTTACATTCAAACTTTGAACTTTGTATCTGCAATTTTACACAGAAACCACTTAGGAACTCAATTAATTGTTTCTGTATCGAATCATCTATCAATCTCACCTAAAAAACTCAAAGTTTTCTTTATAATACCTTATATTCATGTGGTAAATTATATTTTTTCATGATAAAAACTTTTTTGGGCATTATGATATTCCGCTCTCTTTGTCTGCCTCCACGAGCTTCAAAGTGCTAAATGAGCCGACTTGTCGATGATCGTTATCGAACAATCAATATTGTTAATGCGTACGGTTTTGACCGCTACTCATTATTCATTGTATGGCCGAGCAATGACGTAATTCGCTCCTCATCATTCATTGTATGGCCGAGCAATGACGTAATTCGCTACTCATTATTCATTGTATGGCCGAGCAATGACGTAATTCGCTCCTCATTACTCATTGTATGGCCGTGCAATGACGTAATTCGCTCCTCATTATTCATTGTATGGCCGTGCAATGACGTAATTCGCTCTTCATTATTCATTGTATGGCCGAGCAATGACGTAATTCGCTACACATTATTCATTGTATGGCCGTGCAATGACGTAATTCGCTAGGTACTCATTATTCATTGTATGGCCGTGCAATGACGTAATTCGCTACTCATTATTCATTTTAAGACCGTGCAATGACGTAATTCTCTGGACGGGAGGATATATTGAAGAAAGTCGAGACGATATATTGACTGAGCGAAGAAAATACAGCTACGTGCCCCAACAACCAATAAACATTGCACCAGGCTTCAAACACTGATACAAATACACGCTTATGCACACAGACGAACATGGACAAATATTCATGAGATTAGTAGTAGCATTAGGCCCCGGCAACTTGCGGGATCTCAACATGGCAGACGATCACAGAAATTTCACAAACCCTCTATATAGTCTAATGCATTTCAGACTTACGGGGTTCCAATTAACGCAGCCTCCCCATCAAGATTGAATATTCATAAATCCTAATTATCACTAAAATCTCGCATCTCCAAAGTGACTTATTTTTAGCGCATTTTCTCATTTATTGAAAAAAGGCGCTATTGTGCTCGTCATGTCCGTCCGTCCGTGACTTCGCGGACAAGCGGACGAGAAAATGCCCTCTCTGTCACTCACTGCAGTGAGTACTGATCTAATTGTTTATAATTTTGGAAACACACAGCTTGATTGTGTTAACAATTAGATAGGAGATAATTCATCGAGAGGGAATCATGCAGCTTCAAAAAAGCAGGAAAGCTCCTTCTCAGCACTGCATGGAGCTTTCCCGGAAACAAGAGCTTAGGCATGGAAAGTATTCCGAGCCAGCTCCCCAGCAGGTAGGATGTTTTATTTTTTGGGTCCCTAAGGACCCCCCCCCCCTTCCCCAAAGAGCAAATCAGTAGCCAGGTGAAGACAGCGCCCCAACTCCTCAAGAATTGGGTGCTGCCATTCACCGGCCACCGTCGCTCTCGCCGCGTGGCCTGCAACAGCCACAAAAGAGTCTCCGCAAGAATGCGGTGAATCTCTTCCTCCTCTTGGGGGGGCGGCGCCTCGCTTCGGCTCAGCTCTGGCGTCACCAGAGAGCTACTGGCTTTACCAGAGAGGCTCTGTTAACGCCAGTAGCTGGGATCCCAGGGATCCTAGCAACTGGCGTAGGCAGGACTGGCGAATTGCCAGTCCGACATGCCTTAGCCTGACATAGAAGAGCATTCCATGCGTCTTTGGAGACCAGCCATTTTGTTAAAGATTTTTAGTTCAATCGAATTTTCATAGAAAATCGATGATGAAGACGAATTTTGAGACCAGACTTTATAGAGTCCGGTATTGTGGATACGTAATTGGACAAACCCTATATATGGCGTTTCGAGACCGCAGAAAACTTCATTGCCAATTTGAGGTCCATCGGGCAAAGAAAATCGTCATTTTCACTCAAAATATTACAACCCAAATAATTCTCAAACTAACGTCTTTTAAACTGAAGTAACAATCATTTAAAATTGTTACAATACATGTCATCTCTTCCCAAATTTGCCATGCCCACCTATTCTCCCATTAAAAATGAATTGTCAGGTTCTGGTAATATCCCTACACGTAAAGTATCCAGGATGTGCATCATCAGATAGCTCCTTAGCACGTATGTATGTATATACTTATTTGCTTTCCATGCTCCGAACGCACCTGTAAACTATGTACATGACAAATATTTCTAAGATTATATAATTTATATATTTGTGAAAGTGTTGAGTAGCGTTGTGAAGGAGACATTCCAGTGCATATTCGTGATACCCATATTGCGAATTGAAATTATATTTTATTGAAATTTAATACCAATTCATTGTGAGTTTGAACAGCTCTTATGAAGATTATTTTAGTTGGTAAGTTACCACCGGTATTTGATATTATGAGGTTTGGAATAACAGCATTCAAAAAGAATTTATTTAGAGATAATGGGACTTTCAAATCTCGAGGTTGATCTATCCAGAGCAAAGCTTGGTCAACGCAGTGGCCGCGACCATATGGGTGCGGTCTCGGAATTATTTCGTACGTCGACCGCCCCAGATGAAAAATGCGTCTCGCGTTGTCATGAATTTGATTAGTCATAACTGAGTCTACTACAAATTAAATTGTCTTCAGCATTTATGACTAGTACTGGAGCCGTCGCTATGATTTATACTAACCAATCATTCCGATTATATATGGTCTCCTAAATTTTTCTGATTTATTGAAGTGAAAGTTCATCTGCAATCTGCACCTCTGTAACTTAACCTTATTGATGCATCCTTGTGTGTGGTTTTTCATTTGGAACTGCAGTCAAGTCCGACTCGATTGATATAACCGCCTGACTTGAATTATATGATAGTTTCGTAATAAACTCATTTTATTGTTTCAGTCAGTATAACGTTAGAGGAAAAAACCCTTTCACTATTACCTAAACTGTGGTATACTAGGGCAGACATCTTGTAGAACGGATTAATGGGACACTTAAGAATTCTACTGAACAACCTAGCATCTGGCGAACTGGCGTATGTTAGATGCTGTCCAAAAAGTGTAAGATTTGGTAAAGATTTCATGGTTAGTAACTAATAAACCTGTGGCAGTCATAGCAAAACGAATCAAGTAAAATTCTCAGATCAATACTGCAAGTACAGTAAAACTTCAGAATGAGCAAGTAGTAGTCGAGAGTCGATCGAACAATTGACGTTTGCAAGCCAGTATAGTGTTCACTGTCATAGAGCAAGCACCGCAACATGTCATTACCGAGACAGTTTTCAAGTGATCCTTCTTAATACATTTGTTCGATGTATAATTCAGAGCGACGTGCTGATTCAAATTTCAATCGAAGACCAGAGATTGGAATTTATAAAAAAATTCCTTGTTTATTCCATCAATTAATGGAACGGTGATTTTAACTGCAGGCGCTGGTAGTTCAAAAACAGGTTTCCAGAAAACATTTTAGTAAATTAACATTTTAGTATACTAACGAATGTAACAACATTCATAATCCAAGCTACAAAAGATTCGAATATGAAGTTAAAACAAACGCAAAGAGCGTCAATAAATTCCATTTTCTGGGCATCAATTGAACTTGCATAAAAGAAGAACTATACTAACACTGTACGCGATATTCAAATTTCAGAACAGGTGTCTGTCCGCTATCGACCTAACTTTAGCTGTGTGATTGAATTACCTAATTGAACATTTCAGATCCCCACGGCATGACCGTGCTAGATCAGAAACAGAATTTATGTGATGATCATTATTCAACACCTGCTCCCCGAAAACCTCTGCCGTGGCTTGGCAATCTCATCCCGAAGACGACACCCGTTCGCTTGGCGATTTGAGGTCACCCTCTACAGGCTCGCTCCGCCCTGACAGCTCCACAAGACTTACAGCGCTGCGTCCTATCCATTCGGCGTCCAGCCTGCGATTGCAGATAGAAAATTTCTCGTCTTCTTTATCCCTGCAGGGAATTCATATCAACACCCGTGTACCATCTTCTACTCGTGTTGCTAGACCAACAAGTAATCGTTTGAAGCCTGTGTTTAGAAGACAGAATAGCCTACCGCTTCGCAGGAGCGATTCGTCCTCATCTTTTGGTTTGGATATTAAAGAACCATCATCGAGACCAGGGACTCCTATCCTTACGCCTCGTACAATATTCTCTCACTCTCCAGACGTAATTTTTGAGTCGACACAGCATGTCCTCGGAAAAAGCAATTCGGCTGCCTCTTTGTTCCGTCGACCTTTGAGTGAACATCATCGACAATTCTTGTCTCTTGAAACTGAAGAGGCACCACCCACTTTTGCAGAGGACGATACTGATCCAAAAGAGGCTGATTCAAACGAAGACTCTGGAAATTCCCTTGAACATCTTGCCCCTAATTCAAGCCTGAAGATCAACGAAAACCAAGAATCAAGGAGTCCTGACCAAGAAGAATCATTGCCCATCCTCAAAGAAGAAGATGAGCTTGGAGCCGTCGAAGAGGAGGAAGAAACTGCGTCCGTTGAAGAAGAAGACATAATAACAGTGATTGAAAGGCGAGAGAAGAGAGTGAATGGCGGAAAACTTTCTTTTTATCCTGAGTCAGTCGAAGAGCCGGACACAATCGAGCAAGAAATCGATCAAAATTTGAACGTCGAGCAACATTCGTTGGAATCAAAAATACATCAAATAACGTACGTGGAGCCTCCCGGTACCGACAACGACTCACAATCACCTTTCACGCAGATTTCCCTCGTGAATGTTGACACTAGCTTGAGTTTGAAGTGAGTTTTAATATAGAAAACCCTGTCATCAATAAATAACTGGAGTGTATGGTGTCAGTAATAAGGAATTACTGGCGTTTGCGTCTCATCTTTCACTTTGATTGCATATATAGTTTGTCATGAATTATTTTTCACGTGTAAATCAAAGTATATGGCCTTTTTACGGGTTTCTTAAAATCATATTATTCTTACATTGTCTCAACTTGAATGCATTCAACATCCGATAATTAGTAGATATTTGCAATAGTTTGTTTCATATGATAATTTGATCTGAAAAACCAATAAATATTTGTGCCATGCCCAACAGGAACGCTATCAACGCAGCCATGGTTGAGGGCAAAGTCGTCTACGCGTCGTCTCATGATCCGAACTTCCCTCCCTCAGCCGTGCTGGACGGGTGAGAGCTTATGGTTAATTATACTGTGCAGAATGGGTGAGCTCATTTGTTTTGTAAGCACTGTGTTAGACGGGTGAGAGCTCATGATAAATCTTACTGTGCAGAACGGGTGAGCTTATTTGTTTTTTTAGTACTGTGTTGGACGGGTGAGAGCTCATGATAAATCTTACTGTGCAGAACGGGTGAGCTTAATTGTTTTTAAGAACTGTGTTGGACGGGAGGGTGTACATTAAAAGACTTACTGTGCTGACGGGTGATAGTACATAAATAGTATCACTGTGCTGGACGGGTGAGTACTTGCATCGTTCTGAGGCGTCTGAGCCAAATCTACAAGTTCGTTGTTGATATATAACTGTTAATACACGTGACACCTTAGTAATGACACACTTTAGCAGTGATACTTTGCTAGATACGCGGCAAGTTATTGATGATAGATTGCTAAGTATACGCGATACAGTAGTGATATGCCGCTAGATACGCGCCAAGTTATTGATGATAGATCGCTAAGTATACGCGATACATGCAGTAGTGATACGTCGCTAGATACGCGGCAAGTTATTGATGATAGATCGCTAAGTATACGCGATACAGTAGTGATACGTCGCTAGATACGCGCCAAGTTATTGATGATAGATCGCTAAGTATACGCGATACAGTAGTGATACGTCGCGCTAGATACACGAGAGCCCGAACACAAAACTGGTGCGTGCAGAAGCTTCCATCAGCTCAAGTTCGAATCGATGCTCCAGCTGCTGCCTTATCCATACATCTATCACGCCGCGGTGCGGTATTGTGATTATTTACGACGCCGTCTTAGCCAAAGATTAATCGAATAACAATCAATATATTTGCTTGAAATAGTTAGCTGCCTGATAGTTTTTAAACTTGAAGAATTTAGGTTATATTTCTTAATGATTTTTTTTTCTGAACGAACAGCAAATCAGATACGTATTGGGTGAGTGGCGGACTGTTCCCACAGCAGCTCGTGATCTCCATGCCCGGCCTCGCTACGCTTTCCGGCATTCAGATCAGCACCTACAACGGTCAGAATTTTTCTCACTTACTCACTTAAATATTACTAGACAAAACTTGCACACCATTTTATCTTGTAAATAATGTTGATTATTTGGTAATTTAATAGTGTAATCTCACAAATTAAAAGAAGAACCATGAATACAAACTTTACATAGAAAATTGCAAATGCGATCAAATTTCAGCTGTATTTCAGTGTTTGGTTACGGTCATTTACCAGGACTTGTATTGTAATTCGATGAGTAGTAGGTAAATTCAAGGCTTCCTAGCTATACTGCCAAGCTTCCTGGTCAAATATCTGTTTCACATGCTCGTTCGTAAACATAGAATAACATAGTTTTGTTTGCACTTCTTGAAGTACGTGTCTACTTGGCATTGCATGAGAGCGAAATGAAAACGAGTATCTATTTATTTTATTCAATTCACAGTGAAATCAATGGTGCTTGAACGAAGTGTGAAGAATCAGCCGACAGATTTCCAAGAGGTAACCAACAAAGGCGAGTGTAATATCATACTATATTTTAATTACCTATATTACTAAGTACTTTATTAGAATCAATAAAAGTCAATAATAACTTTTTTCATCCAGACGAACAGATGAAAGTGAAGATGTGTACTTCGTTTCAAAATTATCAATACTAAGGAGAATTATTTAACTAACTGATGATGATGAATTCCGGATCTAGATATTATTTAAAATAACGAATGTTCAAATTTCGTTCTTTTGGTTGTGTTGGTGGAATTCCTGATGAGTGTTCGGTACTAGGTAAAAGAACCACGGTTGGATTCGGATAACGAGAAGGCCTTTTCTATTCTCTCCCTTTGCCTTTGCCAATTGATGAACTGATTTATTGCATTCAATTACATATAATTTTGAACATGATACTTAATTTCTTGTTGTGACAATACTTTCGCATGGCCCACGTTAAGGTCTGACACGCCTTTTGATCACTGAATTTGTCGATAAATTTTTCCGACTCGTGTCGTAGGTACCTACAATATTCAATAAGTCGATTTCCGGTAACTTTTCTTCAGATTTTCAGTATCTTGAGATTTTGAGCTAAATTTTTAATAAATTTTGCGTTTCTCAAGATTGATGATGAAAGAAAATCTCAAAAAATAGAGAAATCACAAGATTGATGATGAGAATCTTAGTTATGTTTTCTGGAATAATATTCAATAATACATCTGATAATTATTTCGATAATATTCATTTGCAGAGCTGGAACATAGAGAGGGGAGACTGCAGGAAAGCTCGTTGGTGTCAGAGGCCGTGCCTGCTCAGCATCTGAGGATCATCATTAAAACAGGTCGCACATATCACCGCAAAAATATATTAAAAATATAACTCAGTACTCACTGCAGTGAGTGACACAGAGCGCATTTTCTCGTCGACGAAAAGGTGAAGTCACGGAAGGACAGACAGACAGACAGACGGACGGACGGATGGACGGACACGACGAGCACAATAGCGCCTTTTTTCCATAAATGAGAAAATGCGCTAAAAAGATTGTTTGATTATTTCATATAAAATGACGGAGGGAAACATAAAAAATTTGGAAAAGATTTTTACTTATTTTGAACTTATGTTGTTTGTTCTCTTCGGTAAGCCCCTAACAATCGTTGATTTTGTAACCGCGCTGTCATAGATATTAATTTTTTCTCAATATTTGTGCGGTAGCACAATTGATATTTTCTTGCATTGAAATTTTTTTGCTTGCTTTATAGCGTTTAATGTTATTTATATATTATTTAAGATTGCACTAATATATTCACTCGATTGCGGTATAATATTCTATTGTTACAACAATTAAGGAGAACTATTTTCGACCCCATCATAATTAAAATTATATTACAAGCGCGATTCCTTGGTATTTTCTTTCCTAATTTTGGGCAATTTTACGAGGAATATAATTAATATAATAAGATAGTAATAAAGTTACTACGATGTTATTTTCACGCGATGCGTTGGCAGCTCGACTACTTAATATTTTCTTTCCTTATTCAGTCATGGGTGAACTATACTAGTTCAACCATGCTATTTAGTATTATACTCTTAATAATAGTGAATATATATTCACTGTCATCTCGGTATTCACTGTCTAGGTGGTATTCAATATGTATTCACTGTCACTTCACTGTCATCTCGGTTACTTAATATTTTCTTTCCTTATTTAGTCATGGGTGAACTATACTAGTTCAACCGTGTTATTTAGTATTACAGTATACTTCTAATATTATTAAAAAATAAAATAGGATAATAATGAATTTATTACGAGACTAACTTATTTTATTTCATTTATTGAAGAAAAGTGGTTACCTCGATAGCTCGAGGAAAAGCTCCACATAGAATTAAAAAAATTAAATATACGATCACACAAGCATATACATACATACATTTACATACACACACACATTTAACGCGATACGTGGGCAGGTTACGACCACTTCTGCTCTGTGCACCGCGTGCAACTGAGCGGGCAACTGCACGAGCCTCCTGCCTCCAAGACCCCCAAGACCTCCGTCACTGCCGCGCCCTCCGCCTTATCTGTGCCCTCTAATGACGTCATCAAGCCTGATCTCAGGAAGACCTCCACTGATAGGTACTATGTCCCTAACGTCTTATGACAAGGGAATGTATTTATTTTGGTGAATTGAACTTTATTTGATATTTGTCCAATAAAATGTAAGCCACTTCCTCTAATTCATGTGATGATTATGATGTTTTCAAATTAAATTCATTGTTGACTGAAAGAGATTTTATCATCTACCAAGACAAATTTCATGTCAACGCATACTTAATTTTTCAGTGAGTTTAGGAAAGTTTCTTGTACATAAAGTTACGGAATTTGCAACGGTAATTTTATTTTCTAAATTCCTGGACGAAAGTGAAGTAATCTAAAAAGATGATTTAATTGCAAGAAATTAATATCTTATATTTTTCAGCTCGTTCAGCCAGCGAAGTCGCACTAAAGCTCCGCCCGCTGAACTAAGCTCAAGTTGGGCCAACGACGGAATTCAAAACGAAGATGAAGACGACGAAGAAGAAGAAGAAATAGAAGTGGAAAAGGATCCGGACGAAATACAGAAACTAACAGAACATGACGATAGTGAAGAGGAAGTAATTGACAATAATCGCAATTTGATAACTCCATTGAATTACCAAATGTCTGAGGCCCCTCCTGTGAACATGATGCAGACGTCAGCCCTGCGTATGGTGCAGGCTGGTCCTGTCACTGTCAGCCAACGGTCCCCGTCACGACGGCCGGGGCCCTTGCAGGTCCAACCGCGGCAGCCTGACGAGTTCATATACGGCATGCCGCTCTCAGAAGATGATGACGACTGATTGGTGATGAAGAAGATGATGACGACTGATTGATGATGAAAAAGATTATGACGACTGTTGTTATCATCGCTGTGAGTGGTAGCGGTGTATTTTTTAAGTGTGTTATGTGGTTTCCTGTATAAGTTCAGCCTGGGCAGCCTGACGAGTTCATTTTCGGTGTGCCGGCGTCCAAAGATGACGACGATTGATTGCCCGTTGTTGCCATGGTGGTATTGACGTATATGTGAGGTGTGTTCCTGCAGTCGTGAGTGGTAGAGGCGTATTTTTGAGGTGTGTTTCTGCAGTCGTGAGTGGTAGAGGCGTATTTTTGAGGTGTGTTTCTGCAGTCGTGAGTGGTAGTAACGTATTTTTTGAGGTGTGTTTTACAGTCGTGAGTGGTAGCGGCGTATTTTTGAGGTGTGTTCCAACTGTCGTGGGTAGCACTAGCGTATTTTTTGAGGTGTGTTCCTACAGTCGTGGGTGGTAGTGGCGTATTTTTGAGGTGTGTTCTAACTGTCGTGAGTGGTATTGACGTATATTTGAGGTGTGTTCCTACAGTCGTGAGTGGTGGTGGCGTATTTTTGAGGTGTGTTCCTACAGTCGTGGTTGGTAGTGGCGAACTTTTTGAGGTGTGTTCCTACGGTCGTGAGTGGTAGTGGCATGTTTTTGAGGTGTGTCCCTACAGACGTGGGTAGCACTAGCGCATTTTTGAGGTGTGTTCCTACAGTCGTGAGTGGTAGTGGCGTATTTTTGAGGTGTGTTTTGCAATTTCATGTACGATTGTAACAACAGATACCGCGACAGGCTCTACCATCGTGTATCAATTATCACAAAATGCGATTTGGAGTTAAAGTTGATTCTCATTCTCTGTGTGTGATGGCACCGTAGTCTATCAGCCGCGTGGATTTCACGATCAGTTAAGTGGTGATATTGTATTCTTATCGAACACAAAACAGTATTAATAAACTCGCAAACATTTTCAAATAATCAAAATTAAGATGAAGACTGAGATTATTTTCTACTCCTACCAGGAGGAATACAAGCCGATTTGCCTTTTTAGAAGCAGATGGGAACCGGCATTTGACATTTTCAGGGAAGTCAGCGGTTATTTTGAAATGACTATCACAGTATTAACGCAAGTATTCGTCATGATTTCATTACAAATGATAGCTGCTATCGTTGAGATAAACTGTGGACAAATTATTAGTTTGTTATACAATTATATGAGAACCCACTTGTTGCAATTAACTTATTTATTATTCCTAAGATTAGGGATGCCCTCTGAGGAACCTTGCCTACCCTGTAACCGTAAAGCTCCGTAATGCGTTTCTTGATGCCCTCTCAGTTCAGATGATGTATGGATCCATAAGATCTAGCTGGTGACGCGCATGTTCAGTGAAAGAGTTTATAATGTAAAAATTACCTCGGATTGGTTCTGCTGATGATTTCACAGGCTAATGACTTAAGTTCAACGTTGAAACTTTTGGTTACCGGCTGTTTTCTCGTCCCGCAATTGTTGCTCCTAACACGTTTAGTTTTAGGAGTCGTTTGAATAACTGATCTTAACTAATAAACTTTCTTCAATAGTAAAAACTACAACTGGCAGATGTTGTACTGGGGTGGATAGCTAGAGGTCAGCATAGCCCAAGTCCACAGTGCGATTCATATACCTTCCCGATTGATGGTTGGCGTAGATATGGTATGGTTGTGTAGATATGGAATGCTGATGGTTGGCGTTGGGCCCAGGGCCTGTTTACGATCCAATTTTGTTACCCACGGCTGCGCTCCCTTGTACTGTGGTCGGGCGTGAAATATTTTTCTTGACTGCAGCTGACAGAATTTTTTTATTGTTGTAAAGGCTGTTATCTATTTTATTATGACCATAAAAGCACATGATAACTAATAATTTTCTTCAAATAAAGATGTGACTCACCGAACTATAAAAATTGCTTAGGAAAATATAGTCATGCGATCACGGTTATCAGCAAGCTACGTTTAAAGTAAAAATGCAGCCAGTGCGTTGATACCAAGGTTCCGTAATGAAGATAAGGTCATTAAAACTTCGATAGAATTGTAATATTTTGAGTATATTAATGGCAAATTATATTCAAAATTCTTCTATATTTTGAAGAAAATGCAAATAAACACTAGCTGGTGAGGAACATGAGCGCAATAGCATGTTTTCGAAATTTTCCAACATTGCAGACATGTGTGAGTATTAAAGGCTTTATTCTCATTGATTTAATTTTGGTCACCTTCGAAGTAATGAGTATAGAAGATCATTTGAGTGACTTGCAAGTGTATTCTCTCTCATTCTCATTTGAATATGCTACTAGAACAATTTATTTAGAGTACGAGTCCAGTAAATGGAAAAACCAGTTATAGCTTTGAAAAGTTACAATTATTTGTATAGATAACAAATCAATACTGCTCATGATTTCTTATCATCGGAAGATTTATACCACAATTTAGGATGAAGCTCCTTCTAATAGTATCTGCAGACAGTGATAAACCAACAGCTTCCCAAGTGAGTCTATTGAACCAGTCACGAACCAGACATCGGGGTCACTTAGTATGATAATGTGCTCTAGAAACCTCGTTGAACCGATAACAGAAGCCTGAGAACGCTCGCATGATGCCTTATAAATATTTATGATAACGGAAAATTTTATTGTATGTTGTATTGTTAAATTGTGAATTCCACTTCTTCAACGATTTGAAATTCCTATATGGGAAGTAAATTATTGCTCCTGCAGAGTAATGCATATGAAAAAGAGATGAAAATTGTATATTCGACGCACGACAGTGCGTCCACCAGTCAATTTATTGGACATTTAAACAAAAGTAAAGATCGACAAAATGTGTTCGTTAATTTTCAGGCTCATTTTTCTGTGCAAATATTCTTAATAATTGAGTAGTAGACAGTCTAAGCCCACATATTGTGCTACTTATGTTCATAGTACAGCTTCTCAATGTCATGGAAAAATCATGTTCTAGCTCTACGTTGCCTAGCGACATCTGGCAAGACTGGCATTAACATGTGATAGCTAACATCTACGTATAGTATTTTTCAGTATCAATATTATTAGTAATCGAGTCTATGCTCTTCTACTCAGAAGTAGAATGCCAAAGCAGACAGATTGCTCTACTAATAATTGCAGTACAGCTCCTCAATGTCATGGTCAACTCATGTTCTAACTCTGCGTCGCCTTGCGATACATTGTATCTACGCATGGTAACTGGCATCTACATGCGGTATCACTATCAGCTGTAACTTAGCAGTGTCTGAACTCCACAGCCACGTCATATAGTCTGTGAACTTCTCGCTCACGACTTGAGTGTCTGATAGAAACTACCGTGAGAAATGCCAAATCTCGATGATGTATTCCTGGAAAATAGGTACTTCACTTATTACCAATCAGCCTAAACAAAGTTAATATTTATGGGCAGAAAATTAAAGAAAATCTAATGGATTATATTTTCTTCTCTCACTATTTTTTTAGAGAAAATTAAAATAATGCTAGAAGTCTTGTTCATGCTTAATCTTTCTTCAATTAATTGTCATTCTTGTCCCCGTGGTCCCGAATGGGCGGTATAGTGCTCCCTAGTGATGAATTTTTAATTTCTCTTGACGATGGCGGGTAAGAGTTTTGAATATTTACAAGTCTTCTGGAAAAGGCCAGACGTTCATTGTAGTATTTCCCATTGGACAATAAAATGAAAAATATTAAAAGCGAGTGCCTTATCATGCGCATGCCTTACTGGAGTATTTTTCTTTACTAAGATTTTTGTTACATAATCAAACTCTTGATTGATGACTTTATTCATCAATAGAGAATAATAATATTTAATTTCTTGAATAAAGTCATCAATCAATACAATTATAAGGAAGAAGGCCTCATAACAAGCTTGGTACTTGATTAATCGATTAAAATTCATTCACCCAGTATTACCTCGTATATAATAGTTTTTTCTCAGTTTCACTGTTTCAAGTTGAATGCGTGGTATGCTCGCCGTAAATAAATATTCAATTAAAACTGAATACTACTGCCAGCTTCAACATTGTCATTGGTAAAAACTTGTACACAAACTTCGCACATACACGCAGAAGACATGGACTTGGGACTTGACACGGTGGCAACTGGCAACGCACACAAGGCCGAGTGTCTGTATGTATATAAAAACTAAAGAGGCGGCCCTAGCCTAGCCACGGGCAACAGTCAACACTGGCAGTGGTGAGGCTGCGGATTCTTCACGTGGACAGTAGCTGATCGGGAAGGGTACGATGCTGACTTGGACCAGCGTGCGATTCTCTTCAACAATTCTTGGATCTTGGGAAAGAACTTGCAGTTTACCGATGAGTCCTAGGCGCTGAGAAACAAACAGCAGAGAGCTCGTTTACACGAAATATAGAAATAATGATAACAGAATACTTTAGTTTGCAATAATCAGTGAGAAAGCAGTATTATAGACTGAAGTGTAGAGTGATAATACCAGAGGTATTGAAGTGACTAGTATATGTTGAAATTCCTGTTGCTATGTCATGTACGTACCCGCAATCGTCATTTTTAAATAACGTATTGGTGTGCTTTTGTTTATATGAGCTAGCCTATTATGAAATAATCGTTCAAAAAATCGTTCAAGTTTTTTTTCATATATTTTTAACATAATACATGTCGTGAGGATCTAAGAAAAATACCCTAGAAAGTCATACATAACATATTAACGTTGCGTTTATAAACGACCTGCCCGAAGCTGTGTCTAGCGGTGCTCGATGTATAGAATAGAATAGAATAGAATAGAATAGAAGTGTCGGCATCGAAGAATATAGGCCCATGGCCTGTTGCCGATTCTTGAATTTTTCGTGCCTTGATTCACAAGGGATCCGGCCTTTGGAACCCGATCTTTCCATAACTGATGATTGAGTGAGATAGCTGCTGGACTTATTGCCTGGTCCGTAATTTGCTAGGCATTTTAAGACTGAACATATGCTTATATGTATATTAGATATGAACATATGCTGCATAGCTTCGTCTAGTCTGTTTTTGAAGGCGACACAAAAATTCATACTACAGTGAAGAATACGTCTATTTCTTCAGTGCCGAGTGCCGACACTTCTATTTTATTCAGTAATTGGAGAAAGTTTGTTTGATTAAAGCTTGATTTGATTTGTAAATTTAGTTTTGACACAAAAAATGCATAATTGAAGTAAGTGAAAAAAAAGTCGATGACTAATTTCTACTCTTTAGAATTTTAGTTCCTTTTTTGTGCGAAAAGTCTGAAAAAATTACTTAGTGCTACTTCCGTAGAGCGACTGCTAGACTGTCAGCGACACTGTGACTGCCTGTGAGTCTGTGACAGACCGACCAGTCAGTGACAGACGGTGGTACGAGGTAGCTGAGGTAACTAGTTGGCATCTGCAGCTCAGGCTGCCAGGCAGCTGTCGCTTGCGACTTGCCTACTGGCGTCGGAATGGCCAAATGCTGACGTGACATATGTTTGTATTACTTCTGTTAACCAATCGAGAATAGTTTTGTATAGCAACACATTTTGATAGAGAATTAGCTACTAAAAGTATAAGAAGCTAGTGCCTCTGGCAAGAATTCATGACCTCTGATTTTAGTCAGTAATGTAGGTATATTGACTTAGGCCTATTGTACATGCGGCACAGGTTCGTTTATGATGTTCTGTATTGACTTCTACTTTCTAGTAGGTATTTTCTTTCCTCTTCACCTACTTGCTAAGTTGCTAGTTGCAACTTGCAGTTGCAAGTATGAAGTACCCACTACCTGGTACCGTAACTAGGATACCTATCTTCAGTTATTGATATTCAAGCTGAAGTGATGATCTTATCCTTGACTGTTTGAAAATATTTTTTGCTTTTAATGTAGGTAGATCATAAGAATAAGATAAATGGTCTTGTAAAGTTGTAGTTATATGTTGTTAGAAACGCGATATTAAATAATTCATTGTACATTTTGTACTGTCATAGGATATTTTTGTTATTTATTTCTATTTTTTAGCATTTATATATTTTTATATTATGTTTTATCAGTATACCTATGATTGAAACCCCCAGAAAAAGGACTTATTGAATGTATATTGTTAATTATAAAAGTTCTTATGTCTTACCTAACATAGTTACTATATCAAATTGTCTATAAGTTATAACTTGTGTCATCACTGTCACAACTTAGGAGTCAATGATGCATTGATCATGCATTGACATTTTATACTTGACTGAGTACTGACTTGAGCTTCTGAGTAAGTGTATGTAACCATACTACATACTTTGGTTAAAACTTAGTTAAGTTACTTGAGTACACTTGAAAATGTTGCATTTTATAACTTCAATAAAAGTAAATACAAATATTCCAGTAACAATGAAAATAAAATAGCTTGCACCTAATTCTGTCTTCATCACAAACTGGTTGAAATCTTACCTATATTAATAAAAATAATTTCACCCACACCCAGTATGGTATGTTGGTATCATAGCCTCATAGCCATAGGTATGACTTTGAATGTGTCATGATTACTTATCAATGCAAAATACTACCTATATATATTATTTTTGGATAATATTAAATTTTCCAATCATAGTTTTCATTTAATAATCATGTATCAATAGGTATTAAATAGAGATCCACTAAACACTTGAAAACTAGCCACTCATTCAAAATTTCCATACACAAGCCACACCACTACAGAATAAACTAATGCTATTTTAGCCTATGTACTGTTGCTACACTGGCTATAATTCTAATACTCTTCAACAAATATTAAGCATGTCTATTATAGAGAAGGAAACAATTATATACTTTGTTGCATAATTAATATTTTAGAAACTGTTAGTCTGCTACTACAGCAAGAAAATGGTGCAAGGAAATATTGCTGAAGTGGACCATACTGTCCATAGCTCCTCTCCTTCACTGGCTATGTCATCATCTCCTGCAGATCCATTAGCTCATCTGAAGGCCTTTATTAATGAGCGCAACACCCTACACAGCCATGGTGAGAGTTATTGAAGCTTTTCAATGTATAAAATATGACCTGAGTTTCCTGCAACATTAATTTTCTTAGCAACAAAATCTTATGTTTAATTATTTGAGTAGTGACTAACTTATTTAACTATCAATATATATTATTATGATTATATGAAACTCCAATATGACCTATTAAAGAGCTTTAAAAATAACTATTGGTGATTATTATTAGTCATATTTTTTTTAATTTTCAGTATTTAAATGAATTTCATCAAAAAATTATCTAAGGACAAAAAATTTCCCATGATTATTGAATCAATCATTATGATTTATTATTTATTCTTTCTTTATTATTATTTATTGGCTGGGAAATGAAATGATGGCGGTCTATCATAATTTGTATTTTATATACGGTACTGTATTATACATATTATTTTTTACCCAACTAATTTTTTGACATTTTGCAGGAGAAACTGAAAATGAGCTGCCAGCAACCCCACACCATCAACTTGACTACCTCACTGGCTACCAAAACCTCAGAGAGAAGATCAGTGCCAGAATTGAATCCAGGGATAAATTCTTCTCGCTGGAATTTTTCCCTCCGAGAACTAAGGGTGGTGCTGTCAATTTGCTTGCAAGGTTAATAAATTCATCCCCTGTGTTTACTGGCAGCAAAAAAAAAGGATCTTAGTTTTTTATAGTTGGATATTTCTCACTAATGCACTAACCTTGCAATAATGATGTCTAACTCTTGCAATAATAATTTCATAACTCATCACTCTGCACCAATGATAAGATGGAGAAATTTTGTTTCCTCAATGCAGATTTGACCGTTTGAAGGAAGGAGACCCACTTTTCTGTGATGTGACGTGGCACCCTGCAGGCAATCCTGGTGGTGACACAGAGACATCCTCCCTCACTATTGCAGGTTAGAAATTCAGTTGATACCTACTTTCTTTCTACAAATAAAGGATGGAATGGATTGTTGTAATCATTAAATTAATTGTAATGTGAAAATTATTTTTGGTGATTCATTATCTTGTGTGGTTTCAAGTCCTGTATGACTCATGTTAATAATATAGGCATCATTTTTTCATTGATAAAAATTATCTTTTAACTGTGTAATATTTACATAAATATATTATGTACCTCATTCTGTACCATATGGTGTAAGTCTTCATTATTAATGCTCATAGTTTTTTTTTCTTGTCTGCTCGTGTGTAAATCAAGTGATTTAAGTTAGGTTCCTATCAGATTGTTTGTATTACTTTGGTCAGCATACAGCGTTATCAGAATGAATTGTCAGATTATTTCGAGGCTTTCACGGCAATGCACTATTGTAGTCAGTGCTCACATTATTATCTTCATTACGTATATAACTGCTTGTAAATCAGCATTACCAAATACCACAGCCATATGGATGTGAGTGATAACATGCAAGTATTTGTTCCCAGGAGCGGCTCTGAACTACTGCGGTCTGGAGACGATGCTGCACATGACGTGCTGCTACATGACCAAGGCAGAGATCACTCGCCACCTCAGCAGAGCCAAGGATCTCGGCCTGCGCAACATTTTAGCTCTCAGAGGAGGTAGAGATCATAATGCTTTGTTCAGATTTGAAAATTTGTTACTATGCTTAATCGTTGAAAAGTCTTTTCTATGAGTAAAAATTTGTTTATCATTCATATTTTGTTTCGTGATTAGTTTCCAATGTATATCTTCGAATGATTATGTAATATTTTATGAATGAGAATGAGTTCAGTTTGAGATGCGGTGGAGAGTGCACTTGCTGTGTTGTTGCTTCAGCAGTTTGACCGATTTGCTTCCTGCATAGAATTGCTTCCGGAACTTTATTGCCGTCCGACGGTTTTGCTGTACAGGCTTGTTTCCGGTGATATATTGTTGTGAGAGACCCAAGCTAAATCTCAGTGAAGGAACCCAAAGTCATTAAACAAATGAGAAAGAAGCTATTTCGATGGCTGGAAAGACAGCAAATAAGACTATTAAGATGGACTAATGAAAAGAAGGTTCATGAAAACGGGTTGCACTGAAAAAATTGAACGGAAGTTCGGAATGCAAAGTTGAATGTTTGCAACTTATGCAAAGAGATCTCGTTGAGAGAAGATGATCTCTTGTTTCACAAATAACTGGTACAAACTGGAAAACAAACTGGTACAAATAACTGGAAATACATTGCAGCAAAGTGGAGTTGAAGAATCAATGTTGGATGAGCTTCGTCACGAGGCTCCGTTGGTCAAGTCACCACCAATCATTGTTTATTCTCATTATTGCTTTAAACCTCAGTATTTCAGTGTTCCAAACGAAAACCATTTGTGAAATTTTCATTTTGTTAATAGAAATGTTGATGCATTCTGCAGACCCTCATTCTGTTGATGTTGCAGACCCTCCACACGGTGCAGACAACTGGTCACCACCCTCGGATGGGTTCACGTATGGCAGCGACCTGGTCGAATACATCCATGCTCAGTTCGGGGACTACTTTGTTGTTGGGGTGGCAGGCTACCCTACTGGTCACCCTGACGCTACCTCGTACGAAGACGACATCAGACACCTCAAGGAGAAGGCATGTTGAATCTTGCTAAGAATAAGCACCCCAGTGTGACCTTGTTTAGAAAATTTTTTCTAGTATATCTATATTAATAAAGAGCAATGCATTTTTAGCGCATTTTCTCATTTATTGAAAAAATGCCCTATTGTGCTCGTCATGTCCATCCGTCTGTCCGTGACTTCACGTTTTCGTCAACAAGAAAATGCGCTCTCTGTCACTCTTTGCAGTGAGTACTGAGTTATATGTTTTTGCATTTAATTGCTATTCTCAAAAAATGTTTTAATAGATTTAATTTGTTGGTATTATTCATTCAATTAACCTTGTTTAGAACACACACCTCAGTAATGTTCTTGTTAACAATACGCAGCCCAGTAACATCTACATCAGCCCACTAACAGTAGGGTGCGTATTCTTAACAACCTCCGTTATTTTAAAATGGCTGACTCTCTTGAAAAAAAAATTTTTGGTTTTGAGTTTGAAAGTGTTCTTTATTTTTTTTTCTAGTGGATTTTTTTTTCAAACGATGCTGGTTGATTGGTGTGTTTGAAACAAAAATTTCCCAATTTCTTGCTGATTCTACTTTTTTGAATTAGATTTCATCATTTTGTTGCTTTCTCTCTTCGGTGATGTTTATGATTGCCAAACATATATCATGCAATTAACATCTAATTACATTCATATTACATATCTTTATTGATTTGTTTGCTGCTTAGTACATTATGCTTTGAAATGATGTACCTATCATTATTTATTTTCAGGTGGATAAAGGGGCCGACTTTATTATCACTCAGTTGTTCTTCAAAGCTGAGACGTTCATCAAGTTCGAGAAGGACTGCAGAGCTGCAGGCATCACGTGTCCTATAATCCCCGGTCAGTTTATGTTGATAAACTGCCTTTTTTGATTGATCTCTCTGCTTTTGTATGTACCGTCAAGTGGGGTGACTTCGGCCACCGGGGGTGACTTCGGCCACCACTACAACAGAAACAGATGACAGCAAAACAAAATAATAAACGTTGGCCAAAGTCACCCCGGAGACCAAAGTCACCCCAGTCACTTTGTCAAACGTTTATTATTTTGTTTTGCTGCCATTTGTTTCTGTTGTAGGTGTGGCCGAAGTCACCCCACGTGACGGTATATCATTTTTCTTCAGATCGTCAATCACTAACTGTATTAATATATTTTAACTCAAGCTCAAAGCTTATTTCTACCTATGATAATAGGCACAAATATTTTGGTAAAATTATTAAAGTTATAGGTACTTTCCGATTTTTTTACGACACTCGTTCTGCTTCTTATAAAATATTCTGTTACAGGAATCATGCCGATCCAATCGTACGATTCGTTACGACACACGTTATATTTGTCATAAAATGTTCTGTTACAGGAATCGTACGATTCGTTACGACACACGTTCTATTTGTCATAAAATATTCTGTTACATGGATCATGCCGATCCAATCGTACGATTCGTTACGACACACGTTCTATTTGCCATAAAATATTCTGTTACAGGGATCATGCCGATCCAATCGTACGATTCGTTACGACACTCGTTCTGCTTGTTATAAAATATTCTGTTGCAGGAATCATGCCGATCCAGTCGTACGATTCGTTACGACACATCGTGAAGTTGAGCAGACTGGACGTGCCAAAGGAGATCATGGAAGTGGTTGCGCCCCTGAAAGACAACGATGAAGCCATCAGGAATTTCGGCATTCATCACGCCTCTACACTCATAAAAGAGCTTTTTGACAAAGGGATAGCGCCTGGGGTTCATTTCTACACACTCAACAGGTTTGAGAAATATTCCTGACATACGTAGATTTACTTTGGATTAAATTTACAAATAGAAGTCATTGTCTTTGTGTATAAATGAGTGAAATTCCTAATAATATGTTCAATTGTTCATGTGGTTAAAGCAAATATGCGATACGGTATGTGCAAAATGTATTGATGTTCGACCATTTGTTTGATATGTGAACTAAACAATTGTCTGGTTGTAAGGATGAGTGAGATTCCTGCAAAGTTATTCATATGGATAATGTAACTTAACGAGATGTGCTAAAGTGGCAACCACTATATAACGAATGTAACTTAACTATATAACTAATGCAACTTGAGCTCTATGTAACTAATGTAACCTGACCACTATGTAACTAATGTAACTTAACCACTATGTAACTAATGTAACTTGACCACTATGTAACTAATGTAACCTGACCACTATGTAACTAATGTAACTTAACGAGATGTGCTAAAGTTGCAACCACTATATAACTAATGTAACTTAACTATGTAACTAATGTAACTTGACCTCTATGTAACTAATGTAAAGTGACCACTATGTAACTAATGTAACTTGACCACTATGTAACTAATGTAACTTGACGACTATGTAACTAATGTAACTTGACGACTATGTAACTAATGTAACTTGACGACAATGTAACTAATGTAACTTGACGACTATGTAACTAATGTAACTTGACGACTATGTAACTAATGTAACTTGACGACTATGTAACTAATGTAACTTGACCACTATGTAACTAATGTAACTTAATGATGTAACTTAATAATGTAACTTAATAATGTAACTTAATAATGTAACTTAATAATGTAACTTAATAATGTAACTTAATAATGTAACTTAACGAGATGTGCCCTGACAGAGAAGTGGCAACCACTGCCATCCTGAAGAAACTTGGCCTGTGGGCAGGGGCTCCTCGGCGGCCGTTACCCTGGAAGATGGCGGCCAATTACAAGCGCTGCTGTGAAGACGTCAGGCCCATATTCTGGGCCACCAGACCAAAGGCTTACGTCTACAGGCCAGTGAAAAGCATTTGATAGCTGGTCATTAATTACGATAGTATAAATATATCTAGTCACTCACGTCAACATTTCAGCACTGATCAAAAATGAAAAAAATTGTTCATTAATTTGATGCATCATTAATTAATTTATATCAGTATTCCTACTTATATTTTTTTACTCTGTTGCAAGTGTACCTTTGTACCTTCGTTTACAGAATTTTTCAAGTATTCAAGCAATATTTTTTATTATTTCTTCATTACTTAACGCTTAACTGATTATCCTTCATCAATTTTGTATGGTTATAACAGGTCATTTTATCTGAAGTTCTTTTGCTTTATTTGAGGTTCTTCTATTTTATTTGAGGATCTTCTATTTTAGCTGAGGTTCTTCAATAATAATTACCTAGTTTCCTTGGGTTACAGAACACAGCACTGGGATGACTTCCCCAACGGGAGGTGGGGCAGCTCTGAGTCTCCTGCGTTTGGAGAGCTCAAGGATTACTACCTCTTCTACCTGAAGGTGAAGCTTCACAGATATTTATTCGCTCAAGTTTTTAACGCTGGTCACGTTGCTAGTTTTTACAACGCTAAGATCGTACCGAGTGTAGTTACAGTTGTACGTATGCAGTACAACAAGGGTTGAACGAATTCAAATTGTGGTGGCTGAGCAAATTATTTCTGTAATTACATTCGTAAATTTTTTATCCAGTTTTTCCTGATCTTAATCATAGAATATTTTTGAAGCCATTTAGGGTAAATGTATAATGTAGCAAAGGATATCTTAAATTCATATTTAAGAAAATTCATGGCCTTTGTCTTAGTGAATAAAATTGAAATGTAAATTCAACTACAGAGAATTAAGTGAGCACATACAGCGATAGCCAGTACAGAAATGTCCAAGTCCTTTAATAATGAAATCCTTTGGCATGGATTTATCATTTTTTAGAGTTTAATAGATGATTAGTTCATGTATTTACAATATTATTTGTTGCAGTCAAAGAGCAGTCGCGACGAGCTGCTGTCGATGTGGGGGGAGAGCATCAGTTCAGAGGAGGACGTGTGGCGCGTCTTCCACGCGTACATCACCGGCACCCCCGCCTGGGAGGGAGCTAAAGTCGTCACCAAGGTGCCTGTGTAAATAAAGAAACAAATTTCCATGTAGTACAGCATCAATTTTATGAACAGAATGTTTGAAAAGGACAACTGAATAATAAACAAACAAATTTCCATGTAGTTAGGACGAGTGGCCTCCTGCCACTCGTCCTTACTACATGGAAATTTGTTTAATTTTCAGTTGTAATTTTCCAACATTCTGTTCATAAAGTTGATGCTGAACTACATGGAAACTTGTTTCTTTATTTTACAGTCATTCATAAAATAGATGCTGAACTATATGGAAATTTGCTTATTTTTCAGTTGTCCTTTTCCAAAATTCTGTTCTGTTCATAAAATTGATGCTGAATTACATGAAAATTTGTTTATTTTTCAGTTGTCTTTTTCCAACTTCTGTTCATAAAATTGTTGCTAAACTAAATAGAAATTTGTTTATTTATTTTAAAGTTATTCCTAAAATTAATTCTGTCTCATTAATTAACGGGATCTGTATTTCAGTTGATTATTGTTCTTAATCAGTTCTTTTAGTAGATCATCTTCGTACAAAATGATCGAACTTGGAGAGCAGTTGTAGTTGAACATTTCATTAGAATACATTTTGGGAAAATGCAGTCTACCCTATTTAAATTTTAGTAACAATTACAATGAGCCTCAATTGCTTTATAGTTTTGGTTGCTTTAGCTTTGTAAAGTGAGGATGAAACTCCGACAGGACTAGCGCTATTACAGTCACGTATCGACATATTACTTCCTAAAATTTGAATTTCATTAACTGCTCGACTTGCTCCATGATAATTCAAAGTGTTGAAGCAATCTCCCTGAATCTCTTTCAAATTTTTCTCACAATGTAGGGATCATTCACTAGCCATTTGACCGTTTCAAAATTGTTCGTGCAGGTTCCCTGGAACGACGACGAACTGAGCGCTGAGACCTGCCAGCTGCGCGACAAGCTCGCGCACTTCAACTTGCGTGGCGTTCTCTCCATCAACTCACAGGTGAGGCAGGCTAATTTATATCTGATAATGATCTTTTGATTTTAACTCGCTAACTTTTCCCAAAAATTACAACATTAATTGACTAGGTTGGTAGAATTTTCTACAAAAATAGAATTTAAACTGATCGTTTCAGCAGGTTTTCCGATTTTCTTGAATCGTAATGGGATCTTGGTTCAGTGTTTGTAGGTTTTTTTCTTAGGTTGTTTCTGGAAAAAAGTTTCTTTTCTTCATCGACGTATACAATAGTTTGTATTGCGAATTTGGTGCCTTAATCGATAGGGGTTATTTATTGTTGAGAATTTTTTTAAGTCTGAGTGAATTAATCTATTGTCAATCGTCTTTCATTATTTGCCACAATAATATCTAGATGAGTTCTGGTATTTTGGACGGATTTCTAGATAAGTTATCATATTTTACTCAGTTTGTCTATTTTCAGGCGCTTCATTATATAGATAAGTCATAAATTTAAACGAGTTGTTCACTTTGTGACGCTATATCTTTTAGCGAGGTTATATTTCAAACGGTTTATTCATTTTGTAGCACAACAATTTTTAGTTAAGTTATCACATTTACAAGTTTTTTTCACTTTCTGGCACTACAGCTCTTGGATCAGTTATATTCCACACGACTTGTCCACGTTATGGTGGGTACATCTTTTAGGTAAATTATATTTTACATGTTTGGTTGTATATCTGACGCAATAATTTACAGTAAAGTTGTCATTTTTACACGGATTGTGTTGCAGCCGAACGTGAACGGCGCGAGCAGCACGGACCCGGTGGTGGGGTGGGGTATGCCAGGAGGTTACGTCTACCAGAAAGCCTACCTCGAGTTCTTCACGAGCAGAGAAAATGCCGCGGCGCTCAAGCAGGTCCTGCCTCTGTTCCCCAGGGTCAACTACCACATCCTCAACAGAGACGTGAGTCCTATTTTTAGCGCATTTCTCATTTATGGTAAAAATGCACTATTGTGCTCGTCATACCCGTCCGTCCGTCTGTCCGTCCGTGACCTCAAGTTTTCGTCGACGAGAAAATGCGCTCCCTGTCACTCACTGCAGTGAGTACTGAGTTATATTTTTAGCCATGGATTTTGCTCATTTTAGTACTGGGTAAGCCTGTTGTTAAAAGCTTACCTCTTATTCTAGGTGTGTTGAAAATCGTCTTGAACTCTCAGTTCTATTCTTGATTACTGAGAACTAAATCCTTAACCTTTTCCTTATTTATTCTCCAAACTTCCAAATTCTGCTTGCTTTTTCTATTTATTTGTTATTTGAAATTTCTTCACCTGAAAAATATATTAGCCATGTTCCCTTAAAAGCTTTTTTCAGAATTGGAGCTTCTTAGTGCTTGGAACAGCAGAACTGGAAGTCATTGTTTGAATTCAATCATTGCTACTTCCCCGCATTTTTTCTAGTTTTTATGGATTGCAAACTTGATTTCGAATGCTTTATTCAAGCTCAATGATTTGACGTCACCTCTTCATGCATTTTAAACATATTGATTTGAATTTTTCTCTTCATGAATTTTAAAGACAACGTGCCTTGCATGTTTACTTGACACTTGTTACGTTGCAGGGCAGTGAAGACACTATTTTTATGGATTATAAGCTTGATTTTAAACGCTTTTTTCAAGCACAACGATTTGAATTTCCTCTCTTCATGCATTTTAAACACAACGTGCCTTGCATGTTTACTTGACACTCGTTACGTTGCAGGGCAGCGAAGACACGACCAACTGTCATCGCCACCGGCCCCTGGCGGTCACCTGGGGAGTCTTCCCGGGCACTGAGATCATCCAGCCCACCGTCGTCGACTCCGTCAGCTTCAAGGCGTGGAAGGTCAGACCACGTCCCGCTATTAAAATAGAATTTGAATATCGGCCTACCCGAGTATTTACAATTATATAATATATTATAATGTAAGCTTTAGGTCGTGGAAGGTCAGACCACGTCCCGCCAATTGAAATAGAATTTGAATCTCGGCCTACCCGACTACTGATTCCATTAAAACCTTTATATACTATTATATAATATATTGTAAGCTTGAAGTCGTGGAAGGTTAGACCACGTCTCGCAAACTAAAATGCAATTTTGAATCTCGGCCTACCCGAGTGATGATTCCATTAAAACCATTACTATTATATAATATATTGTAAGCTTAAAGTCGTGGATGGTTGACCACGTCCCGCTAATTAAAATAGAATTTGAATATCGGCCTACCCGAGTATTTACAATTATATAACATATTGTAAGCTTTAGGTCGTGGAAGGTTAGACCACGTCCCGCCAATTAAAATAGAATTTGAATATCGGCCTACCCGAGTAATTACAATTATATAACATATTGTAAGCTTTAGGTCGTGGAAGGTCAGACCACGTCTCGCTAATTGAAATAGAATTTGAATCTCGGCCTACTCGACTACTGATTCCATTAATACCATTATAGGCATACTATTATATAATATATTGTAAGCTTGAAGGCGTGGAAGGTCAGACCACGTCCCGCTATTTAAAATAGAATTTGGATATCGGCCTATCCGAGTATTTACAATTATATAATATATTGTAACCTTTAGGTCGTGGAAGGTCAGACCACGTCCCGCTAATTAAAATAGAATTTGAATATCGTCCTACCCGAGAGTACTGATTCCATTAAAACCATTACTATTATATAATGTAGTGTAAGCTTTTAGTCGTGGAAGGTTAGGCCACATCTCTTTTATTGCAATAGCATTTTAATTTCTGATGGTTTCATCAAAACCAATTTCAATTATGAAACAAACTGTCAGCTTCAAGGCATTAAAGTTCTGGCCTCTTCTTGCCTATTGCTATAGCATTTGAATGTCGGATTACCAAAATGTTGATTCCACCAGAAACTATTAAAATTATACCATATAGCGACAGCTTCAATGCATGGTAGTTCAGGCCTCTTCTTGTCTATTGCGATTGCATTTTAATGTATGATTTTTCTCATTTACGGGAACAGTATTTGAGGGCCTGAGTACCTGAGGTACTCAGGTACACATTCAATCAAAAAGCAATTATACAATGTATTAAATGTAGTATTTAGATAACGCGTAATATTTTTGTATTCTGAATGTAAACAGAAAGTCTGAGTGTAATTGAATCACTTTTCTTGCATCGCAGAGTTTACCATTTAGAAATTTGATCTAAATTTTATTCGTTAGATTATCGTCAGCAATAAAAAGTTAGCGACATTTTGAATTGTGAAACCGCTATTAATTAATTTAATTACAGGATGAAGCTTTTACGCTATGGGAGGTTCAGTGGGGCAAGCTGTACGACGAGAAGAGCGAGTCTCGCGCCGTAATCTCGCATATTGCGAACAACTATTGTCTCGTGAATCTCGTCGACAACAATTACCCTGAGCAGTCTTGTCTATGGGACGTCCTGGAAGCCATGTTCACATGGAAGGAACTTGATGCCAAGAAGGATTCAAACGACGATAGTTGTTCTGTGGCAAGAGGTAGCAGTTGTTCATCGGAAGAGGTGCTTGTGAAGAGGATGAGTAAAGCTCAGATTGTGCCAATGATAGAAAGCCCAGATTGTGCCAATGATATGCAGGTTCCTTGTACGAACGAACTGCGCTGAGCGAGGTTTTAGTTTCAGGGTTTTGTCAATGTATAAATCACATTTCATTGACTAACTCAAGTCGGAGATTTCAATGTAGTCCAATTGAAAGCTTTGATAGTTAATGCTTCCATAGGGAGTTTGAAAACGCTCAAAATTCACTAATAGACAACTGCACTGCAACCCAAGGTGAACTAAGGTAAGTTTTATAGCATTTTATTACGGTATTTATATTTAATTTAGTTTGTGAATTACACTGTCTTCATTTATGCACTGTCCGATTAGTAAATGTTGTTATATTATATCTTCCAGGACGCATTAACATTGTTTTAGCTTGTAACGACTTCCATTTTGTACGAAATGAAGTTCAACGAAGAGAATCGTCATCAAATGGTTTGAAGTAGCCTCTCATGTCATTTGTCAATTTTTTTTATTAGACTTTTTGCAAATTTTTTCAAATGTCGAAGTCCAGATGACGACAGAAATACTTTCAACTTGCATGAACTTTTATGTGAGGAACTTTTATAGCTTCAAGCTCGTGGCAAAGAAGAGGGTAACTTTCTGCTGCGAATTTATATTCGAGTATAAATATTAGGTCACGCTCTTAATTAACGCCTCTTAACAAAGAGGCGTTAAAGATACATAGAACAGATTTTACTAGTAAGAAAAAGAATTTCATCGCAATATTTTCAAGTCGCATGTTACGGGAAGGTTGAGGTTCGATTAGTGGTTTGATTAATAGAATTAAGCAACAGCTTCACATGGTGAATAAAAATTACTATAGTCTTGTCGGAGCTGGCTTGTTGAAGCATTGAATGTTGATTAAGCATTGAACTCCGTGATTTATTACTTGGTCTAGTCTATTTGTTGATCCAATTACTGCAAAAATTGCGGAAGAAATGATGTTTACCCGATTTATGTTTATCTCGCTTTGAAGTGATGGCTGCAACGTTTTCAGTTCTATCGAGACTTGGCGCACGCTGCTATAATAATTAATATTGTGAAGTCTACGTTTTTTTAATTCTCTCTTGTCTACCTACTAGCAATTCGTAGTTGTTCATTTATATTATATAAGTTTTCTCGTGATAGATGCTGGCTTTTTTTATTCAATATTACATTATTATGAATTATTTACAAATGCATTATTTTTCCGTGCTAAATGCACAATTATATTTTAGTCGCTAATTGTTTTGCTTAATCGCAGCTTAAGAAGGAAAGGATAAAAGAAGGAAAAAATAAAGCGCGTTCTTCCATTCAACATATCAAATTTCATAATGATCACGTACAAAACAAAAACTCAATACTCTCATCCTATTATTCGTACATTAATGTTGAAAAAGAAACTACGAAGAACTGATGGGTAATTGACGATTACTTTGAAACGTTCGCGGGAATTTTCAACATTTTTTCTCTGCGTGATGGAATGATGTATGAAGCTATTTTCGGTTTTCTATTACGCACATTTCAACCTATGGTATTATAGCTATTTAAGGGTACTTTGTTAAATTGTGTGCTCTGGTTGCTATGACGTTACGAATCATAATTCAAATAATCCTTAGTTGCTATTATCACAAATATTTGAAAGAGGTTGGAATGTACTCTGAGTTCAGATTCTACCGTTTTTTCCCAGTTGAGCTTTCGTACAAAATGTTTTTTTTTTCAATTCCTATCGTAGGTTAGAATAAAAAAAATATTGAATGTATTCCACTCGCCTACATCTTCTCAGAATAATTGAGTAAAAGTTGAATTATACTGATAACTCGTGACTCTAGACAAGATGAGCGGCTTCTATCCAACGACTAGGTTCCTTATATGAAATTAAAATGAAATCCGGTCACGTGAGGCAGCGCTAACTTTTTACCTTTGATGCATGTAAAAGAAAAAGAATTCTCAACCTAAAAAATTGGTCAATGAGGAAGAATTTTAAATTTTCCTTTCTGTTTCTTGCCAGAAATTCTCAGATTCGCGTCCGTGGAAAACGTCGCTTAACTGTTGTTGCAGGCATTTGAAATTGAGAGAAATCTGATGCTGATCCAACATTGGATCTGCTACGATCAATACTGCGGGCGACATTGTCACTACCGCTGCTGCCTGCAACGTTAAAGTAATCTCTAAATGAACTACTTTTCGTAGCAACGCTACTTGCTGAACTGAAGAAGCTTCTCGCTCCGGAGTGAGCGACGTCCATTCGAGCTTCTCTGGCATCCTCTTCTCGCTCCTCGTCTTCTTGATCCAATATTCTTGTCACTTCTGGGTGCTGGCTGAACCACAGCGACCGCGGATTTTGAGCGCCTTGCGTGTCGTCCGCTTCAGTGGTGAAAATGCGGCTAGTGTGAGGCAAGAGGTCTTTACCTCCGATGATGCGAGGCAAGGATACTACGCTTCCTGCTTGAGATCCGTGACGAACCTTATCCAGAAAATAATTTGTATCAACAGAAAATTCATTTGCTTCCAAGTTAAACTTCATAACAAAAAAAATTTTTAACTATGTGCTCTCAAGTGAAGGAAATTCCGAAAGGGAGAAAAGAGATCAACATTTTGAAAGAGAGGCTTAAAGTTGTATGCCTACAGTTCATCAACAGAGAAATTCTGTTAAGTTGAGGGATCTGTTAATTTAATTACTCATTAAAAAGAAAGAAATCGACACGGCTAATAGCATTTTTCAAGTAATTGAACTCCGAGTAAGATTTGAACGACTTGAAAGTTTAATCAGAGTAAATTCTAACCATACTTTTAGACAGTGTTAAACTTCCGTCCATTACATTTTTTAGAATTGGCCAATTAGCCCAATTTCGAGCCTGAATTACAGATCTGAAAACAAAGAATACGCAGTTTCTATAAAATTGTATGAAAAATACAAATATTGCGTGATCGTCCAGAAATATTCTTACCTTTCGAAAGCGCTTGAAATTTTTTGAGACATTGGACTCGTTCGGAAGAGAAGGTCGATGTTCTTCACCAAGAATTGACGTTCTCATAACTAGACTGACCATCAATGTTTGACATGGTTTGAAACTATTGTCCAGCTTCTCAGCACAAGGCTTTACATCCTCCTTTACAGCGGGAGGTGCTGATGGCTCGAGGTTAGCCGCAGCAACGGGGATGGAAGGCTCAAGGGTTTCATCAGTGGGTGCGCTCGGTGTCTTGTTCTCGTGTTTAAATCTCTGTCGGAACAAGGGTAGGCAATTTTATGAACAAGTGCGAGTAAAGATACATTAAATGAATCAAGTATCAATACGGCATAAATCATGAATATATGTTCAAGATGTTACACAATAAATATTGAACTACTAAGATGACACGATTAATTTCGATCTAAGAGATTCACGAGGTCACACTTCTGGGTCAACTCGTAAATCGCGCACTTGTTTGAAAAATACGGCCTGAAACGATATACAGGGTTAGACAAAATAAGGGAAACGTCTGAGAAATAAATATATTTTAGTATGGTGTAGGTCCACCTATTGCGGCAATTACAGACATAATTTTCCAAGGTATTGATTCATACAAATTGCGAATTGTTTCCGAAGGAATTTTAACCCATTCTTCAGTTGAAACTACCTCCAGCTCTTGTTAAAGACGACGGGGGCGGGAATCAACTTCTGACTTGCCTCTCTAAAATCCACCACAAATGCACGATATTATTCAGGTTTGGTGATTGTGGTGGCCAAATGAGATAGTTAGCTTCATTAGAATGTCCCTCGTGCCATTTTCTAACAATTCAAGCAGTATGGATTGGGGCATTATTATTATCCATTGGATGAAGTTTGTCCTCCAAAATTCGTAAATAGTCACGGCTGTTGATTCTTCGAGAAATGCCGGATTTCCAAGAAATAGCACCCCAGTTCATCAGTCGGAATCAAATGACTCTTTTGGTTGTCTCCAAACGTAAACTCGGTCAGAGGTTGGAAATAATGTAAACGATGATTCTTCAGAGAAAATTATAATTTTCCACTGCTTGAGGGACCAACTCTGAAGTTTTTTTGCACCACTCTAAAACGCTTTGAAGCATTTGCATTTGACACCAGAGGTTTTCTAATTGCAGGTCTTCCATAGAATCAGTATCTGTGTAGCTATCGGCGGAGTCTTCATAGAAACAGGGGTCTGTATGTGTCCATTGAGGTCTGCAGTAATTTTAACAGCCGTGGTCTTTCGAGTGTCCCTCATAATTAGATTTAGGTATAGACGGTCTCTCTCAGACATCTTCGTCTTTCAGCCAGACCTGTGCTTTGCTGGGGACGTTTTCCCTCTCTTTTAAAAGCAGTGATTATTTTTTAGAGTTTCTCCAGAAACGTCAAGCATTCGGGTAGTTGCTGTCACACTAGCACCTGCCATACGGGCACCAACAATTTAGCCTCTTTGAAAGTCAGCGAGTTTTGCCATTTATAGGTTATAGGTTACGTTACAGACACAAAAATTTGCTTAAAAGATCTCGGCGAGGATAAAATATCAATTAGCAGCAAGAAGAAACAATAAAACATAAAAATTTCACGTTTTCATTGTTAATAACATTTTCAAATATTACGATATTACAAAATGTCAGGTGTTTACCATATTTTTTCCGACCCTGTACACAAGTATCTCATATGCAGCTACTGAATCCGTTTCAAGTAGCGTATCATTGTGAAGTGTTTAGAATCTACATGAATTTATTGTTTGGTATATTAGGATGGCAGAGCTCTTACGGCTACTCATGGCTTCTTTTGATAATTCATCCATAGACCATGGGTGATATTTTCAGAAATCCTTATATCACTTATTTCCTGATCAATATAATATTTTTCCTAGATATTTTAGTCTGATACGCAAAGCGATACCTACTTAACAATTTTTTCAGTAACTTTATCGCGTTTACGTTAAATTCTGAAGTATACCTACTACGAAAATATGTATAATTATCACTGTAGGCTAACAAATTTTTAAACGAAGATGTCCGATAATGCACTTTCTACAAAAGACTGGATTTAATATATTCAGTCAAGATTCGGGTATACCACAACAGAAGTACGATGCTGCTCTTAGACTTCAAACGCTGCTGCTTTAATCCTCACTAGTCTAAGAAACAATAACTAACCTTCCTCGCCAAGAATCCTTCACGGGAGACCAGAGTTGGGGTGAGGTGTGAAGTCGACTGCAGATGAGGCGAAGGAGTTTGCGTGCGAGGCTCTGGTTTGATTTCGAGCACGTCATTTTCTGGGTCCTTGCATTGCTCTTCCTCAACTGTGGATCGTAAACGCTTAATTCCACCCGCCATCGGCAAGGAAACATTTGTTGACTTTCCTGATGGAGCCTGGGGACAACAAAATCACTATGATGCGCTTGAATAATAGGGACAAACAATATACAATTATTTAAACAGAAAAATTCAAAAAGGAGAGTATAAAAATCAAAATTATTGATCAGAACGGAAGAGGCTCACATTTTAGCACAAGTAACATAAGTTCTCACTATAATTAACCTGTTTCACAATTCGTCGTGGCACAATAGAGGTCGGCAGCTGGAAGACGTTTGTGTTCTTGACCGTATTTTCCCCGACGGCACGCAGACAACTGTTCGTATCAAGGGACGCAAAAGGATCCCGGAGCTGGGCAGAAACTGGAGCCCTGATGCAGTCGAGGCTGGGCGGCTCCAATGATGGCAGAGGTGCAATCTGTAATTCTGGGCAAAACTGCGTTTCTGGATAGGAACCACGCAGCGTTTCAAGACTGGGAAGAGCAGCAAATGAAGACGATTTTGTTGGGTCTGAAAGAGACGCAGTCTCGGGAACTAAGTTGTTGCCAGCGTCAGCACCACATACCAAAGAATGATTAGCTTGAGAGGGAGGCGTAGGTGTGGGAGGGACACAGGTAGCACTTGTGACACGATTGCTCCTAATCATTTCAATCTTCTGTCTGCCATCACCCACAGTTGATGGTACTCCAACCTGATTAAGTATTTTTGAATTACTCTGTGCTGCTGCGGAGCTCTGGACTGCAATATTTGTACGCGGGGCGCCTGCTGCAGTTTCATCGTCGAAAATTTGAGTGCTAGCACAAGGAGGTGCGAACGATGATATATCAGCAATGTCGTCGATCTCATTTTCCTCTGCAGCCTAGAATGAGTAATAATTACAGTAGGTTATATTTAAAAAATAATACTGAAATGTCAAAGCCTAAGTTTAGTTGTGCTATGTCATAGTCACGAATTTGATACGTCATAGTCACGAATATAATTTCAATTGAACAATAACAGCATTAATAACATTGCCGAAATATATCAACATTTTATTTCCAAATTATAAAAGATCACCGTAAACGCTAAGGTTCTATTTTAAAACAATGACTGATGCTTCAGTGAATACATTTTTAAAATTTTTTTTTGTACTTCAAGAAGATAATTCTAATAAACTGATCTAGCACTTAATAGGTGAAATAATAAGAAAACGTGTATTTACCAACGTCAGGTCGACTTCCGGGGTTGGGAGAGGAGCAGGCTTTGCTATGGCTGGGCGTTTAGAGGCTGATTCAATGTCGCCGTTCTCCGCGCTACGGAACCTGGCGAGTTAACGGTCTATTATTGGCAAATGTAAAGTTATTGCATTCTATCATTATTACTTTTACTATTATTTATTCGAATTAAACTTTTGTTGATAAGAACGTACAACGCTAGAATTTGGTGAGTCAACAAGTTTTGTGTCAAAGATCGTACAAAATAAAGTATACATTGTTCTGAGCTCTACTGGCGCTGTTGAAAAATGCAATGGCAAAAATTTAATTGCAATATTTGAACCGGAGCTAAATCACCTGAATTTTCTATGGAAATTTATTAAAATTTTCAGCATTAAATCACTCACTGTTCAAATGTTCATTGAATTAATCCTTTTTTTAGAATCTGGCACGAGAACGATTATTCAAACAGTTATTGTAGAAATTTTCCTTCTATTACCTATTTTCTTACCGCTTTTTGAATCTACCTCCGTTGACCACGATCGACTTCTGTGAAGACTGAGCCAGACCTAAACTGGGTGTTGGTAGTTCGTCACATTTGCCAACTTCTTCTTTCACTTGAGCTGCTGTCGGTTGCAACGCTGAAATTTCCTTAGTCCTGCTAACTTTATGATTCGCCTTATCTGACTTCACATCGTATTTTATAGGCTCTGTGCATTTCACGCCATAGGAAATAGTGGCAGTGCAGTTGTCAGAGTTGAGGCCAGAGTTTACTCTGACCGCTGCAGAATTCTGTCCAATGAGCAAGTTGGTAGAAGTTTTACCACTGCAGCTGCTGCTCGGAGTCTCTGGTATTACAGTTCTGCCACCAGGGGACTTTTTTGAACTTGCAGACGAAGAACTTCCTCCCAAATCTTGTGTTTCGGGAGCGTAGATTGTGGTTGAAGTCTGTGGAAAATAAGTGCGGTGAGGAAATAAAATAAGAAGAAATTCATTTCCTTCAAAAAACTATAAACGACCATCTAATCGCAAGTATATCTTTACTCTAACAGCGTTCAAATACAACTCCATCTTAGTGCACAGATTCCAAAAACCATGATGAATAAGCGCAGATTTTGTTTTCTAACTAATCTGTTATAATTTTGGTCCCAATAATTGGTAACAATTACAAAAATAATTTAGGTTATGGAACTTATAACGTGAATGAATCAGATTGTTATACAGCCAACTTGTACTTATAAATACGTTCAAAGTACAAAATGTAAGAAAACATTGAATATAAGAATTTTTCTATTATTCCACTCAGTTCCATGTAGGTATATAGTTCTTATAAGTCCGATATTTTCATTAAGAATCGTTACTTGTGATTGCAGAGCAGATCGCTCGAGCAGGATCTGCTGAGACACAGCGGGGTTGCAGAAGCGTTCAGTGGAACAATAAAGCACAGCCAACACAATGTCAGACTCTGGGATGACGTGAAGACCAGCTTTCTTCACAGCACCTGATGATGATGTTAATATTAGTGAGCGGCACTACAGAAATTGCACGAGCTACGAACGAGCGGTCTTAAAAATGCCTGTTAAGTGATTAAAGAATAACGAATTTATATTCTTAGATCTGATCGCAATCTTCTCAAGTTGCTAGGAGTAGAGAAATGAAGAAAAAAATATAACTCAGTACTCTCTGCAGTGAGTGACAGAGAGCGCATTTTCTCGTCGACGAAAATTTTCTCGTCACGGACAGACGGACAGACAGACAGACAAACAGACAGACGGACATGGTGAGCACAATAGTGCATTTTTTCCATAAATGAGAAAATGCGCTAAAAAAAAATAAATAGATAATTTTCCTTGTACCTTAAGTTCATGCAAATGGAAGACTTAAATTGACAGCGGATCATGGCCGTTCAAATGGCGGATTAACGGCAAAATGCGGAATATTGGACGTGGTTAAGAGCAATTGCATGCTTTTACATAGAAATAGGAAGATCAAAATAATATCTAACGAGCATTCCTAATTGTGGAAATTTTATTACTTCATTAGGACACAGACCAATTAAGGGGAGGAGAAAATAAAAAAAAACATTAAACTTGACGACATGCGGGAGAAAATAAAGGTAAGCACGAAGAGACATGAGGAAGTATATACATAAGAAAATAACACCAGAAGTAAATAATTATGCGGGAAAAAATAAAGAGACATGAAGAAGAGAACATGAAGAGTCATGAAGTGTATGCATAAGATAACAACTCCAGAAGGAAATAATTAAACAATATAAGGAATCTACGCTGGAAAGCCTCTAAAGCCAGCCTCACCAAGAGCAGCAGTGAAGGCAATGGTGGGGCCGCCGTCCTCATCAGCGGTCTTAAGTAGCAGCGCTGACCCCGCGCTCACCGAGTCAATGTCTTGACGCTGCAGGATGGAGCAGCGACCGCCTGTATTCAGGAAATGGAATGGATCATATTGTCCTAACGATGCGTAAACAGATAGTAGATGATGCCTAATAGAAGTGTACAGATGCAATAGAAACTATTGCATCTATTGAATATTGAGCATCTATTAAATAGATGCTCAACTTGCATCTGTACACTTTCTTTCTCACACTGCAAAAACACTCTTACCCACTGCACTCGCATAGGATGGATATAGTAGTAATGATACACGCTTTTACCAGGCCAAATAGGGTCAGGATAATCACCGCTATTTGGAAACGTCTCACATTTATCTGAGTGTAGAGTCATCAGAATTGTATTAGAACTGCTTCATTCGATTGGCTGCAGTTCTTGACAATGAGCATAATTTCAGATTACAATCTGGTGGTACATTATCTAAAGTGAGAATAAGCTTAATTATAACTAATTACAAGGTGAGCAAGCAAATTCAGATCCAACGAACAGGTAAATCTCAATTATACGCTAAAAACGTTTTAAAGTATTGACTTATTGCAGGTTATAAAAGGCAGGAGGATGATTTCAATTTAGCAAGTAAATTCAGAACAAGTAAATCTCGTCAAACATACGCTAAAAACGTTTTAAATTATTGCAGGTTATAAAAGGCTAACTAAAGGATGATTTAATTTAAATTATTGCAGGTTATAAAAAGCTGGAGGATGATTTCAATTTAGCAAGTAAATTCAGAACAAGTAAATCTCGTCAAACATACGCTAGAAACGTTTTACATTATTGCAGGTTACAAGAGGCTAACTAAAGGATGGTTTAATTTAAATTATTGCAGGTTATTAAAGGAATCTGAAGATGAGCATGCGGCTAACCTGCCAGTCGTATGATTTCACTGAGCCGACGATGAGCTCGCTTGGACCCACAGAAGAAAGTCTTGCCTGCAAACAAAGTCTTTCTTCGACCATCAGCAGCGAACAGGTTAGGAGAAGGTTTGATTGAAGGTTCCTGCGTTAAAAGGTCATATTGTGAGAAAACAAAATTTGTTCAAACTTTTCAAGTTTAGCTTGACTTGTTTTTATTAGCTTTCTGGTGGTAGGCGGTTTATGGCTAAGTATTGAAAGCATAACAATTAAAAAGTAACACTCTTATCCTTAGCAATAAAAAATTGTTCCTTATTAATGAAGCAATAAAATTAGATAGATATCGAAAGATTTGCAAATATAGAACTGACAAAAATCCGGTTCCTAAGTGCGCCACCAACTAGCTAGAAAATAACAGTTCTTGCTATGAACCAACAAACAAAAGTCATAAACAAACTATATTCTTGAAGAAAAGAAAATCATAAACCCTGGAAAAATCCTGTAATTGAAATTGCACGTTTTCCATCAAAAACTTTCGTATTCTTAGGCTCTCTGGCACAGGATAATCACCGCTAATAAAATTTTGTGTAGTTTTGAAGGCCTATGCTAGTTATATATAGGAGTACAAACATGCAACATAAAAACGGGATTTGTGATTAGTTGGATCTAAAAATAAAATTGTACTCTTAATTCACGTCAATTCAAATTTAAAAACTGAAAATAAATTCAACAATTCTTAACGTGAGATTTATTTTAGGGGCCCTTTTTACTCAACATACTCTAAGTTAAAAATTATGAACGTGATTTACAAATTTCATAATAAATATACCGTGATGGCATAAATTACAGTGACATGGACATGAAACACGACTCATTTATGATGACAGCATAATGTCTAATTTTATTTAATATTAGTATAGGATAGTGAGATATATAGCACTCACTGTGATGGCAGGAAGGTATACTTAACATCAGTATAGCACCACGAATAACCTGTATAGCACTCACAGTAATGGCATGAAGATATCCTTAACATTAGTAAAGCTCCCCGAATAACATGTATAGCACTCACAGTAATGGCAGGAAGGTATACTTAACATCAGTATAGCACCACAAATAACATGTATAGCACTCACAGTGATGGCAGGAAGGTATACTTAACATTAGTATAGCACCACGAATAACATGTATAGCACCACGAATAACCTGTATAGCACTCACAGTAATGGCAGGAAGGTATGCCTGTGCAGGAGGCAGTACAGGTTGGCTGTCTGTGGCGGCTCGTACAAGCGCCGTCAGGTACTCTGGTGTCACGATCAGGCCACCGCTGGCCAGCGCACACGCTACCTGCGGACGTCGTATTTATTTATGTTATAATAGGCTAGACCTAAATCTGTATTAATAAATTCGTAATTATTGTTTTATAATATGCTAGTCCTGAATCTGTATTAATAAATTAATGTTGCTTTGTATTATTAAGTTCCTCACACGCTACCTGCGGACGTCGTAATTATTTATTTTATAATATGCTAGACCTGAATACGTATTAATAAATTATTATTGCTTTGTATTATGAAGTTCCTAACGGCAAATGTTGATCTGAATATTGTATTGCATAGCAGCACGCTATTATTATCAGTGACAAATTTGTCTCGCTAATTCCAAACACATTTTTTCATTCAAATCTCATAGTCAATAACTAACATTAGTTCAACTACACAGCGACAAACAAATGGTTGGAAAATATTACAGGAATTTAGTTCCAACTACACAGCTAAAAATGAATTGACAGACAGCTTATCTTGAAAAAATTGCTTTAAGTCTCCGTTGATCGAACAAAATAATAACAAAAAGTTTGAAATGATGTCTGTTCCTGAAAGTTTGTAACGATGAAGGAACGGACCTTGGCTGAAAGTTTGTAATGATGAAGGAACAGACCTTGGCTGAAAGTTTGTAATGACGAAGGAACAGACCTTGGCTGAAATTTTGTAATGATGAAGGAACAGACCTTGGCTGAAAGTTTGTAACGATGAAGGAACGGACCTTGACTGAAAGTTTGTAACGATGACGATGAAGGAACGGACCTTGGCTGAAAGTTTGTAACGATGAAGGAACGGACCTTGACTGAAAGTTTGTAATGATGAAGGAACGGACCTTGGCTGAAAGTTTGTGATGATGAAGGAACGGACCTTGGCTGAAAGTTTGCAACGATNAAAGTTTGTAACGAAGTAATGGACCTTGGCTGAAAGTTTGTAACGAAGTAATGGACCTTGGCAGAAAGTTTGATGAAGAAACGAACCTTGGCAGAAAGTTTGATGGAGGCCATGACAAGATGCGTGCAGTTCTCGGTCCAGTCTTTGCTGAAGACAGCGCCCAGCGCGAGCAGCTGCTGCAGGACGAGTTCGGCGCTCGGCAGCATAGACGTCGCCACCACCAGCGGCCGCAGCACCAAGCGATACGTCGCGGTCAACCCGAACCTGTAATAATAATATAATATTAATATAATATAATAATAATAATAGTGGATATTGTGAAGAGATCATCGAAATCTCTTCTGATTTGAGCCAATCAAAGGAGGTAATTGGTAAGAATTCAAAAATTTCAGACTGAAATTCTCAGATATAATCCGTGTCGAAGATCATTAATAGTGGATAATAATAATAATGATGATAATAATAGTGGATAATGTGAAGAGATCATTGAAATGTTTCCTGATTCCTGCCAATCAAGGTAAATAGTTGGTAAGAATACAAAATTTTCAAATTAAAATTCTCAAATTCTCGATACGTCGCGGTCAACCCGAACCTGTGATAACACCACGATAATAATAGTGGATATTGCGAAGAGATCATCGAAATGTTTCTGAGTCGACCCAATCAAGTTAAATAATTGGTAAGAATCCAAAATTTTCAGATTAAAATTCTCAGTTATGAATTGTGCCGAAGCTCATTTGAGATCCTAAGTCTGGTTTGCGGCTTCATAATTTTTGGAGTAAAAAATGTAGAGTAATCAAACTGTTCAACATGAGTACACGCAGGAATGTGTAGGTAAAATTTCCTGATTATATGCGTACAATTTATGACCAGAGAGTGCATTTGAATTTTCAAGGAGTTGAACAATTCTTAGATGACGTTGGTAGATCAAAAGGCAGATTTAGCAAATAATAATATATTAACGACGTTTCGAATGTAGCAACATTCATTTTCAAGTTAAGAGAAGCATTGAATAGTGAAATTTGGTTGGACATAAGTACATAATACACGTAAATAGGATACAACACAAAAATTTCGAGCCAGAAAGTCCTTACGCAAACAATCTCAAATTTTATTTCCTTGCACCTTTTTTACTCTTATTTTTATTTAATCACACAATTGTGTTGTATGGAACATTGTTTTTGGGAAGTTGATTTCAGACACGTATTTTTTTAAATTCGATAATGCAAACACACACCAAGACTTTAATAAAATTTGGGTCGCACTACGAGCTTGCGTTTTATAATCATATACACAAGGAGTGGGATATACTTATTAAGCTTATATATACTTATCATAAGCTAGATATATTATATATCATATACTTGATATATACTTAGTAAGCTTTAATTATATACAACAACAAGCAGTTATGATCGGAAAGATCATAACTGCTTTGGTTATGGAAAGATCGCGTTCCAGAGGCCGGATCCCTTGTGAATCAAGTCACGAAAAGTTCAAGAATCGGCAACAGGCCATGGGCCTATTTCTTCAACGCCGACACTTCTACTCTATAAAAGTAAAGCAGATAAAACTCCCGATATCTGACCAGGTTGTCAGCGCTGTGCTGCAGACGCAGCACGGCGTGCTTCCTACTGACAGAGACATCGCCGCTGAGCACGAGCCACGCCCCTGGGCTGCGCGACACCAACAACTCCTGGCCGCCCCCGTGTAGGTAGTGCCCTACAGGAGGACCTGGGGGGTGAATATAGCGGAATGAGTGGGTTGTAATGAACAGGGAATACCACTTATCTTGTATATTAGTCGGGGCACAATATAGCCGAATAAGAGGGTTGTAATGAACAGGGAATACCACTTATCTTGTATATCAGGTTGTCGGGGCACAATATAGCGCAATGGGTGGGTTGTAATGAACAGGGAATACCACTTATGTTGAATATCAGGTTGTCGGGGCACAATATAGCCGAATAAGAGGGTTGTAATGAACAGGGAATACCACTTATCTTGTATATCAGGTTGTCGGGGCACAATATAGCGGAATGAGTGGGTTGTAATGAACAGGAAATACCACTTATCTGGTATACGTATCAGGTTGTCAGGCACAGTGGCCAGACACATCATCAAACGAGACATTTCATCACTATAGTTATTCATCATTTTATCGCTTATGCATAAAATTTTATCATTGCATAAAGTAAATTTGACAAAATAAATACATGTAAGTTAGTTTGAATTTGTAAAGTATGAACTGTCTTATGATGAGGTGTCAAGGAACTATCGAGACACACTAATGGGTAGTTACCCTTACCCACAAGGTGAACAAATCTTGTTGACAGGTATATGCATTTTTTTGAACCGATACCGATGATGCGAACGAATAGAGTTCATCGGCCTTTTTCATAGAAGACGCAAAGCATATAATTATTTCGAATCCACTGATATGAACTTGACTCAATGTCATTAAAAAAAGTGGTTTACGGCAATGGGAGAAACTTTTACGAAATGATGAGCAGAAATACTAGTAAAATTAAATAAATGAACCCTTTGCAATGAAATAATATACAATTTTAAGGACAACATGCACATCTATAGAGGCCAGTGTCTCCGATGTAGGTAATGTATAATGAATATATATATTTTTTATTTTTACATAATAAAAAAATTGGTTGAATTTTTTTTTAATTTTTATTCTGTCAACTGATTCAAGCTTTGTCTCCGACTTTACGCAAGTGCGCAAAATTTCAGATCAATTCGACAGGTAGAAGTGTGTTAAATATCGATTATAAGATTTGTAGCAGACAAACAAACAAACAAGAAGTGAAGTTCACGAGAAGTGTTGTAAAATTTAAGCAGTGGCCATACTTTCAAAACTCGCCAAGTGAACGTAAGTACTTAGTACTTACGCTCTATTTTCTCGTCCATGATTGGTGGATTTAGCTTGAAAGGCCATCAATGATTGGCTGATGAACTTACGATCTCTTAAGTTTTTTTGATCTATAGGCCCAGAAAACTTACCAGATGGAGTTGCGCGAGGCTCCAGTCTCCACATGTCGCAGCAATCACGTTGAATTAACACACGAAATTCATTAACTCAGTACACGATTATAACCCATGTGTGATTGAAAAATGGGGTACCAACAAAAAGGCTACAATATTCATAATCAAAAAAGGTAGGTAAACAAAATAAAACTTTAAAATTTATAAATTCCTGTAAGCACGAATAAATGAATTAATTCAAGGAACATTGATGACGTTACGAGGTGCTGGACACCAATTGAAAACTACTGTAAAGTTTAAAATTTCGTCAGATTTTATACACCTTATTAGAAAGCCATTGTGTCTATAAACCAAGGATATTAATATTAGATTTAATATTCATTTCTTCGCTAAAAAAATGTGCATAAATCCATAACTTACTAGCTATGAATCACTCAACGGATTACAGCTAAGTACTTTCCTAGAAAACTGTAAAACTTGGTTTCCGCTAGCTTTAGATTATCCAACTAATTATTATTATTAAAAATTATCTACTATTCAGATTATCCAACAACAGAATCTCTTCAGAAATCTAAGAATCTCTTTCGTCCAAACACAATCGCCTCTGTCTGATGTCGAAAGACTATCGAGCGATTCATATTACTAAGATTTAAACTTACTAGTTATCTTTTCATTATTCACGGATCTCAACTTGATATGCTGGCGTCATTAAAGAGGAATTTTCTGCTAAAGCAAACGTCAGTTAGGAAAAACTTATCTGCGTACTAGAAGCGTGCAAATAAGAAATATTTGTATGTAAATCTAATTATATTATATTATTTAAAATATTTAATATTTTATTATTTAGACTAGGGGCTGAGGGGTCGTCATGTCCCTTCACGAGATACAAAGTCGGTCTCGCTCCCTTGCAGCAAAAAATATTAATAAACAAATAAATAAATATGAATAAATAAATAAAAACAATAATAAAGATTGAAAAAATTATAACAAATAAATAAGTAAAAGCAATAATACAAATTGATTAACGATAATAGAAGAGGATGGTGAATTTAAACATAACGCTTCAACATTTTTATTGAAAAATAGACAAATTTCATGAGCTCTAAAATGAGCTCGCTATGTACAAGTGGTACGTTGGAATCCAAGTCGTCTCTGCAGAAGAGGTATCGTGCGACAAACATTATGGACAGGAATTCGAGCACTAATATACACACAATTTCAATCCTGTTCTGAGCTTTATACAATTTTAAGATTGAAATTGTATGTACAGTGTGGTCGAATCTAACAGGAAGCCACAGTAAATGAGAACTGTCTACGACACTGAACGAAAGTCTTTCATCGCATAACAGTTTCATGCAACCATGATACATAACTTGAAACAATACGTTGCAAGAAATATCTTAGCTTGGTAATAACATCGTTGAAATTTGTTCAACATCAATTGAGTGCCATACAACCATATCCCGAATGACCATCAGGGACTGCACAGCGCGTTGGGTGCATGAGCTTCTTAAGAAAATAGTTTTTCTTAAGAAGCTCATTAACAGTCTTCATTAATTCAAATCATAATGAACACAAATGCAAACCACATTAAAGAACATCAAGTAATAATTGCAAAGCCAATATATGAAGACTAAATTATTGCTGGGCTCAACGAGTCAACGTTGCTAAGCTTTCTATATAAATAGCCAATTCCAAACTCCTAAAACGAGCATTCATTAGAGGGCAGAAGGTTTTCCTGCAATTGAGGGAACGTATCAGAGATCCGCATTACGATATGCTAATGGAATTATAATGTACATAGAAGTTCCTGAATAAAAGATGCCCTCGTATCGTAGGTGCCCGTACAGTCCGAAATTTTCTGCCAGTGAAACACAGCTCCACACATTGTTCAGCTCAATACCTACTCAGACAACTCAGTATATAAATAATGACAGCAGTAGTTCTAGATTTGATTACGCACGAACACCGATGCTCCGACATTTCATTTCAACCCAGTGTGATCGTTCTCCTGAACAAAATAACACGTAAATTTTATTTAACTTACTTGAACGATTTTTTGAAAAACATTCATAGCATTTGAATCGATTATACTAAGAACACCAACAATAATTTTTTTCAAGCCTAAAAAAATAAGATAGTTAAAAACGTTTTTGGAACTGATATGAAAAGCTGAATCTCACGACAACCCGACGTGTTGGGGTTATTGTTCAGCTAAAATATTATGCTGATAGACTCAGTTAACTGCTAATACTTAATGTACAGCACAGCACATGGGCCATGCAACCACAAGCAGTTCTTCTTAATAGTATTTCTGTCTGATATGGCGGCAAGCAAGTCATCACAATAAATAGTTAAGATAATCAAGCAATAAATTTGCAGACAATTCGCAATTAACAATGATCGAGCCTAGTAAACATTACTACTTCCCATTCCGTTACAGTTCAGTAAACTGCGGGAAGTATGTTGCAACATGCAAAATATCGCTATAGCACCACAACAAAAATGATTACAGTTCAAAATTATACATCAACCAATGTACTTGAGTTAAATCTTTTATAATACTAAGACGTCCACCAATCACAGCCTAGAGTTCAGTGTTACATAAGCAACAAATCGGTGCAGAGTGTAGCTGATTTGAGCAAACATGTTGCCAACAATTTAATAAGGTACCCAGGTACACAAGTCTACTTCACTCCACAATAAGTTAGTCTCATAACTCAACATTCCAGTCAAGGTTGTTCAATCTATAATGTGGACGCTTGAGGAGAAAATTTGTTGTTCAATTTATAGCAAATGATGATCATCAATAGAGGTAGATTTTGAAACGTTCAATCTATAATGCACAGTTGAGGTGGACGCTTGAGGAGAAAATTTGTTGTGCAATTTATAGCAAATGATGATCATCAATAGAAGTAGATTTGAAAGGTTCAACTTCACACACCCGCCCCTATGCTTGAATTAGGCCGCCTTATAAGCAGCCCTTAAACGTAAAAACGACAAGATCAGCAACATTATAACGAGTAGCACAACGCCCTTAAAAAGTTCACTACAGGAAACTTGCCGTTCCGATCAATTGAAGAACTGGTAAATCGATCGCTTTTAACTCAGGTGTATTTCACAAAATAATCATTGTTGCATGGTGAATCAAAATGTCACATGGACCAGACGGATCGAAGTTAAATACCCTAATACTAATAGTAGTGTAATATTCGGAACTGACATCATAACTTGGAAATATGTTTCGTGGTCAAGTAATATTGTAATCATGCTTGCTATCAGTATCACAAAAAGTGACGCAGGAAATGCATTAGGAATTAAATGACTGGCGTCAACGAATGACCTTATTACACCTAGAGAGGAATGGGAGAGCTTCTGCCATTGTGTGGAGCCATGAGCAACAGTCTAATTTGAAAACACAGTTGCAACATATCACTTGAACCAACCTCATCTGCAGTGCATACAAATTATTCGAGTTCACAAACATCAAACTCAGTTGAAATAAGTGCCCATTAATGGAGTTCAATCCACATTGAAGGAATATGACGAGAAAAACAGAAATATGGAAACCATAACTTCGAGTTTCTTGTTCGAAAAAAATATCCGCAAAGAAATCAATACATTTGGGGCATTTATATGGAATAATGAGAAAATACACTCACAGTGAAATGTTTTAGATTTAGTATAATCAATAATGGAGTTAAATCTCTTGGATTAAAAATAGAACATTTCAATAGCACAGACTTATAAGGCACAAAAAGCTCACATTTTGAGTTTTTTTCCTGTTTTTTTTTTTCGACATGTAAGGCCGCTGAGCGGTGCTATTCTTGAACATTTAAATGTATTAACTTTAATGCAGCCGCAGAGTGACATTTGAAATCAAGAATTGTTGATTTTTATCAACATGTGCCACCAGTACAAGACATTTTTTGAAGCCAAACCTATGAAAATCATTCGAAAAAATGGACTTCAGTGTAAATTCATAGTAATTCATAAAACATAAGAAAATAAGTTAGCCCATTGGTTAGGAGAATCTAGACTTAGAAGAAAACATAAGTTACAACAGAAGGCAACAAGCAATTCTTTTTCTTAGAACGTTCCTTTAAAAAGCGGGAAAATATTAAGCAGCGAATTAGCACAGCCTGACCTTCCAAAATATCTTTGCTTTGTACAGATTGCGTGATATTTTGGGAATGGAATAATTAATGAAAAGTTACTTATTAAATGCATCAAACTTTTAATTTATTGAAATGTAATGAGGCAAATCACTGCGGCCCCCCAGAAGCTTCAGACGAGAGAAATTGACCAATAAATTCTTGAAATTGGTCATTGAAAGTGAAATTGACCAATTAAGTTCTGTCAAGCCCTGGTTTAACAAGCAACAACTCTTACTATACTACAGTATAGAGAAACGATTTTTCAGTAACCGAGCTCGAAAGTGACTTCATTATTATTCTAGCATGAAAGCTTTATGGTATGTAAGCTCAATAACTAATTTTTAACGATTAATTAAGACAGTTCATCCACAAATTTGAAATTCCTCGCACATCTTAGCTAGCCAAACGCAAAGAAATACAAATAATAATAAATAAACAAGGTCAGGCTTGCGATGTTGAGAAAATTTACAGACCCTCATTTTGCTGCAACTAACATTAAAGTGTGAACAAACTGTGCTAGAAGAACAGCTTCTGAAAGAAACATCAGCGGCAATGAAGCAGCCAACGAATTTGTACGGCGATACGGGGAGAGATTATGGCCATTAGTTCAAAATATAGAACACAGATACAAAAAATTAGTAACCTAAAATTTACATAGTGGATATTAGAGCCTAAATCGAAAAGAAAAAAGAAACAAAAATAGTGAACTTTTTGGCGATTTTCTTCGCTTTTAAATTCCAGGTAAATTTGCGATTTAAGCAAGCAAGTGATCGTGATACTTATGGCTATCAGATAGTGCAATCAGAGTCAAGACCATCACTAATTGCTTTAGTTTCTTATAATTAGCAATTATTGCATAATATCACCATTGAAATGAATTAATGTGAACATTTTTATCTCACATGTGCACTCAAAACGTAAAGGAGTGCATCAATTGAAAAAAAAAAACATTTACATCGTCCAGTCAAGCAACTCTTAGTAATATTTTTAGCAAGAATGAAGGTAATTTGTCGTTCGCATTTTATTCCAGGATTGAAAGAAGAAGTAATTATAAATAAGAAAGCTCAGCCAAGTTAAGCAGGGTTTGTTCCCCCAGCCCTGCTTGAGTCACTAAGAAGTAACAGTCTCTCTACACCTTCATTTACATTCACACATTTACTTATGTGTGAATGTAAAAGGAACATTCGCATTTATTTATGTATAGTCTGACTGATGCCCGAACCACTGTCACCCGATTATAGAAACGTTTGGCCTATAACAAATAAGCTTCAACCGCAAACGTAATAATTATGACAGCGCGACTGATAACCACCTACTGAAGTCAGCATCTGAGTTGATCAAAGCTTCAATTTATACTTGAAACACAAATAAATTGCAAAATTATAGATTCCGGCATAGCACAAGTTATTTTAGTGAGTTTTATCAATGGCATCATGTGTACAGCTCGCCTTAAAACTCGCTGCATTTTGGTTGATCAAAGTATCCAGCACATTCGCCTTATCATTATATACAGAGCAATAAGGCCAATTGATTGATCTAATTCAGCAAGTACTGCGTAAGCTGGCAGCTTCCTATAACTATCACTAAGATCACAATGTTCATGATACGTGAGGCACACAAAACCTACAGTGCAACATGGCGCTGATAAGGGAGCAAGCTCAAAATGAACATCTATTCATCCAGAAATCAACACGAGAAGAGCGAATCTCATGAGAAATGAACTGTGACTTCTTTTACTTCACTGATGAAGTAGATACGACATTAGTTATCTTTGGCGTTTAAATGGTTAGGGTACCTTAACTCATGTCCCATCAGCCATCAAGAAAAATTCAAGCCAAAACCGTTTGTCTGATCTTAGGCATTATAACTCAGAAACAATAACGGCCAGCAGGTGTACGTTATTGTTAACTGACTTTAGGTTTCATTAGTTAACTATTGATGAATCATTGAATCATAGATACCACCGTCATCATACATGATTAGTCTAAAAGGTCCTGAATACGATCAATAAAATAAAGCATTTAGCAGGCCAAACGACAGTATCACAATACGCATACCTACATAGCAGTAAAAATTGAATAGATGATCGCACGGTAGAGCAGAGATGTGCTACTTCTATATTTCATACAGTCTGTATATACAGGCCATGGCTGTGCTACTTGTATATTTGACACAGCCTGTATATGCAGGGGCATGGCTATGTTACTCGTATATTCAAATCAGCCTGTATATGGAGGGTGGGCCTGTGCTACTTTTATACTTTACACAGCCTGTATATGCAGGGGAGGCTGTGCTACTTCTATACAAACACAGCCTGTATATGCAGGGGGGGCTGTGCTACTTCTATACAAATACAGCTGTATATGCAGGGCATGGCTGTGTTATTTATACATTTGATAGAGTCTGTACAGGCAGAGAGCACCAGCCAGCACAGAGATGGATGAGTGCAACACTTTGCGTCGTCCGTCCTCTCGACGCACCAGCACCACCGGCGTGCTGCTCACCACAGACTCCAGCATGAGGCGAGAGAGGCGGCCTGAGTCCATCTCAACCTGCAAACATTTCACCTTATTGCCGCTTTTAGCTCCATTCCTCTTGAAATAGTAAATAGATAGGCTGTTTACTAGCGTTAATTTTATGTCTTATTTATTTATTTTTCATTTTGAAACCTGACAGTGCATTTTACTTTACTAATTGATATATTTGTGTCACTAGGACTGAACTTTTTCTGAGCAGAATTTTGTGTTATGAACTGACGATGGAGCTGGACTCCGAAATGTTTTCTCTTCTAAAGATCTGGTGAATTTTTGTGGTATTTTCTTTGCTTTTAAATTCCTGATTATTATTCTTATCATGAATATGGCTGTGTTTAAAGCGTATTAACAAGTTGAAGCTTCAATTCTGAAGTAAGATTAATTAATTTTTAAAATTTTTCAGTGCTTTTGATTTATGGCAATATCAATTCATGATTTGCTTGGCTAAATTCAGTCATAGTGTTTAAAAAAATCTACACTCAAATCATTCTACTTTTTTTTTTAATTTGTAGCCATTGCAAGTCTTGGCTATGTACATCCTTTCATAGCAGAAATAAAAAATCTTGAGAGAATCTTGAGGCATCTAGATAGTTACTGCATTTTATGGCAAGTCTCTTACATATATGGATTTGAGGCAACAAAAAAAAAAAAAAAATAAAAAATAAATAAAGTAAAAATAGTTAGTGCACACCAAAATGTTTACACTAGGAAAACACAAACCTGAATGCATACCAAGAAGCTGTCATGTTTCAATAGATATAAAAAATCCTGTGGCCCTCCTTCACAAAAAAAAAAAAATATTAAAATCCTGTGGCCCTCCTTCACAAAAAAATATCAAGTCATTGGTAAAGATACACTTTCTATTGCAATATAGCACAAACACTAACTTGATACTGGCAACAAGGGTCAAACTGCCATGAGGCTGTGTATATGGCGGTACAGGCGAGTGATAAGGTACCAAGTGGAGCCCAAGCCACTAGTCGCTCTGGCGCTGCCCACGCTGCAAAAAAGATACAATTGAGCATAGGTGATTATAAGCGCTGGGCCTACTGGGCCTATACTTTCAAAAAAAAAGTTAAGAGATTGTAAGTTTATCAGCCAATTATTGATGGCCTTTCAAGCAAAATCCACCAATCATAGACAAGAAATTAGAGCGTAAGTACTTACGTTCACTTAGCGAGTTTTGAAAGTATCGCCCCACAGGATTCTAGTTATTACATGGCAGCTCAATGTAAATGAGTAGACTTATGGGAGTCTAGCTAATATAGCACATTTCAGAAAGAAAAAATAGTGGCACATCTCACAAATATGGTAGGATATCATGAAATACCAAAAATTGCTTATGAAATTCAAGTAAATGTTGGAAATGTTAATAATGACTAGAAATGAGATTCTTAAAATTTTAAACTACAATGTCTACAAGAGTAAAGAAAAACATAAAAGTCATGAACTATATTTCATATTTATTCTTGGCTTATGCCCTAAATTCATACATGCATAACTAAAAAATATCAGGATGAACTAATTATTTCAAAGCTTTAGTCTTTCCTAACCTAATAAATTTGAAGTATTGAGTGCAACATAACTGACATTTTAAAAGTAAATGAATGCAAATGCATTGAGAAGAAAACTCACCTCCAAATAGGGAACCAAATCCAGCCAACACAGCAGTCTTGTGAAGGCAGTTGCCGACGGCAATCCAGCGAGCTGTTTCATCACCAAGGGCCGCTGGTTCAATGACTATTGTGTTGGGGCCGGCTTCCAAGCAGCGCTCCAGCTCCAAGGCAAACTGTTCATGGGCCCCATTGCTATCATACACTTCCCTCACCACCATAACATTTGGAGCAGGGCTGAAAAAAGATGTATTCATTTTTAATGAAGTAATATTGATAAAGCATAATTTGATACCACCATAACATTTGGAGCTGGGCTAAAAAAAGATGTATTCATTTTTAATGAAGTATGATTTTGGTGACAATCAATAAGATCAGAATATTCATTTAAGAACAGATTTGTTCTAATTTAGGAGTTCAAATATTCAGACAAAGTCACAATTTCAACATGAACACACAAGTTAAGATAAAGTTGATAAATCAAAACCTCATAATAATCGATTTAACTTCACTCAATTCAGCAAATCAGCAAAGACAAGTAAGAGTATAGGTCAGCAAATCAGCAAAGACAAGTAAGAGTATAGGTCAGCACATCTTTAAAATCAGGTAGTTAAATTAAAAGTGATAATGGATTTGAAACAGGGTGAAGTATAAACTATAGGGCCAATAACCCAGTGAATGAGAAGTCTAGAGATATAGAAATCAGTGAGTGATCAGTGATATAGAAGTATCAGATTACTCACCATGGTTCTTCATGCTCTTTTGAAGATGCCATTTTTATAACATTTAAGAAGTTGAGTAACTTCTGTATCACAGTACCTACAACACAAGTACAAAATTTATATTATTTAGCAGCACAAGCCAAGCAAAATTCTTTAAAACTTAAAGCCAAAATTTAAGCATTTAAATGAAGGTTTTGACTCGGACAATGGAACTGACGCTCTTTCCGCATTTTCTTCAAAAGGTGGAAGTATAAATATATATATTTATTTATTTTGGCAACTTGATTAAATTTAATTAAATTTTTATGTTTCTAATTTTTCATTTGCATAAACTGAATTTCAATTATAAAGAAAAATTTTGTGTACTGATCACATTTATTGAATTCTTCAAGTGCAATTTAAACCTTCAATAGGCAAAATTTGCAAAAATTCATAGAAATAAATATATTGTATAATACTTCTTACTTTCTTGAAATGGTTTCTGAAATTTTAATTTCTGGATATTTCAATGCTTGCCCGCTAAAGGGTTAAGAAGGTGTTAAAGTAAATTGAGTGTGAAATTAAACCAAATCATAGCAGCTGAATATGCCATGGGCCCATGTGTCACTAATGACAATTTCTAGGTGTCCCTTAAAGCTGTGCACCTGCACGCTGAATAATCATGTGAGTAGAAACCTTGTCTCAATAAATTGCACAATTCTTCTCTTAAAATTGTGAATAAATATATTTTCATGTCATCATTTTCTTGTAACTTAGGTTTCAATCTCTTTTGTGCATATTTTGGAACCTTTTCATTGCTAATTGCATGCTTGTGTTCAATAAATTTTTTTTAATGGATGATGGAGCAGGTTTTTAAAATGTTCTCGTTAGATATGGTGAAATATGGCATTTTCTTTGTTTTCAAATTCTTGCAAGAAATAGCAATTCTAGAGAGAAAATTAAATAATATCAGAATTCCTCAGCAGTTCAAAGTTTAGGTAAACATGCAGAAACTAAAAACATTATCCTCAAAATGCCTACCTATTTATGTTACTAATATTAATCAGTTAAAAGTGTAAAATTCATATAGACACAATTTAAGAAACGATAGTCTAAAACACAAACTTCTGAGCATCCAAGAAAACAATCATTGTGCCTAAACGAAACAAAATAAAAAAATTTTGTCTGCTGTAAAACTGAATGTGATGTCTTCCTATTTTTTTGCATGAAAATTCAACCACAATGGGGGGAAAATCTATTGATAATCTAATTAAAAATTTTAATTTGTTCATAAAGATCAAAGGCTTCCTAAATCATGGATTATGCATACTGTACTACCAATATTGTTGCATAACCTTGGATTTTAAATGCATTTTCACAATGAATAAAATGCCAAATTTACATTTTATCACTAAATTAATTCACTGGTTATTACCTTTAAGCTTCTCTATAAGTTGCAATTATTGATTGATATGGCTAATGACAAACGATTCATATGGGCTTTATAAGTGAATTTCACGCATTAAAATTAATACGGATAAGTGGGGCAACCGGTGGCAAAAACCAATCAAAACTGGCATAAGATTCAGATACTATCATAGATGACATACAAATATAATGGAGCACATTGATCAAAGTTGCTCATGTTGAATCTGTGCAGATGGCTTCTGACAAAAGCATGCCCAATTCTGAGTCAGGCAACAGCTCACTCCAGTCTACTAGACTTCAGGCAGAGCCAGGGTTGCAGTCTGGGTTCCTCAATGATATTGCTCAAAAATTTTACATCTGGAAGCAAGCAACAAAGGTTGTTGTTGCTGTTGACCCTCTCTGCCTTGCTTCTCGGCACGAGGCAGGGCCTAGACCCAGTTCTAGGGCCAGCCAAGTTGGTTGCTCCAGTGAGCCAGCAGCCCCGCAGCGTTCATGGGGTCTGCTCAAAGATCACTGACCGACAGGGATGTGGGCATTTCAGGGCAGAAGAAAAGATGAATGGTGTTTTGTGTGTGTTGGATAGGCAAAGTGGGCAATGCAGAGAAGGGTTTGTGGCAGGGTCTATTTTGTTGATATTGCTCAAAAAGTTTACATCTGAAAGCAAGAAACAAAGGTTGTTGTTGCTGTTGACTCTCTCTGCCTTGCTTCATGGCACGAGGCAGGGCCTAGACCCAGTTCTGGGGCCAGCCAAGTTGGTTGCCCCAGTGCGCCAGCAGCCCCTCAGCATTCATGGGGTCTGCTCAAAGATCACAGACCAACAGGGATGTGGGCATTTCAGGGCAGAAGAAAAGATGAATGGTGTTTTGTGTGTGTTGGATAGGCAGAGTGGGCGATGCAGAGAAGGGTTTGTGGCAGGGTTTATTTTGTTTAGATATGAGAAGTAGTGGTGATTTGTTTGTGCAAAGTTGTGCAAGGTTTCAGTATGCAGGTTTGGGGAAGTTAATTTCAGATGGGTGGATCTGTGGTGTGGCTCAGGGACTGTTTAGAATTTTATTGTGAGGAAGGGTTGCAAGCTAGTTTTCTGTGATTGTAGTATGAATTGTTTCGAGATTTTGTTTAATTGTATCTCGTGTGGCTTGTGCTGGTAGAATATCTATGTTGGTGGTGAAACCTGAATTATGGAAAATGGCTTGTTTCATGAGGCAGTGTGGGTGCAGCTGTAGAGTGAGGGCATGTAGTGGGTGGGTTGGATTCTGTCTGAGTTGTGAAGTTCAAAGTGTTGTGTTAGGGGTAGGAGTTTGGCTTCTTGGTGAAGAGGATGGATGTTGGTGTCATTGGCACAGCCTGTGGCTATCCTGAGTGCCGAGTTCAGGACTGCTTGAAGTTTGTTCATGTGTGTGGGTGATATGATTGGTGACCAGGATGAGTTTGTATATTTGAGGGTTGGATGCACAATTGTTTGGAATGTGGTAGTGAGAAGTTCTTTTTGTTTTCCCCATTGTGTGGCTTTAAGTAATTTGATTATTTTGATGGTGATGTTGGCTTTGTTGTGGGTATTACTAATGAGTGTGCGGAAGGTGAGCGATGGGACTTAAGTATTCCTAGTATTTTTGGGTTGCGTACTGATGGAAGGAGTGTGTTATTGATCGTGAGGTTGAGTTGTGTGCTAAGTAACAAAGGTCTTCCATCATTTCCATGTTCTGGTCCAGTGCTCATGTAGTTAGCCTCTTAGGATTGTGTGAGACTCTTTCAAGCTGAATGTACTAAGTGTACCTACTCAGGCTGAGTGGGCATTGAGATAACCAATCTCAGCTGCTCAGTCTGCCACTTCATTTCCCACTACTCCACAGTGCCCTCACTCCCATTCTATGATTCTAGTACTGTTCAGGCTTGCCTTTTGTGAATCTTGGTATATAAAGGTTATAGCTGTAGAACCATTTCTGTGCTTGAATCCATAGGCCAGGCACAGTGTTTGGTGAATGCGTTGCAAATTTTAGCATTTGTAGACCAAAAATGCTGCCAACAGTACCCAAGATGCCTTGCCTGTAGTCTTCAAGATGCGTCAAGAGTCAACAGACTGCATGGACATTTCCAAGATGCATTGCAAACATAATTTTCAGCAAAATTCTAACAAAACTAACTTCAATGAGTGTCTAACGGTCTAACACCAAGAACATTTCAGGTTGGAGGTCGCCAGATGCAGGTATTGCAGTAGACAATACAAAATTTACAAAAGAACTTATATCATTAGTCTGCTTATATCGCAAGTTCACAAGGAATTTAAAAGCAAAGAAAACGCCAAGAAAATTCACCATATCGATATTGAAAACGTTTTGGAGTCCAGCTCCATCATCAGTTCGACTAAACTAAAAATGAATAAAATCATTTTAAAAGTCAAAATTCAAAGACAGACATAAAACCTAAACAAGATAAGGGGAGCGTCTGGCAGAAAATTTTGGATTTTCCGGTTTTAGGTCTCATGTTAAAGTTGACATTCTGACAAATCCAACGGTACCAAAATCATCTCTGTATGTTGATTTATGCATTCACAACAGATTACAGAAGGGTTAGGTGTCATGGAGCTCTCACATTTTAGATAGGCAGAAATTAACAGCCAAGTACAGAAGAGGCATGTCTATTGATGCTGCACCTTAGTTACCCAACAGGATTGAAATTTTCTTACTTGTTTAATCTTGCAGCTCCAACGTGATGAATTTGTAATAATTTGGAATCTTGCAGCCAGATTGTGCAATTCTGTTAACAATTAGATAGGAGGTAATTAATCTGGTGGAAATCTCAAAGTTTTGGAAATGGTGGGAAAGCTCTAGTAGTGGCCTAAAAGGTAGATGTTTTCCATGGTTGTTACACAATAGCTGTCATGCAGTCACTCCCCTTCCCTCTATCTGTAACTGAATTTGAGCTCAAGTAATGTCTTGTCTGGTATCCTTGCCACCTTAAATGCCTATTTATTGCGCGTCGTGGGGCGCTTGGGGCTTTGTCGCACTCCACTGAACATTCACACATTGTCAGTGCAAACCCATCTACTCCTAAAGTTTTTAAGCTACAGCAATGACAGCAAACATCATTGTCATTTTTTACGTCATTGATATCATTCTGGAACCAACGTAAGTAACTAAGGAATTTCCCAGTTCAAATATTGATTGATTTTTTACTATCAATTTTGAAACTCCACATATTTCTAAAGAGAGTTGTGATGAGACCATGGGGTCAAACTGTTGAGTTTAGACCATTGCAACTTGCAAGAGAGGCCCAAGGGCCAAGGGCATGGGGCCTTGCGAAGGGTTAAGACCGCCTTGCGAAGGGTTAAGACCGCCGCACGGCGGTGGACCGCCATAAGTACCTCTCTTCATAGAATTCCACTATGTATACTTGTAAGTTGTATACTTCAATGAGGTCACCACACACTAAGCAGACATCAATAACTGAGGCTTGGAAGCTTCATAATCTTTAATCTTTCCTCATACTCATAGGCATAGTGGCAAAGCAGAGAGTTTTTAGTCTCAAGTTCATTTTTGAGTCCTATAAGTAGACCAGTAAAGTATCACGGATACCAGCATTATCATACTTAAGAAATTGGTTAAAATCTTGAGTAAATGAGGAAATTAAAAATGAACTGATTCTAAAAAATCTCTGGTTTGTCACAATGGTGCTTGTAAACGGCTTTTGGCCATTACTGTTGAAATTGTAATTTGTAGCTCTACGGGCATGGTTACATAACTTAAATTTATCCATGGGCACGGGTGAAATTATCCATGGCTACGGGTGAAAT